ATGATGTGAAGAGACATGTTTCGCGAAGCTGCTGGGAATGCGGCATCAATGTGCGCAGCCTTTACAATCACTGAGTATGAAAGCTAATTGGTATCTAGTGTAACGATTGTATTGAGCGCACGCAAAAGTTTTGCAAAAAGTGCGGCGGCGGATACTGTCTCATTCACAACGAAGGATCATCAAGCGCTTTTGTGAGTATCTCCCAGTTCCCAGATCAAGAACCCTTACTAACTGTTTCTAGTGCGACTGTATGTTGTTCTTGCCTCAATTGGTTTGAATCATCTAACTTGCTCCACAGGGTGTTTCTGTCGAGGTCGCGGTCTCAGACGAGTCTGATGCACCACGTATTTGACATGTGTCAATCAAGAACCAATACAACCTCACATCTGATCATGGTACAGTAAATGACTTGGCGCATTTGACGACGTCCCTGGAATATGAGATGGAGTCCCCTGAAAGTGGACTGAGCGAGGCGTCATGATGAAGCGTATTCGGATTTTCCACTCTTGTTGTTTTTTCTTTGCTGGTTGGCTTTGGAGTCGGGGCGTAAAATATGGATTGGGATGAAACTCGACTCTTTTCAGAATACTCACCACTTTTTGCTTCAATAATTGATAAGGACTGGCTCCTGGAATCATGCCACTTTTCCCGCTCCAATCTTGGATAAGTCGACTCAGATGAGATATGGCACGATACCATCTCGAACCACTGCCTGCACCCCAGTCCTCCCCGCTCGGAGACAAAGTAGATCCGATAGAACAGGTAATGGAACGGGAATAGAACAAGTTAGTGAATCCACTCATTTTGGGGGTTTCATTTGGGGGTCACGATCTAATCTACCTTGTTTTATTATTGTTCCAAAGCTGATCGCTCACCTTAAAACTATCTCATCTCCCTCTCTGCTTGCCTTCATGAGCTTCAATCTCACAACGTGCGCGTTTGACAGGTCAGATCCCTCAAATGGCGCAACCGAATGCGCAAATTACGTACTCGGTCCAATACTTCTCTTTCAGGTTTGGTCTTGTCGGTCCGTCGGGCGGGAAATTCCCTCTCTGTTGATAATGATTCATCATAGAGCGACACAGATACGCTCGCGATCGCGCTTGATGGCGGTAGATCGCTCGATTAGGGGCGACCCTTGAAATTACTAATGGACCCTTGTTTTCTTTTCTTCCTTTCGTGATAGATATCTTGACCTTACAGACAATCTTTGCTCTTCAGTGATTTCATTTCGTGATTCTGTGCTCTTTATCAGATCCCGATATCGCCGAGCCCCTCCACTACCCGAAAACTCCAACGCCGCAAAAATAACGGACCCAAGACTCCCAGATCCAAATCTCAAGCGCATTCCTTTCACCTCACGATAATATCTCATTCTTGATCATGGCCGATGAAAGAAAACCTCTCTCAGAGGTCATCCCTCCCCTCATCCTCGGAACAGCAACGTTCAACCACCAATACCATCCCGACCCAACTCACATGCCCTACACGGACATCGTAGGCCGCGCCCTCGCCCATAACATCCTTGGCTTCGATACATCTCCCTACTACGGCCCCTCCGAGATCCTCCTCGGCGATGCGCTGCGAAAATTAACGCCTCCTCCGCCGCGAGAGGACTACTTTCTCATCACGAAAGCTGGGCGCATTGCGGGCGATGAGTTTGACTACTCGCCCGCTTGGATCCGATACAGTGTTTGTCGCAGTCTTGAACGGTTGGGCACGCAGTATCTTGATCTTGTGTACACACATGATGTGGAGTTTGTTTCGCCCGAGGAGGTCCTCGCTGCTGTTACAGAGCTGCGAAGGTTGAGGGACCAGGGTCTTATCCGATATGTCGGAATCAGTGGATACCCCGTTGATACGCTTGCATCGCTGGCGGAGATGATCTTGCGCGAGACTGGAGAGCCGCTGGATGCTGTCATGTCGTACAGTAACTTCTGCGTCCAGAACAGCCAGCTCGGCAACAAGACATTGCTAGATCGCTTCCAAGCAGCAGGCGTAGACTGCGTGCCAAATGCCAGCATGCTCGGCATGGGACTATTAACCACCCGCGGTATCGACAACAGCCCCATGCGCGCATGGCACCCTGCCCCAGAAGGACTCCGCGACCTATGCGCCAAGCTCTCCAGCATCGCCCAAGACTCAGGCGAGCATCTTGAAGAAGTTGCTATCCGGTGGGCGCTCGAGAACTGGGCGCGCGTAGGCTCACGGTTTGGCACAAAGATAAATCCCAGCGACACAGGCCGTCTTGGCGTAAGCGTCATGGGTGTTTCCAGCGTAGACGAGCTCGAAGAGACATGGGCCCTGTGGACGAGCGTAGTTGGCCTCGTAGGCGATGAAGAAGCGACGCAGCGCAAGGTCAAGATTGAGAGTCTCGTGCGAGAAAAGATGTGGCCTGCGCTTGGGGAGTGGAAGGATTATGCGTGGGGGAGTGGCGGCCCTGACTTCGTGAATGCGAGACGGGTTGAGGATATGGGGGTTGTGCCGAGGGATGAGACGGCGGTGCGGTGGAGGTTGATACCCAGTGCCATGGACACACCCAAGATTTGAATGAGGATTATGAATAGATGACTGTTTTCTGCTATGATGCTGTGAGGGGTGAGATTGTTGCAGGGCCAAGAGAATAATATGGGGATGTGCATCGTATCTCGCATTCAGCATTGCCTTAGCGCGACGCCGTCTTACAACTGCCGTGTCGATCATCAAGATCTTGACTCCGAGATCTCAGCATCGAATGACGATGGATCTGAAGATGCGTTCGTTTCGTATTTCGTATTTTGGACGCGAATGGTCACTGATTGTCTTGGTGGCAGGTGAAATGGAAGGTATAAGAGCTCTGCTTTGTCGGAATGATGAATGACACCAAGAGCTACATGTACGACAGTCTATCACAAGGCCTCAACCATGAAGTTGTCGTACTCAATCGTTTCAATCCTATCTTTGGCAGCTCAGTTCGCTTCAGCAGAACTGAAATGTCGTCCCGAAGGGCCTGTTCTTCCCAGGCCAACAGCCCTCAACAAGTCTCCAATCTTCCAAGCTGCCGCCACCAACCTAACCGATACTCTCAACGCAGCTCTCTCTGGTTCAATCACTGCGGGGTGGCCCATCAAGAATGTATCATTCTCACTTGCAGTCGTAAGCGCAGATCAAGATGACCCTGGTGTGCCGATATGGGAGTACCATCACCTTGCAGCCGTCAACACAAAGGGCACAAGGGAGCTCAATAGAGATTCTCAGTATCTCATCGGATCTATAACAAAAGTCTTTACAGATTATCTACTCTTAAAGAGCGGGATGGATCTTGATGCGCCCGTCACGGAGTATCTTCCGGGGCTTGATGGAGAGTCCAAGATTCAGTGGAGGGATGTGACTTTGAGGATGTTGGCTTCGTACTTGGGCGGTACACCAGCGAACTGTAAGTGACAGTCTCTACCTAGTTCTATGCAGAACTGAAATGTTTGTTTCAGATGGGTTCTCGGACTTTTACTTCCTCAAAGAAGTCTTCCTTGCGTATGGTCTACCCCCCATTGAAGACGACGATTATCCGCCATGCGGCGTTGTAGGTCTCAATAAGGGTTGTGCGGGGCAAGGTACAAAGAACCCAAAGCATTGAGATCTATGCTAACAACACTCAGAAATCCTGTCAGGAATGAGAAAATCTTACCCACAGACTGCCCCCAACGAGAGACCAGCGTATTCCAATATGGCCTTTGTCCTCCTCGGCATGGCTCTTGAGAAGTATACCAGCAAGACTTATGCACAGCTACTCAGAGGAATGGTTTCAGGCCCCCTGGATATGAATAACTCTTTTCCTTCGCCTGGCGATGATGATAGAGCGGTAATACCGCCTGGGGATAGCAGCTGGGGCTCAGACTACAAATTGAACACTCCGTAAGTTCATCCTGTAAAGCTGCTTTTCGAGTACTGACTGTTCCTAGTGCAGGAGGATTGGTCTCTTCCCTCTCTGATCTCTCCAGGTTCTCATATGCCCTGCTCTCAAGAACCTTGAACATGACTTCAACGGAGATCAACGGCTGGCTCAAGCCCAATGCCTTTGCAGGCAATTCATACACATTGACTGGCATGCCTTGGGAAATACTGCGTCTGTCAAACCTCACACCAGACCATCTTCATGCTATTACTGTCTATGGTAAGAGTGGCGGTGCGCAGAACTATAGAAGTCAACTGAGCTTGATTGATGACTACGGTCTGGCGATCATCATCTTGACTGCCGGTCTAATGAAGGCAGCGCCTATTCTTACGAACGCCATGCTTTCGACCTTTGTTGCCGCTGCGGATGAAGTATCGCGTGAGCAGGCCAAGAGATATGAGCAGAGATACATGAGCGATCACGGGGATGATGTTCCAATTGAGGCAGTACTGGAGCAGAACGAGGACTCATTGATCCTGGCGTCACTACGTCGCAACGGCACTGATATCCTCTCAAGTCTCACAGATATCTGGGGCCTGACATTAGGTGACTTTCTCCCAGACGTTGGACCCAAGATCCAAGTGTTTCCCAGTCAACTTCGTGAGAATGCGACATTGGACGGGAAGCATGTTGTGAAAGAGGTATGGCATTTGTGGCCGGACCTCAAATCTGGATTCGAAACGGCTCTTCCTGGAAGCGAGATTGAAGAGATGAATTGTGTCGGGTGGTCCATTCAAGATTGGGTTCATTATGGTGGTGAGCCTTTGGATAGAGTGTTGCTGTATGTTGGTGAAGATGGAGGCGTGAGAGGGTTTGAGGTGCCATTCTTGCGATCAGGAATTCTGTATCCAGCCAAATAGGACATAATGTACAATATCTTGCCATGATTGAGTAAACATTCAGTTCTAAGCCAAATCACGGAGGAATACTGAGCTCTGTCATGCCAAGAGTAAGATGACTACACATCATGATTTCAACTCATGATGGCTTACGTAACACCCCTCCCATCAAATCCATCGCGTCAACTCCAAAAACCCATCATCACCTCTCTGATCCTCCAACTCCCACCATGGCCGGGCCACGCAAACCCAAACCCGCGCCCCCAAAAGGCCCATCAACAACCCTCGTCCTCGACAACGGCGCCTCCACCATAAAAGCCGGCCTCATCCACTCCTCCACGATCCCCTCCGAACCCCGAATCATCCCCAACGTGATCGCCCGCGACCGCACGCGCAAAGTCTACGTCGCATCCGAGCTAGAAAAGTGTCGCGATTTCGGCGAGATACAGTTCAGACGGCCTGTGGAGAAGGGCTTCATCGTCAACTGGGAGGCGCAGAAGGAGATATGGGACAGGGAGATTTTTGAGAGGGAGGAGTTTGAACCTAAGGATGCGAGGTTGATACTCGCTGAGCCGCCGAATGGACTGCCGATTCTGCAGGCGAATTGCGATCAAATTGTTTTTGAGGAGTATGGCTTTGCGAGTTATTATCGGGGGATAGGTAAGTTGTGCGATGTGCTAATGCGGTCGGGATGCTGATTGCGACAGGCTCGACGTTTAATGCATACCACGATGTTCAGAATATCTTCCGAACGCCGCAAGAGGCTCCTACGGTCGCTAATACCCCTGCCGAAGCCGTCATGGTCATCGATTCCGGATACTCGCATACAACCATCACACCAGTGCTTCGCGGCCAACCGTTACAATCCGCGATCAAACGACTAGACGTTGGCGGCAAGGTTTTGACGAACTACCTCACACGATTGATCTCTCTCCGACACTTCGACATGCGTAACGACACATACATCGTCAACGAGATGAAAGAACTATCGTGCTACGTCTCAGCCGACTTCAAAGCCGATCTTGAAAAGTCCTGGAAGGGAACGAGAGGCGAACGTCGACCAGATTATCTGACCGGCGGTGGTATCGCTAAGGATTACATCCTTCCTGATTTCCACACCCGCTTCAAAGGAACTCTCGTCGACTACGATCCCGCACGCCATTCCAAAGCTCGAAAATTAGCAGCCCAATCCGAAGAAGACGCCCTGACCCTGCGCAACGAGCGCTTCACCGTCCCCGAAATCCTCTTCAACCCTTCCGACGCTGGGATCCGCCAACCCGGTCTCGCAGACCTCGTGTACGAATCCCTACAAGAACTGCCCATTGGACTCTGGCCTGCTCTACTAGCCAACATTATCGTTGTTGGTGGGAACACACATTTTGATGGGTTTATTCAGAGGTTACAGAAGGAGGTTGTACAGCGGGTGCCGGATGATTGTATCGTTAGAGTCGCGAGGCCTGCGGATCCGGTGACGCATACTTGGTTTGGGGGTGCGAATCTGGCGTGTCATACGAATATTGAGAGGTTGGCTGTTACGAAGGCGGAGTATGAGGAGCATGGTGCTTCGTGGGTTGCCAAGAAGTTTGCTGCTGGGTTGGGGACGTGAGATGGGAGGGGGGTTTCAGATCTTCTATCAGAGTTGAGGAGTGGCCCTGCTTGAGAGCGCTTTCGTTGTCCATGGTGAGACGTTTGCAGTTCTCTCACATCTTTATTGGGAGGTTGTACCAGGCGACAGTGCAGACGGAGACTGGGCTTCATTTCTGGTCACAGCTGCACAAACTGTGCTCAAACAACCCGCCCCGATTGTCAGCAACGCTCCCATATCTCCATCTCCTGCACAATCCATGCTCAACTGGGTATGCAATGACGGTTGGGACAGGCCAACTCGGCACATCTCGCACGCATCACCCTGGGGAGTCTCGTTAAAGGCTCCGACTGGTGTTTCTGTATCAATATGGCATTGATAACATGTATCAACGTTGTCGCTAGACAGCTCGCACTTTACAAACGCAATCAACGACGGTTGCAAGCAAACAAGTACATTACTGTAACATAGTCTACAACTAATAACAAAACGCCCGCCCATGGTATCACAAATCCCGTCCTTACTCAACATGAATCATAACCTTACCACCACTAGACCCCTTCTTCAAATGCTCAAAAGCCTTATCCGCCTCCTTGAACCCAAACGTCGAATCAATCACAGTCTTGACTTTGCCCTCCACGAGCCAATCCCTCAACTGATCCAGATCCTTCTTCTTATTCGCAGTAGCATACGTGACAAACTTTGCCTTTACACCGCCCAGAAATGACGGTCGTACCAGGTTTGTAGTTAGGCTGAGCACACTCTTGGCTGAGACGTGACCGCCCACGAAGACGAAGCTGCTGCCGGGGAGGAGGAAGTCATTTGATGAAGCGTACAGGTTGGGCGGTGCGTCGCCGACGTTGTCGACGCAGAGGCTGAAGACTTGACCGCGCTTCTTGAGCTCGGCGATGACATCGCTGGTCTTGTAGTCGATGATATCATCCGCTCCCAGACTTCTGCACAGATCTGCTTTTCCAGTTGAGCACGACACCGTGACGGAGCATCCCAGCGCCTTGGCAATCTGAACACCCCAGAGTCCAACACCGCCCGAACCACCATTTATAAACACCTTGTCACCGCTCTTGACGTACGGCGCGATGGTCTGATACGCCGTCAACCCCGCGGTGCCCACACCAGCAGCCTGGTCCAGATCCAATGTCTCCGGGATAACGGTATAGCCCTCCCTATCGCAGACCGTATACTCGGCCAGCGAGCCCCAAGCCTTTGTGGGGGACGCTCTAGCTAGAACAAGGTCTCCTTCTTTCGCATCGGTCACGTCTTCTGCGACGGAGACTACGCGGCCGCTGAGGTCCATGCCTGGAATGTTGGGGAAGGAGGTTATGAGGCGCGATGCGACGCCGAGCTCGCAGACTTTGTAGTCGGCGGGGTTGAGGGCTGCGCGGGAGACTTTGACGAGGATCTGGCCGGGCTTGAGGGATGTTGGTTTGGGGGTTGTGGTGAGGCGGAAGACTTTTTCCATTGGGCCTGGGTGGGCGACTTGCCAGGCTTGCATTTCGGCCATTGTGAGGTTGTTTCTGTGTAATTGATTGTATTGTCGTGTCAAGATGGTGAGGTTGAGATTGAGGATAAAGCCGTTGATGGATATATGAACGATGAAATCACACGAAACGAAAGTCAATGACATGCGACGTACGCATCATGATATAAGTATCAATGACGTCTTTTACGACGCGGCGAAAAATAAAAAATTGTTACGAGTCTAGTGGAGATGCCTCGGCTCATGAGTCGGAAGAAAGACCAGAAAAGGGTCTTGAAGTCCGTTTATGGAGGTATTTCTATGTACGGCGTATCATTTGAAGTTTATTATTAAACGCTGGTATGTCATTATTCAGCTCAATGCATTCATGTCATTCGATTATGTTCTATTGTTGCGGGTAGAGTTTTTCGTATTGGGTTGCATTCGCGGAGATTGAAGCTTCGTGGGTGGTGTTTTGGCGGAGTTTTGTGTCTGCGGAGCTGGAAGAGATTCATTCAGATTATACTTATTCTCTGTTGACGGTTTCTCTTGAACGTGTTGGCCTGAGACGGTCGGATTGTGCGACTCGGATGTTCCAGCATGAGTTCGCAGGTCCCTACAACGAATGGCTTATCAAGATATCCGCAGGGGTTCAATCGCGAATCTCAAGCCTCATTTCGCGAGTCAACTGCATCGCCATTGTATTTAAACATTGACTCTCGTTGACGATAACCGTTGACACGGCACAGCCCGAGGTCGGTCCGCTCGCACCCAGTCGATGGTTTCAGAACCCAGCATAACGGTACACACCCAGCGACCCGTGCCGTGTCTGTGAAGACGGCGCTTTGGAAGATTGCTGCTTTAGAAAGGGCGTGTGGTGGTTGGGATCTCGCAACCCTGATGAGCAGATAAGATCGTGAAGCTTGAATGGTCGTGGCTTTTCGGCATCGTGAAAGGTACCGCGTTCGAGGTGTACTGCAAGGTTGGTGATGGCGACATGCTCAGAGAGCTCCCGATTCAGGCCGCCGAAGGCTTGAAAGAAATGCGCGCTCATTACCCAACGTGGCTTCTGCTGCTGCGCGCAATTTTGTCTATAGAAAGTCAGTTATTGAATGATGAAAGGTGATGATCTTGAGACAGCTCAACGCGATGGAACCTGTCCAACGCTCAGAGGCTGCTGTCGCAAGAATTTCATAGAGACGACTATCGAGTCGCGATGCCGGAGCGATTGAACAAGCTCCATCCTGGTGAGAACGAGCTGGAAATCGATCAATCGATCAATCGATCATCATCTCTGGTCATTGTGGATGACAGATTTCGCTTCGAGACATAATCTGGAGTCCGATCGATGATGCTTACTCACAGCCCCAGGTTAGATCAGATCTAGGGTAGCTCTCAACAATCACATCTCATTTCAGCAGCGACAATTCCTCGTTGCATTGTCACTGATCATCGCTTTTTTTCGTATGTTACCCTATAAGATCTAGAGATCTTCATCATGCCATGTCAAAGCGGCGGTCGCCATTGATGATATGATGGGATTTTCGCATGCACACTTTTGACCGTTGGGAAAACACACGATATGTGCAGCTCGAATTATCGTTCAGACCAAACCAGAAAGGGCACGGAGCTCATCATCACGAGACCTCGTAGCCATCATAAAACAGGAAATAGATATACAGTGCATCTAGAGCTGACGATCTTGGCGCGCCAAGGGAGAAGTCAATTCTATGGCTGAAAGCATAACTGTAACTTTACTGCTACCTTTTCTTTTTTCACTTTACTGATTGCTACCCTAAGGACATGGGATCTGATTCATGGTACTCGAGATGGTCCTGGTCAATGATTGGTGAGTCAATGACGAATGTCTCGTCTCGGCCGTCTGAACCAGAACGGATTTAACGTTGCACTCTGGAATTTAAAGCAAATGGACGAATCATGGAGAGGAGATGGAATGAAGGGCTATTGTTGCATGTTGCGGGGAACAATGAATGAGATGGGATGGGGTGGATGGATGGATGGCAGCGTCGATCAGCAGGCGTGGCCAGCATCTGAGACAAGTGATGATTGTGTTGTCCTGGGCAATCACCACAATGAGACAGTCATAAAAAATCTAGAACGAATCAACCCATTTTGCCATGGACTACAGAAGGATCAGTGCCGTCAGAGGCTTTTCAACTAAGAGTTAGCTGAACATGTCTGATGACTTGCTTGGAATCCAACGCCACTGACACTTTGGATGAGTGAGTGAGTGACCAGCAGAGCAAAAACGAACGATGCGGGAGAATGCTGCATTTGGAATACACATCCGCGTGTTCGGAAACACGGCTATTCAGAAATTTATCGGCCGAGTAGGGTATTCTAAATAATTAACCATAGTCTATAAGAAAATTCAGAAAATTCTTTTTTTTCTCCAGTCACGAGGATCCCCGGAGTTAGGCGTATTTTAATGAAGCTGGGGAGAATCTGACACGATGGCTTCAGAGTGAGTCCGGCCGAGGACCCACTTGGATCAGGAGCCAATGGATTGATGTGAGCCCAGGGGTACCTTCGGCAAAGCTCAGGGAGAACTTGACGACTCCAGTTTATGGATGGAGTATTCTGCTTGGTCATGGTTGACATCAAGTTACGGATACTCTATCTCAATCACTGATCTGGTGTCTGTTCTCGTGACCCCACGCGAATGTTGAGGGTCGACTTAATACAATGGATCGATTCCGAGGCCACGGTTCAGATCATGTGGTTGAAGCATCGCATCTACAGTACCTCCCTCTGGTCTGGGATGAATACCAGTATCTCGGTGCAATATCAAGTGTAACTTCAACTCCGCCGCTGACCTGCTTTATCTCCAACACATACGCACATAAAATGCACCAATACAAGATCGGTAATTAATTTACACAAAGAACCAACGTGGTAATTGCGGCTGTTCCAATCCAGTATGTAATGTTTCCATAATGGCAATAGAAACTAGACCCATTCGCGGCAACCATTTACGGCTCGTGTGAGCGTTCCTTTGAGTTCTCTTACGGAAGAAAACGCTGTATTACCAGAACCGAACGGCGCGCACCCCTGCTGCTGCTCACTGAGTGGTGTGGTTGAGAGCTCCTGTTCTTGGCCAGGCCCTTGACGTTTCGGCCCGGAAATTATGCACGATTCGCGGTGCTCGTGACGATGGTGGCTTGCTTCTCTACTCTAACATCACCAACTTCCATCAAAATATCTATTACCAGTATCAGCTGTGAAGTCCTGAAGGAATCGTTCCTCGGTGAAACGGCGATTCTCCCCGCAGCGTCGCTTGGGCTGAAAATCCGGAGATTCTGGGGTCAGATGCATGCCACTATAGGGCATCTCGGTCGCCGACTCGGAGGCACTCTTTGACACTTTTCTCTGGGGGAGGAGGTTCTCTGACCAGTTCCCCAGACCAGAGAAAAAAAAGTGAGGTCTCATGAGTGGAAAGGGTGGAAGCTATTACCCCAAAGTATTGGGTTGGCTGCGGTGGTGAGCTCGGTCAATTACAACCCATCCATGCAGTCGGGGCAGCAGGGGCGTAGCGTCTCGAGTACCACCGAGAGTCGCCCGTGGGACCCCTTTCTGTATTGTCCATTGCTTCTGCTGGGTAGGTACTGCGTTTTACTGGGTGAGCTGTTGGAAGAGGGTGGTGAATTTCCCCGCGTCGGGCTTTGGAGGAGGGTTGCGGGAGACTGCCGATTACTGGCTGAAGCTTGGAAAAGAGTGTGGTGTCGGTATGCTTACGGGAAACGTTAGCATGGCATTTTTGCAGATATGGTTACAGTGATCAGCATCAAGATAGGCTTCACCTCGCAATTCATCAATCCAAATCTACCTTGAGCTAATCTCTAATTTTTTTTTCGTACTGGTCAATGCCACGATGATTCACTCCATGGGTTATACCGCCAGCTTGGTTAAACCCTCTTCGCATTAAAGTCCGTTCCCGTCTGACTCGAAAGAATTACACTCTAGAACACCTTTTTTGGCTTCCCTTTTCTCTGGTCCCGTGATGGAAGAACAAGCCGCAAGGAAATAAACGGCCGGGCGATTACTCGGCGCTTCTCCCTGTAGACCCAGGCCCGTTAACGTTATGGGTCTTCAACCGCCGTCCACTAAAAGAACACGGGCAAGTTAATTGTCGGGTCCTTTTTTGCGTTCGGCCTTACTTCGTAGCACGCCCTCAGCAAAGACCCACGAGATTCCCCAGACCAGCCCAGATCAAGATATTGGAGCGCGTCAAGTTTTTTTCTTTTCTTTTCGTGATGATTTTTAATTAATTGAATGGGATCGAAATGAACGTGTTCTTGTGAGACGGTGACATGTTCACCACATGATTTAATTGTGGTACACAGAATCTTGGGCTGGTTGAGGCGGCGGAAGGGTATGTGAGTAATTGCCGCTGGTTTGTTTATTGTTGGTGCTCTTCATTCATTCATTCAGTGTCATTCTTGATTATATGGAATGCATGCATCTTCACTTAGACGCCCGACCTAGAATCGAATCTTTTACAGTTTCTCCGTATTTTTGCCATGTTTTTCTTACCCGCACCCCACTACCCGAAACCTCATGGCATGGCATTCTTTGCGGCCGCCTCCGCACTTTTCTTTAAGCCCAGGGGGCGTGCGCACAGCGTGGCAGCCCCTCCCCCCCTGTTCCCCCATTTACCGTGCCCCATGGGCCCCCGGGACCATTTTTAGTGTCTGGCCCCTAACTGTGTACGCTAACTACGGTATGGAGCTTCGCAAAGCTCCGAGGTCATGGGCACTGTCGCGGCGCCAAAAAAAACAGACGCGCGAAAGTGGTAGGATCAGAAGAATCTGGATGCTCGTGAACGGCCGATGGTTGCCAAGTTTACCTTAGTTACCCGAGTAGGCAACTTGTAACCTTGCCCCCCCTTGTAAGTTAGGTCGTTGTACCACTTGTGAAGGTCATGGTCCTTGACCTTGTTTGGATTAGCTGCGATGGGTTGGGGCAGCTTACAGCAGTGTCGAGGTGCATTGGCATGGCATGCTCTCATCTGTTCGGTTTGGTAACAGAAAGACACACGAACTACCAGGCACATCTTCAGTTTGCCGTCTGAGATTAAATAGACCCTGCTCCCCCCTCCCTCGTACAGACTCTCCTCCTCATCACAGCTCAACACTTCAACAACAGAGTCCTTGTTTCACATCCTCTCTCCTCCTGTGATTGACTTCACACAGATAAATACCCTCCCCCCCCTTCTCCCCCCTCATTCAATCTTCTTCTGCCTGGTTCACAAAAAAAAAGCAACCTTCAAAATGGGCGTTGAAGATCACAACGAGGAGCGTCGCGGCTCCGTCGCCCTCCAGACTGCCGACAATGTCGAGCAGATCGAGGCCCCCGTCACCTGGAAGGCCTACATGATGTGCGCTTTCGCGTCCTTCGGTGGTATCTTCTTTGGCTACGATTCCGGATACATCAACGGTGTCAACGGCTCCAAGTTCTTCATCCACCAGGTCGAGGGCGCTGGTGCTGACAGCCTCAGCGAGAGCCACACGTCTCTCATCACCTCTATCCTCTCCTGCGGTACCTTCTTTGGTGCCCTCATCGCTGGTGATCTTGCTGACCGCATGGGTCGCAAGTGGACTGTCATTACTGGTTGCTTTATCTACGCTATTGGTGTTGTTATTCAGATGATTACTGGTCATGGTGATGCTCTTGCTTGCATCGTTGTCGGTCGTCTCATTGCCGGTATCGGTGTCGGTTTCGAGTCTGCCATTGTCATTCTGTACATGTCTGAGATTGTAAGTCTAGCTCCTCCTCACACTGCCTTCACAACACCATGCTAACAGCTTCGCCAGTGCCCCAAGAAGGTTCGTGGTGCTCTCGTCGCCGGTTACCAATTCTGCATCACCATTGGTCTCCTCCTCGCTGCCTGTGTCGTCTACGGAACCGAGAACTTCGACAGCATGAAGTCCTACCAGATCCCCATCGGTCTCCAGTTCCCCTGGGCCGTCATCCTCGCCGGTGGTCTCTTCTTCCTCCCCGACTCTCCTCGATACTTCGTCAAGCGTGGCCGCATTGAAGACGCCATCGACGCCCTTTCCAAGGTCCGAGGCCAGCCCAAGGACTCCAAGTACGTCCAGTCTGAGATCGCCGAGATCGTCGCCAACGAGGAGTACGAGCGCCAGATCATCCCCTCGACTTCTTTCATTGGCAGCTGGGCCAACTGCTTCAAGGGCAGCCTCTGGGATGGCAAGTCTAACCTCCGCCGAACTATCCTCGGTACTTCTATGCAGATGATGCAGCAATGGTAAGATTGCGTCCTCAACACCAGAATCAAGATCACCACTAACAATAACCAGGACCGGTGTCAACTTCATCTTCTACTACTCTACCCCCTTCCTCCAGTCCACTGGTGCTATCGACAACGTCTTCCTTATCTCTCTCGTCTTCACTCTCGTCAACGTCTGCTCTACTCCCCTCTCCTTCTGGACTGTTGAGCGATTCGGTCGCCGAAGCATCCTCCTCATCGGTGCCTTCGGTATGCTTATCTGCCAGTTCCTCGTCGCCATCATTGGTGTCACCGTCGGCTTCAACCACACTCACTCCTCCCCCACCGCTGACGAGCCCGACCGCATGATCGCCAACAACATCAGCGCCGTCAACGCCCAGATCGCCTTCATCGCCATCTTCATCTTCTGGTTCGCCTCTACCTGGGGCCCTGGTGCCTGGATCGTCATCGGTGAGATCTTCCCCATCCCCATCCGATCTCGCGGTGTCGGTCTGTCCACCGCCTCCAACTGGCTCTGGAACACCATCATCGCCGTCATCACCCCCTACATGGTCGGCAAGAACCGTGGCAACCTCAGGTCCTCCGTCTTCTTCATCTGGGGCGGTCTCTGCACCTGCGCCTTCGTCTACACCTACTTCCTCGTCCCCGAGACCAAGGGCCTGTCTCTCGAGCAGGTTGATAAGATGATGGAGGAGACCACTCCCCGAACCTCTGCTAAGTGGCGACCTCACACCACCTTTGCCCAGACCATGGGTGCTGGTGAGGTCAAGCATGTCCCCAAGACTGAGCATGACGACAACGTCTAAAGACTATGAATCTTGTTAACAATTGCTGCTATTGATGAGGAGGTTATCTCTTTTTTTAATTATACCTGAAAGTGGAGGGTCATGATGATGATGACCAGGGGAGGAGAACGTACATGAACGAGCATAATGTGTAGATATCAGAAACAGACTGAATATCGATTCAACTATATCAATTATCTTTGCCTTTGTGATGTTAATTACTTTGCACTTCTAACATTTGTATTTCTTTTTATCAACATCAATGTGACATTTCTCAATCCTCAACTCTCATTCCACTGTTCTTGACTTACATCAAGGTCCCGGGCCCCGATATCGCAATAACAACAGCAGCCAAAAATGTTGGCTCGGTCCTCCAAACTTGCATAAGCCTTCCGACGTCAAAATTATAATACCGCGGCAACACAGATGCTACTCCTCAGCTGCTCGTCACTCGAGGCAGCCAAACCGCAGTAATATCACCCTCACCAACAAAGATTTATTGGGTGACAGATCAAGAAGTTGATTTCAACAGTATATACAGTGTAAAGTATACTATCTTGAAGTTCAAATAAACTCAGTTGGGTGTGTGGGAACTATCTCGTGGCGTGTTCGGATGACCCGGATAGATCCAGCCAAACGGATGCTTCGGGGGCAAGATTGGATCAAGATACCTCCAAGGAACGACAGTCTAGTAAACGCGAGATGCGACGGGTTTTAATCGGTCTCGATCAGTTGATCTGTGCTTGCTGGTGTTTGAAGACTACAAGGTTAAAGAGTCTTCTTGGGTTTAGAGTCGGCAATGATAGAGTCATATCATGGAGACTCATGCAGGAACTGGAAAGAAGACCCAGAGCAGACTCTTTGAGTTGAGCTTACGTTGGGAAAAGGCGTATAAAGGTCGAGCTACAAATCTGGACTTCGCAGCTAGCTGATGCCCCATGGGTAGTTACTGCTGGCCTCATGAAGGCGAGCATAAACCACCTGCAACTTCTGGCTTGTATCCGAATGATTAGGAACGTGGAGATGCTGATAGTTCGAGACCTAATAGAGAAAAAAGACGCGAAGCAAAAAAGCTCAGGCCTCGATCCTAAGCGACGAATAGACTTGGGTAAGTTTAGTACAAGTTTAGAACGCCTTTAGATAAGTACTGTATGTGGTACACTGATATCAAGTATGCTGTTCTATTTCTTACCCAGGGAAATAAGACACATTCGGTGCTCTGGAATTGATAGACTATCTTGTATCTTCTCAGCTGAAATTTGGAAGATTACATATGAATCATGGCTTCATAACTCTTCATCATATTCTTTCATTAGCAACAACAAGTCTATATTTCATGGAAACTCTGCCAACAAAGCCTCAAAAGCCTGCATCAAATCTCCCTTTAGATCCCCCAAGTCCTCCACTCCAGTACTGATCCTCAACATCCTCTGATCCTCACCACGGCTCGACATAGCACGCCACTCACACAAACTCTCAACACCACCCAAGCTAGTCGCATGTTGAAAGATGAACAGCTTGCTCGGTAAACGCTTCGCATGCTCTGGTTTCTTCAGCCATAGACTGAACACGGGGCTGTGACCACCTGGCATTTGTCCCTTCAACCACTCCGCATCTTGTTGGATAGACGAGTGTGAGATCTTGTGGACTATACGGCCGATGACGGATGAAGAGTCTGAAAGACCGGCGTTGAGCCATGATACGAGTGCTTCGGCGGTTTGCGACTGACGCATCACTCGTAGGTGAAGAGTCCGTAGTGATCGAATGCCCAGCCAACCTTCCAAACTTCCCATGACATTTCCTAACACCATTCGCTCATCTCTCAATGTCTGCTCCAACCCGGATTTAACCTGCTGCGGAGAAACGATGACGATACCACAGAGCATATCAGAGTGTCCTCCGATATACTTCGTCCCACTATGCATAACCAAATCCGCTCCGAACTGAATCGGATCCTGCAAAGGCGGCGGTGCAAGCGTAGCATCAACCGTAAGCAATGCCCCGGTCTCTTTGGCCTTCTCACTAAAGAATGCAAGGTTTCTCGCTTCGCCTGTTGGGTTCAGCGGTGTTTCGATATGGATCATATCCCCTGGCCCTGCTTGATCTAGATCATCAAGCGAAAGCTTCTTCAGGCCGTTGAGCTTAGTCATGAGCTCAATGACAGCGTGGACACCATGATAACCGTCGGAAATGAAGACTTTCTTAGGATTGATGGCGACCAGCATTGAGTGAAAAGCTGCGACGCCGCAGGAGTATGATACAACGGGGTTCTTGAACAGCGTCTTGAGGACGATTTCAAGTCTGTTGTAGTTGGGGGCTGTGTAGCGAGAGTAGACGTGTGAATCAAATGGAGCATTTGGCTATGAATGTTAGTAGTGTTTGAGATTGGCGAGGGCTGGGGAAGTACGTCGTCGTTTTCCATCTCAACGAGATCATCAGGATTGCGGGCATAGCGGTAGTTCACAGCGGAGTGCATAGCCGGGGCGATGGCCCGGTGAGGACTGACAAAGTCATCTGCGTGAACGGCCTGAGTTGAGAAATGGAAGTTTGGTAGGGCTTCGGAGTGAGCTTCGGTTGTGAGGATGAAGTTGTTGGATGCCATGTTGAAGGTATCTGTCGATGATCCGGCGATATCGGGATCCTCTTTGCTATTCGAGGAAATTACTGCCTATTTTATACTATTTCTTACTATCGGATCTCGGTCGGATCGTCGGCCGGTATATAGTTATCAACTATGCTATCTTGACAAGATGGCTGCGAGCTAATGTCATGACATTGAAAAGGGCGCACAAGCATCTCGGTCCGACACCGGAGTTCGCTATCATGATGTTTCTCCCACTCAACACTCGCAATTTGATAAGGCAGAAAGATAGTAAAGTCTGCCTAGTGGATCAGTAGAAGTTGTTACATAACCGTTCAATTACTCAGTGCCTAAAATTTCATCCCTGAGATGTCAGATATCCAGTGGTGGCCCTCAGCTAACTCACAGGTTAGACCTCAAGACCTCCGACTCTGCCTTTGCCTTACCATATAACTCCTTGAAAACCAGATCATCCAAAAGCGCCTCAGCGCGATGATAAAAAGGTCTACGGAAAGGGAAAAACGGCACAGAACACTCCATATTGTCCAGGGCAAAGATTCGCGAGTGAAAGTCAGCCTGTAGATCGTACTGGATCGAATACACAATGAAGGGGAAGTCGTGGGCAAGCACGAGCATCTGCTACTTGATATAGCTGTCAGTTAGTCTCTTTTCCTTTGTAGAGAGGTATTTGTTCGAGTTGAACCCGTTTTTCTTCATGGCTTCCAGGTCCTTCTTTGTGAATCTCAGGACTCCAGTTCTGAATTGCCCAGAGCCCGTGGATACATCCCAGAGTATGGGGCTGTTATAATCGTTGCAGCATATATCCAGCGTGCCAGTGATTTCTGCACCAGAACCAGCGAGTTCAGACTCAGCGAGGAAGAATCTCTGCCAGGCCGTCTCGTATCTATAACTCTCTGTCAGTAGCCAGATACCAAAAGGAGTCAACTTTGCTTACCTCGTCATGAGCGAGTTGGTCTCGGATGTTCCAAAGACCAAGTTTTCGAAGTTCTGGCTTGTGGAGAACCCTTCTGGATCGTCGTCACTGCTGATACCTCCCCAGGAAAAAGCTGAAAGATGAAGCCACTGCAGGAAAACGTCAACGTTACACGTCCCAGGTGCCTGAAGTGCAGTACTCACTTCCGCAGGAAAAACGCGAGATTTCAGCCGTTTGCTGCCCCAGCCCATGGCGCTACCAATCTCGACGAATGTAAGCATGTAGGGGGCTGATGAATATCAGTGGCAGCTCACCTCTGTCGCTGAAACACCTCCCATGATCTCCTTCTGGCTCGCTTCATCAGGCCGTTTCCCAGCAGCCCGTTGGATCTTGTCAACATCGAGATCATTCCGCAGAATTGCTGTCCCACACCCGACTTCATATACCTTGTTCAAAGCCTTAACGCTCTTCTTCCTCTTCTCCCGTTTCTTCTCAGCCAGGGCGCGTGCTTTCGCCTTGAGGTTGTTGAAGGGTCGAGGCACTTTCTTTGGATACTTTTCCTTGAGATTTTTCAAGTCCTCATCCTCTGAATCGTGACTCTTCCCGCTTTCGTTCTTCATGGATGCCTGGAGGGCGATGTCAGCGCCGCCGACTTTAAGCATAATGCCGTTGCAGAGATCGTATAGTTTCTGGTTGACGCGTGGAAAAGGCCGAATTGAGGATCCTGTTTTCTCCAGTGATTCCATGTATGTATCCCAGTCCTTCTGGTGGATATAAGTCTCATAAAGGTTGAAAGGATCGTGGGACGTCTGCAAATGATGGTGGTGTAAGTTAGCTGCTTGAGAGAAAGGTTCATGATGTGTAGACTATGAACTTACCATGATGTAGCCCTCCTGTTTTTGTTCTGGGTGGATCTGAAGCTTCCATGGATAATGATTGGGATCTTGGGAGTCTGGATCGGAAGTATTGTGGATAACGTCGATGAGACGTTGGAAAAACTTATCCGGAGTCATAGAGAACCTCTTCGATATCATGGCCTCATGACTACCTTTCAACGGCTTGATGAGGATTGGCGATGTAAGCGAAATATTGAGATGGCGCACAGGTTTTCCTCTGTGCTTTGAAGCAGTGTCAAGAACGCCCATCTGAGGAAGGATATCGTGCCAGCCCTGCCATTCTTTCGATAGTTGGACTGTGTCAATATCGCCGGACTCGGTTCTTACAGGGATTTTTGGAAACCCCTCCATAAAGTGAGGTTTCCAGTCGTTTGTGCGTTTCAAGAACTCTTCTTCCGATTTCTGCCACGCTGATAGTTCAGACTCGGATTCCCTGGATAAGACAATACAGTCAGAGTTGTTCGAAAGACTGGCTTCACGATGGAGCTTACATTTCCTTAGTCTCTCGTGACCAGTTGATTTCTTGTGAAGAACCCAGGACAATGAGGGCAAAGAGCGAGACAAAGAAGTCTTTCTTAAGATGGTTTTGGAATAGACTTCGATGCTCTTTGTTTTTGGCCTCGATCCTGATGTAGGCCGGCAGCCGTTTCGCACCTGGACCCGCGGGACAAGGTGCGTAGAAAGGGTATGGCCTCTGTATTGTTCCAGGGTTAAATTCCCAAATGACAGCGTCGAAACCCTTCGTGTGAACTTTGCGCCATAGTCCCTCACTTGAACGAGTTCTCCCCGCAACGAAGTCTTTGGTTTCATATTCATTGACCACATAATCGTGGGTTCTATGGCTGAATGCAGGAGCTTGGTTACTCTCCATATTGGTAATGGTGGGATTCTGGTTAAGAAACCAAGAAGTCTCTTTCAATATAGGTGATTATGAAAATCAATCTTGGTTGTTGAAAAGCATATATTGCACTTTATAAATGAGTTGCTATGTGTCCAGCTGTTAGTGTTTTTATTACTAGAGCAATGCATTCCTTGCTCCCATAGCCCCATCTGAAGCATTGTAAGTGGCATTGGCATAGGACTGACGCTTGATACCCAAGTCGCAATGGTCAGTGGCGTCAAAACTTGCCTCGTGTACAATAACATATCGATGTTTGCAGTCATTCAGACATGGAAAGCTACAAAACTCGGTTATTACGGCGCAAAGAAACTAATCATTAGGAATGTGATGTGGCCCTTCTGAAATGAGCATTGCATGATGCCGGAAGGTTAACAGAGATACGAGACCCTCTTTCAAGTTTGTCTGGGGTCATTTCCCCACGGTTTGACCCCCAAAGCCGCATCTAAACCTCCTTTACAGCCCAAAAGTAGATTAGGAAGCTAAAGAGAGACATCAAATTGTGTAAGGTTGGCATGGGGTCCAAGATATGTGGACAGACCGCTTACTGGTAAGTTTCTCAAGAGGGTATACGAATTATGCGGAACTTGGGTTTCTTTGCGCATTAACATAGCCGACACTACAGAAACCCGTGTCTGGCTACGAATGTGAAGCTCAAAAGAAGTGTAAAAGGAATGTTGAGGATACGACGTATGTGATACTGTGATATTATCCTTTGGCCTTTTAGAGTTCCACATACAGATGACTGGCCTACTATACGAAATAGCATCTACTTAAAATTGAGTTTTGAGGAGAAACATACTCTGCATGGCTGATGGTGCTTTCTGAATCTCCTTTATATCCTTCGTGATAGTCGCATTTGATGAAGTGTGGCTTGCTGTGTCCGCATTCGGCACTCAGCTGAGGTTATTCAAGCCATGGTTGCCGTTTTGCCGGTTTTACACCGAAACTTCTACATGGCGTTATACATTCCAACGTCTTTTGGGGATAAGCTTCACCTTGCACGGCGTCTGTGGAACTCAAACGAGTTGACCTGGCCTGACCGGAGGAGGAAAGAAACCTCAGGACCTTGACCCTAAGCAATAGAATTATTCAGCTAAATCTAGCCTAAGTTTAAGGGTGTATTTACTAAATTTAATGTAATTTATAGCACTTTTTCAAGTTTAGATGAAATTGAAAAAGAAAACCTAGCAAGCAAATCTTACCTAACAGCCTAGAGCTTTGCCTTGGGGTCCTCCTCAGCAGGTCCTCCGCCCTCGGTATCATCATACTTGATAGCCATGAACTCTCCCGGGTAATACTTGGCAGCCCACATTTGCGCCAGCATCTTCTGATCAATGTCCTTGAGATAGTAGTTGATGGGAATACCAGATGTTCCCTGCGTAGCCTTGCCCAAGTAATCCTCCAGGGCTGTCATCATAGAGTTAACATCAAGAATCTTATTCTTTTCCCCGTCAATCGTCGCCAGAGCACTTAATGAGGACTCAATCTTCTTACCCTGCATCTCAGATGCTTGGCCAGTTGTTCTCGAAGCCTCGGCCATGGACTGAACGGAAGATTGATCTGACGAGACTGCATTCTGCATAGCGGCAACAGCCGCCATGTTGGACTTGGGGTCAAAGTCGTTGAACTTGCTGACAGCAGTTGCGACTTCGTGGGCTACCATTGAGGGGATAACACCCATAGAAAGGACCGTGACGTGAGATTGAATGTTCTGCTGGCTGAGGAGATTCTTGACGTTGCTGGCGAAATTGGAATCAACACCGACTTTGCCCTCTGCCTTGGCGAACCAGGCACCGACGTTCATGGTCGACTGCATTTGTGAGGCAGCAGCCTCCATAGATTCTGAAGCAGACGAGGATGTGGTGTTAAGCACATGGACCATGCCAACGAAGCTCGATCCATATGTGACGCCTGAAATAATCGAGAATTTCTCTTTATCTTCCTGACTCTCGTTCATCGCACACTTCATCATGCTTGATCCACTGGTGGGATCAAGCTTGCTCCCAGGAAAGAGATGGTTCCAGACCTTGATAGCCTTATCTACGTGTAGCACGAAAGGAGCCACGATCGAAGCATTCTTGTGCGTGCAACTCACAGACAGAACCAGTGTGCCCTCGATGCTGTGTGAGCTGACCTGACGACTGACTTGTCTGGAAGCTGCATTTCCAATCCTCATCGACTGTTTCGCCCCGAAGACACTACTAACAGCCCCAGAAACATATGACGCGATCTGAGCGCTATACGTCGCTGAGTTCTGTGAATTGGAATCAAACGAAAAATACTGAACATCCATGTTCATCGTGTCATTCGCCAGCGCAATGGTTTTGATCTCACTGCGCAAGTAATCAACAGGACTCTCGATCTGCTTGTGGACAGAGTGTATGTCCTTTCTTATAGCGGTGATCTGAGGTTCAGCTGCCATTTTGGTAGCGGCGTAGGCACCAGCCGAAGCCTCGACTGCGGCGTTGAGCTTCTTGAGCTCTTCGTCGAGAGCATCGGTCCCGACACCGAGGTTCTTGAGCTCCGTCTTTGTCATGGTGAGACTGCGCTTTGAGGAGATGAGAGAGTTGAGAGCGTCTTGGGCAGCGTCGACGGGGGCTTGCAGAGCTGCAATTGCCTCGACGCTCTTGAGGGCGTCTTGGTTTACGACGCTCATGAGGGTGAGGCTTGAGTCGTAGGGGATGGAAGTCGGCATGATGATGGATTGTCCGAATTGGAGTGAAGTGAGTTGAGTATGCTGGTTCTAGAAAATATTGATAAGTTTGGAAAAGTCTGGGAGAAAAGGAGATGGAGATGTGTGTTGATCTTGGTCGGAGCTTTGTATAATTCAATAGTTCACAGCTTAGTATCTTTGCAGGAGCTCTCTGAGGGCGATCAGCAGGGGGCTCCAAAGCTGCCATGTGTCAAACGTCCTGCGAGAGCTTGACGAACAGCCAAGCTCCAAGCCCATGAAAGCTAGTAGAATTAGAATGGCGTAATAGGGCAGACTGAAAACGGCAATTGTTACTGCGGCTGATGGTATTGGCATGCATTGTCAGCTCCTGGCCGGCAGGAATGTCACCCAACGTCTAATTGACTCTGTCTTATCTTTCTAAGTTCTGCCAAGAGCAAGGATTTTACAGCAAGACAGAAGTCTATCATATACATCAGAGATACCCTAGTAGGGGAAGGGAAACCCAGGGCCTCGATCCTAAATGGCAAAAAGACTTGGGTAAATTAGCATAAGTTTTGGAAACCTTTGTAAAGCTTAGGATACCTTTGCTGAGTTTAGGATACTTTTGCTAAGTTTATTTTGGCACTCCATATCAATGTACCTGTTATCTTGCTCCCTGGGGATACCTCACAGTAAAATTCACTCGGCATCCTTCCCGTGAAGTGGTGTGAGCATCATTCCAGGTGCTAGGCGAAGAGCTTGTAGCTCGAGGCTGGCTGACATTCGTAAGCTTAGGGTCCGCAAACTCAATTGATATAGGCTGCATACCATGTCCAAGCTTGAGAGCTTCAGCTTAGAGCTTTGAATACCTTCATAAAAACTGACACGATGATAGAGTTGCCCAGATATCTTATCACATTCGTCGTTGGTGAGTGTAATGACAAGTGAGAATGCAGCGAAACCTTCATCTTCACAAAGCTAACATCACAAGACGATGAGCTTCCTCTTCCGGACGTAAACTAGCTTCTAGGACATGTAATGAACTTCTGTTTTTGTTTTAATTCGTGTCTTTATGTCTGTATTCTTCTCCAGCTTTCGCCTACTCCGGTAAAGCCTCTCCAGCCGCGAGACTGCAAACACAGAACTAACTTCTTCAGTGCGTCCAAATAAACCCAGAAGTTTGACTGAGGCTATTTGAATCATGCTATATATGGTAGCCAGAACGTTAGGACTATGACAGTCATAAGTACGAAGTTCGGTCACTTCGTCATGTCCTTCCAAGAAACAATTGATGAACTTGAGTATTCCCGCATTCAAGAGCCAAGTATCCCAGAATACGAGCAACAGATCACTCCCACTGAAAGCCCAATTATACAAACTCTCAAAGATATCCCAATGCCTGTCCAGTCAAAGATTGCGCTGAGTGCCCCAGATCGTCTTTTCTTTAGGTTGAACGAGTAAGTCAACGCTCCGTGGCTAAACCTGACGACCATCTAATTCGACTCGCAGACTCATGAAACCCACCAAAGACCTTGGCTCTGTCCTTACCACCTTCAACTACGGCCTCTACCTCTTGGCCTACTTCGACTCGAAAGCCTACAATCTCAAGTCCAAAGCCTTATCATTCGTCAGACCCGAGACTGCTTTTACAGCTCTCCCTGGCGCTGCTGAGGCAGAATCATCCCCATTTGCGAGATTGGGCTCTGTAGTTGCAAATGCCAGGTTGACCTTGAGGCTATTCGGCCTGCTCCCTATCTACGTACGGGTCAGGAAGTTGATTAGAGACGGTAAGAGCATGGACACCGCACTCTACATTATCTCTTTTGTCCAGTGTTCTCTCTATGCCACGTTTCAGCTCCTTGAGAACATCGCTTTCCTCACGGAAAAAGGTGTCTTGATGAAATGTGGTCTGGGATGGCTCTTCAATGGCGCAGGTGGTCGGGTTGCAAACATGTACAGAGTTGCTCACAGGGCCTGGTTCTTGGGCATCATCTGCGACTTTGCTCGTCTTATGCGTGAGGCTCAGATATTCTTTACCAAGAACCATCTTGAGAAGGGCGAGATCACGCGAGAAGAAGCTGAGAAGGCAGTGCAGTGGTACTATGATTGGATCCGTCCTCTCGCATGGCTACCCATTGGTTGGCATCTGTCAGGATGGATGGGAGAGAAGGAAACAGGTTTTAACTTGGGAGTTCAAGGAGCAGCGGGTGTTTTGGCTGATCTTAGAAGGACGGCTATGCTCTGGCATGCAACTCGGGAAGCCTGAAATATCTGCATTATCCAGGATCCAAATGATGTAAAGATACGCCACATGGATGGAATTCTTAGTACAGTGATCGGAATACACCTAAACTTGTGGAAAGTGGCTTCCAGATGATAGTGAGAGGCTGTGGGTAGAGATTATTACCAGTACGTATTCCTGGAATTCTCTTTTTCTCACAGCGACATGAGCGATTTGTTGAGGTTTGAGGTTTCAAGAATTAACTCGTCTTTATGAGACGGGAGTCTAATTAACACTGATCAGTTATAACGAAATACTTCCTAAGTGGTAACAATATATTCAACGAAGGAATACCTTGTCTAACAAAGGCTTCCTTTACTAAAGTTCATCATGTATCTACTATATGAATGAGATAGAGCCGTTTAAGAGGCGCTAAGTTCCGGCTGGAAGGTAAAGGTAGTGCCTGGTATCAAGGCAACTCTGCCAATACTGACTAATCTCTGCCACTCCATGTTCCCTGTGCTAGCCCATATCTTGGTTGCTATCTTATACAAGTCAACATCACACGAAGCCCGCGAGGTAAGAAAGAATTAACCAACCTTGAATTGTCGCTGGTAGCTTACTTGGCAAGGGCAGTCTTGATCTCGACGTGCTTAACAGCCCTCATTTCCTGGCCCAGGGCAGCGGCACGACCGGGAAAGTCACAGTCAGAGCCTTGGCCCTTGCAGCACCTGTCGAATCCACTGAGATGCTCAGAAATGGAACTAGCTTTGCAGTCATTACCAGAGTATACACCATGGTAATCGTTACAACACTTGTGAGTTGCGCCGTTGTTGAGGTTGCCCTTAGTTCCGTAGCACTTGCATGCTTCTCCAGTGGAGAAGAGCAAGGCGGTGACATTAAGAATAACAAGCTTTGAGAGTTGCATGTTGGCCGAGGAGAAGTAGAGGAGAGTAAAAGATCTGAGAAAAGGGTTTTGAGGCGAGAAGATGATTGTTGATCTTGAGAGCGCTGAGATTGAGGTTCAAAGGGGGCTTTTATACTCTTGTCTGCACCGCTTCTTGTGTACCGACTTGGTCATAGTGTTGTCCACTGGCTTGGATACGGCCAGCTGGCTTTGATGGTATCAAAAAAGCGACATAACATTGTTGGTTCAGTGACTTAATGTCTATTGGTTGTCACCATGAGTGCGCAGATTCACAACTACAAGGGTCCATGGGTCGTCGGGACTAGTGAACCGAGGAATCCGGATTTATGTCTTGTTATTTTTCATGCTATTTGAAAGTCAATGAGCCATTTAACGATGCCTAACATGCAACACACTCATAGTTCACCCCCCTTCAGTGATGCCACACCTTATTCTTTAAAAAAAAAAAAATACTCGCAAAACGAAACGGCCTTTCTTACAAAAAGATGGTCTCTTGACGTTGCAACGTTGCGTAGCTCTCAAAGAGCAACGGCTGGGCTGAAGGCTGGCCGCAAGGTTAAGCTTTAGCCTAAAGGCCAGGCTTCGCATCCGAGGCCTTCAAAACCCTGTAGATGATCAGTGGAAGCCAAGTGTCCGTGCCATGATGCACATTCCAGTCTGGTTATTTCGGCAATAGAAAAATATGATTAAAATGAGAGGCAAAAAGAAGCTTGACTGGGGCCTTGAAGTCATGCTCCAATCGGACCAGCGCGGGCTGATAGCCCAAGCGAAGGCCCCTGCACAACAGGCGGATCTGATTGGATTTCCCAATACGGCCGGCCCGTACCTTAGAGGAAGGTATTCAAGCTTTTATCAGACCATGTCTTAAATGCAGGGTACAACCAACACAGTTTAGCCCACATCAGAGACCCCATTGGCGCTTCTAGCTTGCTATCACTGTAGAGTGGAGGCTAATAAGAAGCGAGTGAAGCACTCAACCAACACAACTCGGTACTTTTGAGGACTACAAGTTTCAGACATTTGACAGAACCAACAGCGTCCGTGACACGAGCTTTTGACCACCGTAATTGGATACTCACGGCATTTAGTTGCCGTGAGCGGAATGCACACCCAACATGACATCTCATCTCTTTACTGCTCAGCCTGTTCTACGCTGGTTCCCTGAGCCATTTTGTAAACTCTTTGATACAAATCCGTAATGCCATTTGGCTCACCTGTGTACGTACAGACACAACTTGCTAGATTCCCTCTAGAATCCCTTGTCAACGATGGTCAGCCCACGAGACTTTCACAATGACCCACAAACTTCAATTGCGTTGGCTTTGCTTCTCGCAGTAGCAACAAGCTACCTCTTCCGCCGAGAGGACGAACTTTTGTCAGAGATTATCTGTTGGGCATGCTTGCCGATGATATTTGGAGCCAATAACTTTAGAGAACAAGCCCGTGCAGATCTACCGACCAGGAGTGAGACTCAGCATACTCTCCCCTCACCGTTATCGCTGTGGGCTGTTGCGGGTTGTCTTTCTATCGCATCCGGATGTCGAGCTGAGGCGGATAGTTTCAAGCTCTTGGTATGTTCAATGGCATGCCCTGGAAGAAGGTGACGGTAACAGAAATGCGTAGCCTATCTTGACCCCCTTGCTGCTTTGGACAGATGGAGCCCTCGATCGAAATTCTCAGGGGCGCGATCCCACCGACACTTCAAAGTTAGCCCCCTTATCCAGTAAGCTCTGGACAGCATCACTCGCTGCAACTCTTTTGACCTTTGTTCTGATCGACTGGAATTACTCTGGACTTGTGCCCTCTGGCGTTGCGACTGGCGCATCTTTCATCGCCTATGTTTCGTTCCAATCGAGACCAAGGGGCGGTCACTTCTTACCTCACCTGAATCCCTTCGAGGAGCATGTTTACTCTCTTGCACCAAGAGTGGCAGGAGTCCTTTTAGTTGGTAGTCTTGCCAGAGTATCCGTCTTTGGCCTTCCACGATCTAGTCCCCTGTACGCTTTGTTTCTGGGACTGGTAAAGGCACTTTCCTGGCGATGGGCTGCCAGAGCTGTACGTAACCATTTCCCCTCCATTCATATCTGGGCTTCTAACTTCTAAGTCAAGGCTCGTCACACGTCATGGACTCTTCTGACTATGGTGGCCACCTTTGGTCTTCTAGTAACGCGCGATCCGTTCGAAATCACATTTGAGAGCCAGGCATTGTTGAATGCTGTATCTGCCTTGCTGTGCCTCGGCCAGATTGCCGGTTTCGTCCCCAGACACAAACGCCCAACGCGATTCTTGTATTCTTGCATCATGCTGCCGATTATACCCTATGTAGCCAATATTATGGCGATTTATCACGCGCGAACCGAAGCTGCTACCTTCACCGCGGATACGCCACACCCAGTCAGGGCCCTGTACAATAAAGCACAGAAAGAGTTCGAGAACCAATCTACGAGGCAATCCACATCCTTCGACGCCGCGTCGCATAATTATCAGCATAAATACGGTATAGAGCCACCGTCAGGCTTCAAGGGATGGTACGACGCTGCGCGTTCTAATGGTTCACCATTGATCGATGATTTCGATTCATTATATCAGACAATATCGCCGTTCTGGAGGCTAAGCGGCAGTCAGGTTCTGGATGCCATGCTTCAAGCGAAAAGCCTCCCTGGAAGCGATTTGTGGCTTTGCACGTTCTCAGGGACATCGTCGACAACAACCTGTAGTCACTCCTATCGTACTTTTGACAGGCATGTGTCGCGTATGTTCAACAACATCTTGGCCAACTTCACTGGGCTTCCTGATGTGACGTTTCTTGTCAATCACATCGATGAACCTCGTGTCATTTCACAGCCTTTCCCCGAAGCATCTTCCCCGCACGATCGAAGGATAACTGTGGGAGATCGCAGCCGACATCCTATATGGGACTTGTTGACCAAGAACTGTGGCCCTCGTGAGAGAGAAGCCGAAGGCCAAGACAACATCGATACCTTTGGCCTGCCATTCGTGACCAACATCTCTTCGGCCCAAGATCTCTGTCAACACCCAGAGTACAGCGCCTCACATGGTTTCATGATGAGCCCCGTCTCATTTCGCCCAATCCATGGCCTGGTTCCTATCTTCTCAACCGGCAAACTATCCACAATGAGTGACATCCTCATTCCGAGCCCAGCGTATACTGAGCAAGAGTTCATTTACGACGAGTCGAAAGATGTTGATTGGGACCGAAAACGAGACAGCCTCTACTGGGCTGGCTCGAATACTGGGGGTTTCGCGCTTGATACCCACTGGCAGCTCTTCCATCGACAAAGATTTGTTGAGCTGACGCAAAATTTGAGAACGAACAAATTTTACAACTACCTACGAACGAAGGGTAGTGCCGTGCAGAAAGTCAAATCTTCCTTTCTGAATGGAAGACTGTTTGATGTCACCTTCACCCGCATCTTCCAATGCCAGAGAAAAGCCTGCAGGGACCAAGATGCCTATTTTGACACCAAATCCTGGGTAGATAAAGATGAAGCCCTCAAGTCAACGCTTGCCTTTGATATCGACGGCAACGGTATCAGCGGCCGTTATTACAAGCTACTTGCTTCCATGTCGGTGCCAATAAAGCAGACATTATTTCAAGAATGGCACGACGATCGACTAATACCTTGGCTGCACTATGTACCTGTCAGTCGAAGTATGGAAGAGCTCCCAGAGCTTGTCTTTTATCTCACCTCGACTCCATCCGGAAAGGAGGTCGCGAGGCAAATCGCACGGCAAGGTCGGCAGTGGCATACGAGGGCGTTCCGCGAAGTCGATATGGGTCTCTATGTTTACAGGCTGCTGTTGGAGATGGCAAGGCTTCAAGATCCTCAACGGAAAGCAAACGTTCCTTGGGAATAATGAATATGGGGGAATTCTGGATTCGTGAAGTATCTTAGGCGAATTTCATCAAATGAACTATCTACCCCTCTGCGCATGGCACTCTTTGGCGTGGTATATAACACGTTGTATTGCACTCAACCCCTCAACCCCTCAGCCTTGGAAACCTTATGATAGTAGGATAACGCGACACCAAACTCAATCACCGATCGTGAGACCTGTCCTTTTAGGGCCATGTCAACTTTGGTTCCCACGATGCCACAATAAATCCAGAAAAATGATCGGCTATACAGGAATGGCCTAAGTGCATTTAGACGTATTGCGTGTATTCATGATGTATCTCCATCCCTCTCCCCCCACTCGTGTCCATAAGGTTAACAGATAGGCTTATATTCTCAAATCATAACCTTGACCGATTAGTGGCCATGTGGCTGAGCTCTAGACTGCCACTACCAATGCTTTGTGTTCAAACGAATTGTGGCTTGTTCAACGAAGCTTCATTTCACTGAAAACTTATTGCTGAGTATGGCCGAATTTCCAACTCAGTCATCAGGATATCTAGCTTTTCAGCCAAAAGCAATATTCTCAGCAACAGTAAAGGCAAAGAGCATGGAGGCTGAAGCCTCTTTCAACCTCATCACAGTCAGTACAAATACAGGGCGCCATAAATCTTGGATAATGACTCATCGTGAAGCCCTAGTGGTCTGATTGCGCGACTTCACTGGTCATCAAGTTCGAACGCGTTACTCAGATCTTATGTATAAAGAGGCCCTTTGCCTCGACTCTATTCAGGACAGCGCGTAGTGCAAGCATAAGCTGTCACATCTATCAACTCAACGCAGTATTCCCCCATAAACTCAGTTCAAGCAGTAGGCCAGCTACCCACACAATTGTCACTCAGAGTCCATCACCCAGAGCATCGCACTTCTATCCACATACCTCACCCTCAAGCCAAACCCTCTTTTCTTGACCAACGATGAAGCTCTCCCCGCTCGCCATCTTGGTCTTCGTGGGTCTTCTCTCTACAGGAGAAGCATGCCCTCCCCCCCCTCCAGGAGACGCTTTCACATGCTACAGAAGAGGAGTGCGCAACATCCAAAGGACCCGAGAATGCTGCAGGAAGACTCAAGGCGAATATTATGAATTCGGAGGGAGATGCCACTATGCCCCCGACTATAAGGAATTAGTCTCGGCGGACAAGATTATCACTGCTGAGGAATGCTGCGACGCCTAGTATTCCGCCTTTTCCTGGAAGCATAATGCTACGGCTAAGAATGTTACTGCTTATTAAATCGTAAGTCTTGTCGAGATCGAGGTTACAGCGGGTTGTTTTGTTGCTATATGCTCTGCTTACTGACCATCCTTTCCAGGGGTCTTTCACGATGGTGAGATTTAATTGGTAGTATACATTAGGGAATGGGATCTTGTGAAGGAGAGTCGAGGTCCGTCTATCATAATAAGAAGTCTCTCCAGCCTGAGAGCCACAGAGCAAGATATAATTCTATAGGGCTCAAAGATTATAAGGCTGTATTGTGATTTGGGCCGAAATAATAATAACCTCTAAGAATAAAGTCAGCTTCACTTTAGCCTTGCTTTGCAGGTGTATCAAGCTCAACGACTCCTTCCTTATGTAAATACGACCGTACTATTCTCAAAAATAGAATAAGAGTATGATGTGACCAAATCCTGTATGATGCATCTTTCTCAACGTCTATTATCACGGCTACGCCGGGAATCGAACCCAGAATCTTCCGATCCACTCTCGGACGCCGTGCCATTGGGCCACGCAACCTGCATTTCACTTCTCACGAGCGAAAATTCGACTCGACTGCCCCCCGGATGGCGAGACAGCCAATGAGTGCCGACCCTTCCGAAGGATTCAAAATCTGGCCCCTTTCTGTGTGAGATATTGGGAAATGACATTGGGTGGTCCGTGTGACAAGGAGGGTAAGCAGCGGGGTTGCATGCGTAGTGCTTATTGGTGTGACTTTTCGCATCAGCTTGTCCGAGTCCAGAGGTATTAGAATAAGTATAAAGAGAGATAATGCCTCGTCTTTCACACTTGAGACCTTGAACTGGGTATTTCAGTTTGATACTGTTATTTAAGTATGGCTTCAACTCTGAACCCTGTTCGCATTGCTATGCGTGACAAGCACTACAATGAACGCTCCGAGATCCAAAATGCAGCTATGAAAGCTGGCCTCGACTTGATCCCCAGCTTTTCGGGCAGTAAGCAATATCCTGGCATCCCTTTTATATTGGCCAAGCCGATGCTGACCTCTGGTAGGAGACAATTTGGTAGTCGTTGACTATGGAACTGCCCAGGGTGCTAATTCGTAAGCCTGGAGCCCTGGCTTTACATTGCCTTGTTGACGCTCTCAAGCATCGAACCTGTAAAGAAGGCCATCTCAACCTTGCCGGATGGCGCTATCGCTTCTCTCATCTTCGAAGATACCCCGTTCAACGACTTTGGAACCTTGGCAAAGACTGTCTCAGACAATTTTACCAACCAAGACAGCAAGATCCAGATCGTGCCAAGTCTTGTTCCGCTGGGATTCTACCAGCAGGTAGTCCCAACGGGCCAATCTGACATTGGATTCTCCTGGTCATCTTTCAATTACCTAGAGAACATTCCCTCTGTTAGTCTCGACGCAACAGCATCACCAGCTGAATTCGCAGTTGCTCGTCACAAAGCACTCGCCGCAGCAGGGCACACAGACCTGATAAAGTTACTGAAGCTTAGGGCAGTAGAGACTCGGAGCGGTGGGTTTTTAATTGCTGCTATTGGAGGGCAAGCGCCTGAAGGTGAGAGTACGCCTTCGAAGCCGGGATCGCAAGTCCTTCAAGCTGGATTGATGAGAATGGTCGGCGAGGGAAAGCTGGCATTGTCTGAACTGATGCAGATGGCTCTTTTTCCGAGTCACGAGCGTACTCCCAAAGAGGTCGAGGCCGCTTTGAAAGATGAGGCTGTCGCACCACTATGGGAGGTGGAGTCAATGGAGCCGAAGCTGATCGTGCAGCCAGCCTGGCAGATTTATCAGGACAAGATCAAGGTCGATGATAGCAAGAAAGACGAAGCTCTAAAAGAATATGCTCGAGTTGCTATTGATAATGTGGTCTCAGCTTCAGGCTGGTTCTGGGTCGACGTGCTGAAGAAGTCACGAGGGCAAGATTGGGATGGAGGCGAAGCATTTCTCGAGGAGTTCATCAACATCACAGTCGAGGAATTCGTCACAAAGTTTGCAGAATTCAAGTTCGAGATATGGTATAATTACATCAGGCTTAAGAGGACCGATAAGAAAGCCTAGAACTGTTTGGGTTGTAGGGTAGTATCTAGTGAGAAACTCCATGGAGTTCTCGGAGTGGATGGCATCACGTCATATTGAGCACGTCGATTAGTCAGATTCACCTCCACGGATTTCGATAACATCTAAATAAAACACTACATATAACTCCTCACTTCAAAGCGGCATTGCAATTATCCCAACACTATCAATTCGCTCCATCGCCATCAGGATTAAATACGAGGTTGAACATGACGCAAATCGGAGTCTTCCCCGCATCTGGAGCCCTTGGCACCGGCACATACACCCATCTTCTCTCCCAAGTCCCAAACGACAAAGTCACGCTCATCAACCGATACCCCGAAAAGGTTCCCAATAAATACGTGGAAAATGGAACTGCCGTTCGTCAAGCTTCTTACGAGTCTAGCGCCAGAGAGCTCGAGGCTGCTTTTGCAGGGATTAATGTTCTCTTCTTGATCTCGTATCCTAGCCACGTTCACGAGTATAGGACGAAAGTGCACACTAAGGCACTGGATGCAGCAGTTCAAGCTGGAGTAAAGCATATCTTCTACTCGTCGCTTGGGTTTGCGTCGATTGGTGAGAGTACTACGAAGGCTGAAGTCATGGGCGCTCATCTCGACAGTGAGGCGCATTTGCGGAAGATCGCGAGTGCTAAGGAGGGATTTACGTGGACGAGCATTCGTGAGGGTCTTTACAGCGAGTCATTTCCTATCTACACTTCATTCCTCGACCTCAAAAACCCACCATCTAAAGTTCTAATTCCACATGATGGAAGTGGACCTGGTGTCAGCTGGGTCAAGAGAGATGAACTCGGAGAAGCGACTGCAAGTCTCATCGCTTCATACGCAAAATCACCGTTATCATTTAAATACACCAACCAGATCGTTACCTTAACCGGTCCTAAATCCTGGACATTGGCAGAGACCATCGAAGTCCTATCGCGCGCTGCAGGAAAAGACTTCAGAATCCAAGAAGTCAGCGTGGACGAGTATATCAGCCTCCCTCAAATCAAAGAATATTTTGGCACCGAGGAGAAGGCAAGGACGTGGGCTACAGCATGGGACGCCATCCGCGCTGGAGAAACAGCTGGAGTGACGAACACGATGAGAGAGGTTCTGGGAAGGGAGCCAGAGGATTTCGAAAAGACTATTGAGGAATTGGTCCAGACTCAGCGGTCAAGGTAGAGTGTCGGTGTTTGTTGGGGTGAGGAAATACGAAGGCTGAACTTTGGTGGAACGGACGGTAGATAGAGTGAATGCAAGACTGTTTCTATTTTTAAACTGTGGGTCTGCTGGCTCTGTGTGACGTGGTCGAGAATTAGATCAGCGCCTCATTTACATTAGAGTTTAGCGATGAAATGAATTCATGCGACGCTGTTACCGTCCGCGAGATGCATTCTAGAACAGCCATAGAAACTAAACAAACATTCCAGCTGACTTATCCAGCTTGACGAGCAATGCCTGGTAGGCAAATGATCCTTCATCCGCTTCGCTTCCGTTCCGTTAGCCGCAGGTAGTGGATCTTGCATAGATCTCGGCCTACGTCAGTGGGTATTAATAGCCCATCGCAGCATCTGGTTTGTTCTGCTATTCCAATGCAGGGATGTTCGTCTGGTACGTTACTGGCGATCCTCGGCACATATGCCGCTCTTTACGAGATGGAAACCCATCATGTGTTCTCGATCTCGTATCAGGGAGGCAGTGAAGTGGCGATGTTTTTTTTCCAGCTAGCCTCAGACCGCAAAAAGAGGTGCCAAAAACAATCGGCCTAAGGGATACTGAGTTAGCCCGAAACTTTTTGTCAAACGGGATTGAAGCCTAACTTCTCTGGCGGAAGAATTTCTATGTGAAACAACCCGAAAGACCCGAGGACAGTTTGTAATTGGATGTAACGGTAGGTGACATTAAAGGGCCAAGTTTACGACAGGGGATATCCCCCATTCAATGAAATGATGTCAGTAACTGCCGTTGGACTCCTCATTCGTCAAAAGATCAACTGAAGATCCCTTGGGACCTCGTATTCACATTTATATAAGTCCTCACCCCGATTACTTCTTTCTATCATTATCACACCGATACATCCAAACACTCAACCACCAAACATCCAACTACCGAACATCCAACCACAAAACATCAATTACAATGCAGTTCAAGACTCTCTTCGCCGCCTCTCTCCTTGGCTTCGCTGCCGCCGCTCCTACTGAGGGATGCTCAAGCACAAAGACCTCCCCCGCCAAGTCTGGCAACTCTCCTGCCCCCAAGACCTTCGGTCTTGTCGCTCTTCGCTCCGCCAGCCCTATCCACTTCACGCACTTCAGCGCCTCTGAGAACGGCTTTTTGCTTGCTCTTCCAGCGGATAAGCAGAACGCCACCTGCTCTGGCAAGTCTGATGGATCAGCTGTCTTCCGCCTGAGCGAGGGTGAATTGTTCCTCTACAACACTGGCAAGAAGCAACAGCGCGCTTATACCGATCGCTCCGGAATGGGTAAGTTATCACCTCACGCTCATCAATTGAATAGTAGCTAATGTCGTATAGGCCAAGGTGTTCTTCAGTATTCCACCGTCTCCAAGACCCCACTTCCCGAGGCGTTTGAGACCAAGGGCTGGAAGATCGACAAGTCTGGTAACCTTAACTTTAAGGATGCCAGTGGCTTCACTGCATGCCCCAATGGCCCTGATGGTTCTTGGGCCGTTTGGGTGGCTACCGGTAACTCTCGCCCTGGATACAGCGAGAAGGAATGTCTTGGATTCAACGCACGCGTTTCTGAGATTGAGCACGCTACTAGCTGCTTTTACTCCGAGTACTCTGGTTAAACCTGCATTTGGATGATTATATGTATATAGACTTAGCGCGTATATCTTTCTATTAAACTGAGATTATGTTTATTTCTTACCCCAGACTGAAGATTACACTCATGCAAATGCTAAAATCTTTATTCTTAAAAATCACATATCACACGTAGCCTAAAGTATGGGCTGCTAACGATTTGAATTATCTGAAGAGACAATGGCGCCAGCGAAAAGGATACTAACAAATTTCTTTATGTCTTTTGCTGCGTTTCTCATGCCTTTGTCCTTTGCGTGTTGGTACGGGTCCCAAGGTGGAACGATGTATTTCTCTTATACTGCGGGTAAAGAGCTTTTACAAACCTCACTCAGTAAAGGACTTTTAAACCGGTGACTCTTAGCCGGATTTGGTGTGCATAGCTGAGGTGGTTCCTGATGAATAGGTAGGAGTACAGAAATTGTGCATTGCACAGCCGTATTGGCAACTGATGCATGCGAGCAGAAGTGAGCGCGATAGGCTGAGAAAGCCGCTACTTAGACTAGCCAGTGTAATAATTTATAAAATTTTGTACAATCAATACTAAGTTTAGGTAAAATATCCAAGACTTTTAATAAGTCGTTGGTTATCGATCATCACAAAGACCGCAGTGACTTCGCTCCTTCTAAAGGCAGATTACCAGTGGCATCAGCGGCTCCTTCCCAAGCTCCAGTAATGGATATTATGATCCTGGTCTGGGTGGTCCTACTTTACTTGCCTTGATCAAACCCTCGCAGTCGCAGTCGCAGTCGCAGTCACAGTCACAGTCACAGAAGCAGCAGCAAAAATGAGCCCCGAGGCTGTGACAGACTTTGTGGTCAAGTACTTGACCGGCGTGGTTCAATTGGTGATGCCGAGAAGGCGGCCACGGCCTTCACTGCAGTGGCCCGGCAGCTTGAAAAGATCATACACCCTAATATTACTCGAACCTGGATCAGGGGATGAATCAGAAGTGTGATGCCTTAACAACGGAGCAGAATATGAACAACTGAAGCGTCGCCAGCCATTAAGAGGAAGATTGGGGCCAGTCACGAGGGTATTCTGCAAACCTATTCTTGTTGGGTATGCTCTTCAGTCTTCGCTATCGAAACCCCTGACATCTTGAAGCTCCTCGTATCACGTTCCGCCGCCCCGACCGACGTCAGACGCCAGACACTTCAATGCCAAGGACCGAACCTCCACGAGAGGATGCACTGCAGTTCCCTCCGACACTGTTGTATCACTCTGACTGGCCCCGATTCGTCGAGGCCACCGGGTCCGTCTCCCCAGCGGTCCTTGAAATGGAAACACTTCGGTGTTGACGCAGAGTATCACCAACCTGACGAAATTTGGGACATATCTCTGAATAGGTGAAACCATGCTCCCCGTCTTGTCGCTAGATCGAGGGTGACCGTGCTTGGATGAGATGAATGACGGGTTTCAGCCCTTCTGATCCAATACTGTCCCTCGCGAGACATGCTGGCAACAAGCTTTTAGAGATCCACGCAGCAACGAAAACGGAAAGCTACGCTTCCAGGAGAGAACTAAAATTTCGGGGATCAATGGCGCTTAATGCTTGCAAGGTGGCCGATGACTGGGCAGACGCGGACGAACATGTGGCGACACCAAAGCCTAACGCATTTAGCATTTCGAGTTGCGTACTGATGCCACTCAGCAGTCTTCGACGACATAGAGTTTGCTTCGGACAGAGAAAACGTTCCTTGAGTGCGTGTAGGGTCGGTGGCATCAAGGAGACGGCGACCAAGGACTGTTCAAGGTGGGCCAATACTCAATAGGTCTCTGAGTTCAGGCGTAAAGACCTAAGAAGCCTAGAAACCCAAATACTAGGGTATAACCTAAAATATGATGCACTCGACAGTTCAAATTTAGTGTTTACATACAAAAGTCTATCACGCAAAGTCCACCCAGTGGGGTTTATAAATAATGCCAATAGCAACATCTCTCTCATCCTCTTTTTCACCTTGTATCATATCTTTAGCCAAAAATCCCCAGAATGGACACCCAGAGATGTTTCAGGCTTCAGCACGAACACTCGGTGCCATGGGCTCTACGACAGCTGAACCGTTTTCGATCAAAGACTGACACCTCCCGGGTCCCTCTGTTTGACGATAAAGAAGCGGGGACTTGTCTACTGACCACGTCCGGACAAGATTTCGGAGAGACGACGATGTCTCTTCATCCCCTGGAGTCTGAACATCCCCCAATACAGACCTCATCACTGCTGCGCCTCCCACGAGAATTACTACTTCAAATCATGATCCTCTTGCCGCACAGTTCTCTATATATGGTCAACCAAGCCTGCGGCAGCTTTCGTCATCTGTTGGAAGGTTTTGAATTTAAATTCTTTCGACTAGAAATGCTGCAAAACAATGAGGAAGCATACTGCATCACGAAAGCCGGATTTGAGGAGCTGTATAAAGTTGAAAGAATATTACGCCGCCGATCTCTGTGTGGTCCTTGCGGCAAACATTTCGACTCTGGCGAGCTTGATCTAAGGCTTAGAGCTCTCTGGAAACCAGTTCTATGCACTGGGTGCAACGAACTCCATCCAGAGCTTTTATTTCCTCAGGGCTGGCGAAGAGAAAATCGTTGTATCGGGCTACTTGGTCACTTTGCTGTTTGCAATCATCTCAAAATCTCGGGCATGTCGCTAGAACTGCCCTGGAAAAGGACTCTGGAACGAGAGGAGGTGGTGATCACGTGCGAACATCCCGATCACATTTCAGTCTACGATAAGAATCGCAGTTGGTTAAGTCGCAACATATTTCAGCCATGTATCAGATATCGGTCTGTTGCAACAGGTGCAGGCAGTGAATACTCGAGATCTTTTCCCATGGCCAAGATTCATCGTCAACGAGATCTCGACATCAGGAAATTGAAGTCGTTCTTATTGAAGCAACTACAAGAATTGGACGGCGATGGGCTTTGTCCACATGCTTCTGGTCAACTGGAATCTATCGCATCCTTTATGACACTGGACAAACATCGTTGTTTTTCCGATCTGTGGAAGGGCTGCTATCACGGTCAATGCCCTGACTGCAGCTACGTTTGTGATCAGTGTGGAGCACAATACTGCTGGGTTTATGAAAAAGATTGTGTCATACTTCGCATTCGGATGAACAATTGTTATTTTCACCCAGATTCTATCAACTGGCTCTCGAATCTCAGTTTCGAAACTGATGAACACCCTGTTGTCAACAAGGATACCGAAAATGTATTATGGTGCTCCAATCCTGGCTGTGGTACGGGTTGCGGAGAACGATTGATGTTGATGGTGGAAATATTCAAGAGACACACCGTATCTTATTACTTTCAAGAACGCGAGCTTGAGCTCCGTTGCATGACTTCACTGGACAGGCTGTTTCTAACACTAGAACATCAGACATTGCAAGAAGTAGCATATTGGCTTGCACCGCTTGGACCCAATCCATATTGGGATTTAATGCTTTAGACAGACCAGAAAGCAGCAGATAATAATGAAACCCTTATGATATTAATCTGTCTCTTTTTGTTAGCGGCGATCGGACTGTAGAAAATGAGACGGCAGGACGGTTCAGTGGTTCACACAGTGGGTTCATTCTGCTCAACGATATAGCAGAAACTCACTTCCATTAAGTCTAGATTTTAACTACCAAGTTCTCTATTGTTAAGAAATTTAAATATAATATAAGAAATGTAATACCTCTCAGCAGATGTATCTAGAGCTAGAAGATTTAAAATATAAGTTTATAAATAAACAGGGCAAAACGAAGCTATCCCTAATGGGTGTAGTGTAGTGGGCAAAATCAGATCATGGGAACGTTCCAAGCTCCACTATTACACGTGATGGTTTCCTCTTATCTGATCAAAGTTTTAGATCTGATAAAGTGCTCAACTTAAACCCCTGCTTTTCTTCACTTTTGATCAGCCCCAACGGCGGCGCCATGAAATTCGCAGCTTCTCTGGGCGCGCTGCTCGTCAACCTCTCACTGTGGATGCTTTCCCTTGCAGCTGAGGACAGATCTCCTGAGCGGGTATGCTACGACGCGTGTTTCGCGTGCCTAAAGCCCGTGCATTTCGACGACGTGCTCCGGAACCAAACGGGTTTTACCAAGACTTGCTACAGTCCCAAAGCGATTTTATCGCTGTATCTATGCCTCGATGTGTATTGTACGCCTGGAGCGGTAGAAGTAGGGCTGGGGTCGTACAATGAGACGTGTCGGGAGAAGGCGCATCTTGTTTTACCGCCGTTTGACGTGATTTCGAATTATACCGCTGAGGATGTCAAGGGGGTGAGAAGATTTGAGCAGAATGAGACGGATGAGGGGGTTTCGTTTAGAGAGGTTGTCGTGCCTTCTGTGCATTGGTTTGGAATCTGGTGGGATACTTTGGTAGGTAACTCGAGAGTGAAGGTTGTACGAGACTGATTATGATGCAGGACTCTGTGGCGTATACGTACACTTACCATGATGTCTACGGGTAAGAGAATCATCGGGTATGTCATTCAAAGTGCTAAACATCGATAGGCGCGCCATGATTACATTTTGGATAGTCGTAGTAGCCATCGGCGTCTTGAATCATGCAATTCTCCATATCGCCAATCTACAAATGGTCCGCAATTACTCTTCAAGATCAGGCGGGAGACTTGAGAACTTTTACAACTGGGCACTCAATCGCATAACAGTCCCAGCGTTTATGGGAGATCGATGCGCGCAGAAAGTCGGCTGGGGAACTGTCCCTCCCCAGATACAGTCTTGGACTCTTCTTGCTTTCCTCCTTCTCAATATCGCCTTGAGCATCCTTGGATACAGGATCGTACCAGTAAATATGTAGTAAGTACCAGCCATGCTTCGGTAATAATGGCCCGGGACTCAAATTGCTACAGCTTTCCATCGACGGCGAAACAGCTCCTTCGTTATGTCTCAGATCGCACGGGGATTATATCTTGGGCCAACTTCCCAGTTATCTGGTTATTTGGAATGAGGAATAATCTCCTTATGTGGCTAACTGGTTGGGATTTTGGAACATATAACAACTTTCACCGCTGGGTTGCGCGAATTGCAACTCTCCAAGCCGTCGTTCACTCTATTGGGTATACTTGGTTGATCGTCTTAGGTTCGTCAATACCGTGACTAAGACTACTGGCATGCTGACTGTAAACTAGAGGGAGGGTGGGAGTACTATCTATTCTGGTGGAACTACATGTTCTGGTGGGTTGGCGAAGTGGTATGTTTTCTCCCATCCTCTGCATATAAATCCATCTAATAAGCCTAGGCAACGATCGTCATGTCTCTTCTCGTCGGAGCATCCTTTTACTGGATTCGACGTCAGCAGTACGAACTATTCTTGGTCGTACACATCATCATGTCAATCATCCTCCTCATCACAATGCTTGCGTAAGCCTGGCCCTTCCTACTTGTATCAGTCTCGTCTAACAAGCCAGCCACGTCTCCATCTTCCAAGGCGAATACGACGTGTTCTTCTGGGTCCCCTGCTTTATCTGGGTAGGCGACCGCGTCATCCGCGCTCTTCGAATAGCAGCCTTCAACCCGAAGCTCTGGGATACCTGGGCCACTTCCATTTACCATCCATCCTCCAACATTGTCAGACTTGTCGTTCCGTGGTCAAGTAGTCTATACAAACCAGCACCGGGAACATTCTACTACATCCATGTTCTCAACGGACCTCGTTGCTGGGAAAGTCACCCCTTTACCGTGGCGATGGTCACAGATGAAGGAAAACGGGGTTCAAAGCTACTTGGCGAACAGGTTCCTCTCCTTGACGGCACTGTCGCTGAGCAAAGTTCCGATCCCGCTGACTCACAGGATATACTCAGCGACTCTCGCACAATGACGTTCTTGATCCGTCCCTATGACGGCTTCACCTCCAGACTCCGCGACGCCGCATCGGCAGTCTGGCCTAAAAACGTCCCTCAGCGCGTCCTTATTGACGGACCATACGGACACACTCGTCCCTTCCATCTCTTCGACAACGTAACTTTCATCGTCGGAGGCAGCGGCATCGTCGTTCCCCTATCATATCTTCAACGCCTCACCGGCCCAACAGCCCCTCGATCCGTGAAAATACACTGGGCTGTTCGAGAACCCTCTTTTGCGCTTGATGTTCTACAAACAGACATTGCTGACGCTTTGGGGAGCACGAACCTCAGCGTTGATATTTATCTCACGACGCATACGGCTCAAGATGAGCTAAGTGAGTGGCCGTCGCAGGTTACCTTACGAAGAGGAAGGATAGATGCTTCGGATGTAGTGAGAAAGAGAAGTGAAGAGGTGGTGGGCGAGAGTCTTGCGATTATTGCTTGTGGACCGGCGCAGATGGCGGATGATGCGAGAAAGACAGTTGCCGATCTGTTACGAAATGGAGTTATGAGGGTAGAGTATTTTGAAGAGAGCTTTCAGTGGTGATGGAATACACTCAAGCGTTAGAATTTATATAGATATGTTCATGATTCTCATTATGGCCGTTAGTAAATAGTGATATCTACAAGTTCATTCTCCTTGAGGGTTACCTCGCCGTACATAACACCATGAGTATAACACTCTCCTATGAGTTTCCAACCGCCCTTGTATTCTCTGAGAATAAGTGGCGTATTGCACCCCCTCAAGAGGAAAATCTTATCGTTGACCTCAGCTGCACAGGTCCCCAACCCCATTCTACCATTCTTCGTCCCAAACAGCCTCCTCCATGCCATCGCATTAATCGCCCACGACAAAGCCTCCCGCTGCGACTCAGTCGAATTATAGTAATTATCACCAATAGTCATCCGCAATCTCGTAAGCCATTTGCTGTGCCCAAATATCAACTGCTCCAAGGTGTAACCGCATAGACGAAAATGCTGATTTCGTGCCATAAAGTCGTGCAGGCCGAACCCGTATGTATACACGCCAGCAACGCCTCTTTGCCATAGTTTGTGATCGAGAAGCCAAGAGTAGGTCTCTGGTGCCCGAGCTGTCTCTTCTGCAATTGTATCAGCCACTATGGTTCGCCAAAGTGCCTCCCGTGTAGCTTCTATATCTCCGTAGATGCTGCAGTTCGAGGCAAAAGTGTTGTCGGGATAGCGCCCATCACATTCGTCGACGTGAAATGAGCTCAGTGAAGTGATGGTATCTAGAACGATGCCCTTCGCAATGAGTGCCATATTGGTAATAGCTGGCCTTGAAATCGTCGACCCAAGGTTTCTGTCCGCTTGGTACATTCCTCGAAACTGTGCAGTTGGCGCGGGCGAGCAGGACCAACATATCGCCCAGGAGGGAAGGTTATGCTCGCAAGGCGTCCCGACGGGCGTCTTGTCTTGTAGTCTTGTAGCAGTATCAAGCATGGATAATAAAACCGGTGCGAGGGAGCGATTTCGCACAGATGGAGGCAGATTGTCCGAGGTTCTCTTGAACGGAACATATCCGCCATGGGCAGAAGCTAGGCGAAGGATGTTCAGGTCCCCTTTCGACAAGAGCTCCTCCGTAAAATTGGTATAAATGGCTGATAGTGAGAGATTGTAGTCAGGCTCGATGTGAACCCTATCGGCGATGACTTTAATACCGAGAATACCATAAACCCTATCCTTCTCTTCCGTAACAAGAGAATCACGTGCAATACTCAGTGCTCTTACAAGCTCTTCCCATTCAGTTGATAGAAGGGCAAGCCTTTGGTTGTTTTGGATCTTCGTCATGGTTTGATGAATCTTCCACATTCGTTCTGGCGCCCATGTTCTTTCATGGAGAAGTCTGTCTCGGGCAAACTCAAACGACCATGCTGGCAAAATCCGTGGTTGGACAGTTTCGAGAATCTCACGCCCGAATCTTGACTCGTCGTCGGCTATTATACCGACGGCTTTGTAGAGATCATTCCATGAGATACATGCGTTACCGCAAATAACAGGACTGCTCATGTTGCCCATTGCAACTTCTTGGACAATCCACATTCGGCGCCAGTACGGTCTTGTAAAGAAGTGAAACAGGGCTCTGTAAACATCCTTCTTCATCGAACTTTTGTATCTGGGCCATATAATAACCAGAGGGCGCAAGTCAACCGAGAACTCTTCAGAGTAGAACCTCTCCATCGGCTTCGCTTGCTCTGACTCACGTGCTAACCAGTCCAGCGCACATATAGCTAGTGAGCTATCATGCTCTTCTGGGCCGAGCCATATAACAACCTGCCACGCTGACTGGTAAATGTCGCGCATTCTAGTGACTTGCTGGCTGCGTTCATCTAGGTCGGCCTGGTTGATACAAATTGCATCGATCCAGACTTTGAATCCTTGTCTGACTCTGGTACTGCAACTCAGTTGCGTCAGAGCAAAGTACAAGTTTGGTCCAACTTCAAAAGCAACGCCATCGACAGTGATAAGATACGGAGGCTCTCCTTCTTTTCTCTTTGGGTATCCCCATACATATGACAAAGCGACAAAATCGCCCCATTTGTATCGCCACGGCAGATCATTTTCAGCAGCGAGTACTTCTCTAATCGTAGGGCGTGTGCTGCTATCGCTTGCATGCGGATCTCTGCCATTATTGAAGAGGGCATCGGTGTCGGGTGCCACATATAGCTCAGGCCACGTTCTTCCAGCCCCTTTGAACTGTTGAGAGGCAAAGTCTTGTCCTGTCGCAGGCAAAGAAACATGTTCAAGTGAGCATATTATTGCATGGCGCCTGGCGGTGCTGGTTATGTCTTTAGCGGGCTGGATCTTGAGAACGCGGATCTCGTCACCATGTAAGGGGAAATACAAGAAAGGCGATGCCATTCCGAATTATTGTAATGAAGAGATGACATGTGAAAATATGAGCATCCATGTCTTCTTCCACATGATGTTGTCCGCATGTCAGGCCTCGGCGCTTAAAATGGGGTCGGGATAGCGAATCGGAAAGACGCCTTTGAATCCCTGTCAGATTGACGGTAGATCGGTAGATACGACACATTAGCCTTTCAGTCAATCATGTCTTATATTCCATAGCTTGGAAAGACGTGATCATGGAGAGGTGATGGTTAAAATTGTTTTTGATTTAAGCTAGGTGTACAATCCAGTGAAGTACGAAGCTAGACTGCTAAATAATCCTCAATCAAGAGAGAGTCTAAGTCATGAAATTATCAACAGTACAACCTATTCCAACCCTAATTAAAAGGAGAAGAAAAAAGAAAGAGGCATCTGATTATAGGGGAATGAAGCAACACTTGATAGGTATAGGGCAGGGAATGATAAAGCAAAACCGGCCACGACACCAGCCGTCGCAGTCTTCACCGCCTCTTAGACTCAGCTTGGGCTCTGGGTTTGCTTGAAGTTGCTGTGTATCTAAACAGGAGAACTATTAGCTTTCTACCGAAACTTCAGACTTGAATATCGCCAAAACATACCTGTAGCCTGGTCTGCTCGTGGTTGAACCATTTCCATGGACTCGGGAGTGTATCCCTGCTGATTTATGCCTGCAGGCTGAGCAGTTGATTGAGGTACTGAGACTGGAGCCATATTTCAAGAGATTTGATGAGAGGTCGAAATTGTAAATGCTTAGGACAATAATGATACCAAGACTCTTGTTATGACAAAAAGAAGAATCACCCAGCGCCTTGGCTTCGGGTCCATGCCCCATATTTACCAGCTGGCTGGGCCCATCGCTCATCTGCCCGAAAACTTGGAAGTGAGATTCATGGCGTCACCATATGACCGCTATCACAGACTAGCTTGACCTCATGAAATGCTCATAGTGAGACACTAAACTTGTCTAACCTAACTAATCGACCTTGCATGGCACTAACAGTGCCTGAGGAGCCCTAACCTTGATCTGCGTCGTCACCCAATCCTGCATCCTCTTAACCTGCGAAATCGCATACAAAACCGCCTGAAAGAAGTCCTCATCCCAAATAGCCTGACTAACAGGGTTCAGCGCTTCCAGCCCAACTCGCAGATGAGCCAAGTAAACTTGCAGACTTCGCAGCGCCTCTAGTACTTGGAGCTGACTTGGTGTATCATCGCTCTTGGGGAATAATGAGTCGCGCAATGTATGGGCGGCGTGTCTGCCACGAGCTTGATTCTCACCAAACTTATCGACGTGTGGTTTGAGGCGTTTGGTTGTGTCTTTGGTGATTTGGATGAGTATACGAACACCAGAGTGGGCTTCTGAGTCGGCTACTAGATGGTCTAGCAATTGTTCTGTGATGTCGCGTAGAAGGAGAATTGATTCGTAGGTTTCGCCTAGCCAAGTCTCTAATTGACGCTCACGGTTACTGAGATCACTCTTTGTGACGCTAGAAGTCTCGGCGTCATATTTTTCTGCTTTGGCTAAAGCCTCAGATTGTCGTTCCTTTGCCGTTGGGCGATCCTCTGGGACCTTTGTGATGGAGATTGCACCGGATTTGAATGTCGGCTGCTTAGATATGGGGTCCCATTCAGCTTGGATTGTCAGTAGAGATTTCAAGACTTGGGATAAAGCGACATACTGATCGTGAGCTCATTTGCGGCTCGTGCTCTTCCATCCTTTGTATCCCAGTATCCAAAATGGAACGGGATGAAAGCTTGTCCCTGAGAAATCTTGCCCACCTTCACCTTCATCTCAACCTCACCTCGCCTGGACTTGATTACGACCATGTCTCCAGTCTTCACATCATGCGTCTCAGCATCCTTCTCGGATATACGAATCTCAGGTTCAGGGCAAGCTTTCTGCAGTGCGGTTCTTCCCGTCTTGGTCCTCGTATGGAAATGGTACACATTCCGTCCTGTCGAGAGCCTCAGAGGATATTCATCATCTGGATCTTCATATGGAGGTACGTAGTCACACGCCTTGAGGATTGCACGACCAGCCGGTCTGAGTTCTTTGTAGTATTCCTCAGAGTATGGCACTCCGGTCTGTAGATCATGGCCATAGCTTTCGCAGTAGTCAATATCTGTAAAGAAGACACCGTCGTCGAAGAGGCGCTCTTTACCAACAGGATACTGCTCATTACAAGGCCATTGAATACCAGAGCCACCAGTGAGCTTCCCATAAGACATGCCTGTGTAATCACAAGGCCTACCAGCAGATAGACGCTTCCATGCCTCAAAAACCTCCTCTGGCTGTGTCCAAGGCGTGAGAGGTCCGTCTTCTTTATTCTTGAAGCCCATGCGACGGCTATAGTCTAGAAATATCTCGAGATCTGGCTTGGCTTCCCCCGGCGGTTCAACAGCCTTGTGAGATAAATGCACCGTTCGGTCAACGTTTGTAAAGCATCCTGTCTTCTCACCCCATTGGGCAGCTGGAAGAACAACATCGGCGATAGAAGCCGTCTCTGTCATGTAAATATCCTGGCAGATGACAAACAGCTCCGGTTGGGTAAAGATATCTCGGACCTTGGGAAGGTTGGGCAAGCTGACGAGAGGATTTGTCCCAGAGACCCAAATCATTCGAATAGAGCCCTTCTCCATGAATGTTAACATATTATGGATATGAGTAGGCTCATTCCAGTGCGGCACCTGGATGTTGTTGATGTTCCAGAGATCTGCCAGCTCTTGCATATGTTTCGCGTTCTGATGGTTCCGGAACCCAGGGAACTCCCCATCACAACCAGTCTCGCGGTTATTCTGAGCTGTTGGCTGGCCATTCATCTGAAAGATACCACTTCCTGCCTTACCAATAAGACCACGAAGGAGATGGATGTTGTTAATCTGACAGGCACTTGCTGTCGCTTGGTTCGACTGATACACTCCTTGGAGGGCTGATGACAGTAGACTTGGTGTTTGGCCGAGGATCCTAGCGGCTTCTTCAATCTTGCTTGCTGGGACACCAGTGATTTCTGCAACTCTCTCGGGGTTGTAGCCCTCAACTGTGCTTTTGAGATCTTCAAGACCGACGACATGCTTTGACACGTAGTCGTCATCGATCCAGCCGTTCTTGAACATGAGATGCTGAATACCGTTCAGTAAGGCAAGATTGGTACCGATCTTGGGGGCTAGGTGCAGCGTAGCTTTGGAAGCACTCTCACTGTAGCGAGGGTCCACGACGATCAATTTTGGGGGAGTTGGGCCGGCTAGTCGATCGAGAACTCTTGACCAAAGCACAGTTTGAGTAGCTGCCATGTTGTGCCCTACCATGAAGAGGCAATCCGTGTAGTCTATATCAGTGTAAGAACCAGGCTGCCCGTCGCTCCCAAACGACTCTCTCATTGAAGCTGCCGCAGTTGCAGTGCAGAGCCTAGTATTTCCGTCCCTGAGGGTCATCAGAATGCGATCTCTTCCAAGGAGCAGTAAAAAACCTACATGTGTAGCGTATTCAATCCAGCTTTCCCAATCAGAGCAAGAACATAGTATTCTTCGAGAAAAAGCTGGCCACTGGTGTAGAAAGCTATGCTATGGGCTGTGAGTTTCTCAACGAGCTGCTTTGACTTTCTGACAATGAGGTCCATGGCTTCATCCCAAGTTGCACGCTCAAGCTTGCCGTTTCTTCGGATCAGAGGATGAGTGAGCCTTTCCTTGCTGTTGATAGCCTTCCAACTAAACATTGAGCATTAGTTGTACGATTACGGGATCGCCGAGTGCTGACACTTACCCATTGAGTCCCTTTGGACCCAGTCTTCCTTTATTGACGCGGTCGGTAGCACGGCCTCTCACACCGACGACCTTGCCATCCTTAACACCAATGTCGAGCCCACAGCCATTACTAGATAATCGCCGTTAGACCAAATTCTCAAACATGACTGTAGCCAGTTGCTTACCTGCACAGCACACATGCACTCTGTACCCATTTCTCCGGCTCCTCATCACAAGCATGATCTACCCTTGTAGGCCACTGATGAACATACGGTGTTCTCGGCCCCCAAATATCTTCAATAGAGTCTCGCGAGCATATAGAGGGGGGTTCACTGCAATTATCCATATTCACGTAGTCCATTAATTTAGGTTTGCTCATCCAAATCACAAGATGTAGATGGACAGCAAGATAAATTAGTGAGAATTTCTGGGTGGCCACGGCTCTCCCCAGAAAATTTGTAATGGAACGCAAATAACTGGGCTGTACCGACATATTGGTATCGAGGGTAATTTGTCAATATGGCATCGTCGATGGTCATGTCGACAGGATGATGCTAACTTGACGTTATTATGGTGGATAATAGTAATAGTGACGTAAATGATTATTTCCGTGATAAATAAATAAAAAGAATGACGAGTGAAATCTCGTACATTGATTAGCGTATGTTAGTTCCAACGTTATGATCCGCATCGAGACAATGCATCTCCGGGCGTTTGCATGTCATGAATATCTAGCATCGCCGGCCGAACCCAGTGGGTAAACACATCCTGGCATTTTGACAGGCTAGACAGGATCACCACTCGCAATGGCAACAACATATATCTCTGCACGCTTGGAATTGGAGAAAACTGCTCGTGCAATTACAGAAAGTCAAGATGTATCGACAAGAATCGAGTCGGTATCGATAGAAGAGGCAGCCGGTCGAGTCTCAGCATGCGATCACTACAGTCCCATCTCAACACCAGAGTTCGACACATCTGCAATGGATGGCTACGCAATTTGCTCAGACAGTACAAAACTAGCCTCTGCAGACCACCCGGTCTTCTTTTGCGTCAAAGGAACAATCGCTGCTGGGGATGACTCTTTCGCTCTGCCTTCGTCTCATACGCCAGATGGACCCCAGCCTTGTTTCGAGATCATGACAGGGGGACGATTCCCAGAGGGTGTACTTGGGGAGGTGTTCGATGCATGCGTCAAGGTCGAAGATGTTACTAGGACTATTGCCAAAGAGGCAGGGCTCGGGACGTGTATTGCTATCAGCAAGCCAGTACCGAGATACGCCAATCGTCGGTTTTCCGGTGAAGACATCCAGAAAGGTGATCTACTGATGGAGAAGGGAATCACTATCCGGACATCACACATCATGCCCCTCGCTTCCGTTGGGTTCCATAAGGTCCAGGTGCGGAAGAAGCCGCGAGTATGTATCTGGTCAACCGGCAATGAGTTGACCTCGCCAAAGTCTCATATCAGAGATGTCAATGGAGTATACCTGACGGCAGCGTCAAAAGAAGCCGGGGCCGATGCAACCTTTGGCGGCTCAATTACAGACGAAGTGGATGCTATCGTTCGCACCATAAAAGGCCAATTGGAATCACCAGCGGTGGACATCCTGATTACAAGTGGAGGCGTGTCCGTTGGTAAGTTCGATTACGTCCGTCAGGCACTGGAAACCCTTGGTGCAACTATCGTCTTCCACGGCGTAGCTGTCCGTCCAGGCCATCCGGTTCTCTTCGCACTACTGCCTTCGGCGAGGGGCGAGATCGCGTTCTTTGGACTACCAGGAAACCCTGGTGCAGCCGCAGCCTGCTTCAAATTCTTGACTGTCCCGTATATGCGCTATTTCATGGGTCAACAGCCGGAGAAGCCTGTGCTTGCGCGCTTGGAGGACCCCCAGCTAGGTAGTTCATTACGGAAGAGCATTATGGATGCACCCAATAGAGGACTCAACTGCGACAGGTTCCGACCTGGAGTTCTGCAAATGACAGGTGACAAGGGGCTTACAGTTCACGAAGCTGCTGGGGCATTTGGTCCAGCTAAGGTGGTAACTTTCGTGCAGGCAAATTGTTGGATTCACATCAAGGCAAATGAGGTCATGGAGATGGGACAGATTGTATCTTGTTATCCCATGAGTGAATTTTCGGTATCCTGAATTACATGACCTTACAGCACCTCCAAAGGCTCTTAAATGAAATTGTCTGCCGGCTCATCTTTAAATGATCTGAGTGTACCCTCCCATTCCGATCTGATGTTTACGTTTCGTAGCAATGCTTCCGAGTCGTTAGGAAGATACGTGCAACCGCCAAGTTCCCGAACAGCCTTGCTGGGGCTGAGCTTTCCTGCTTTACAGTTCTCCTTGAGATGGCTGATAGCCTCTGGACTCCATATTCCGAGAAGAGGCTCGCAGAATCCCTCATGGTTTTTAAAGCATGTGACAGGAGGCCTATAGCGTTCTTGGAGTTCTTGCAGGGCAGATGGAGTAATGCAAGGATAGTCACAAGCCACCACTAGCCAAGTCGCTTCAGAGTCCGACTCATATGCCGCAAGTAGTCCAGCTGCTGGCCCTTTCGACTGATCCACTTGACTCGATTCCAGGTCAAGAATAATCTCCATGCTATTCTCTCCTGGAGTGGCTTCGTACGAAGCCTTACCGGCATTCTGTAGAAGATCATCCATCTCAGAGTCTTGAGCCAGAGAAATGTAGATAGTCTCTGCTTCGGGGAATGCCTTTTGAAGGACTTCAATTTGGTGTTGATATAAAGAACGTCCATTAGGCGTAGGAAGAAGATGCTTTGGAGACCCCATTCGAGTGGACTTTCCCCCGGCTAGTATGAGTGGTTTGATAGTTGTAGACATTGTGTTGAGTTCAAAATTTTCTTTGAGATTGAAGGATTATTCCAGGTGAAATGGAGATGGAAATGTAGATATATGCAGATAGTAACAGAGGGCTGACCGTCTTTGTATGAGTGGTCCACGAAATGAAACTCTCATGGGGAGCTCACAATGACGTGATAATGAGGAGAAAATTCAGGACAAGCCCACAAAATTAGCTTGTGCAATGGCTTTAAGACTGCAAAGGCTCAGAAAAGGCCAAATAGATTTCTAATTTATATACCAGGGCAATTGAACCTCGAAAACCCCCTGAATAATTTGCTATCAAGAACAGTTTGAGAAACTTTTACTAGAACTGCCCTACCACGAGCTAATGAAGGGCAAACACCCTGAATTTAGATCTCGGAAGACCTCGTTTCCGCGGAACGTTTCGATCGATGTAACATTGCTCTATGAGTAAACAATGCTGAACCGGAAAAGATCGAACAGCTTTCTCCCAAATCAACATCCATTCATCATAATCATCATCATCCACGGCTATAAACCGTACTTTAATTGGTCCTTGTGGACAATCCGAAATGTTAGCTTGCTCAAAGTCTCTCGTAATTAAATTCCTGAGGTGGTCGGGATCATTCACTTGTTTCGGTCGGAGTACTGAGTACCTGTAGCAGTTCGCGAGCATAGCTACTATGTCGCCTTCTTGAGACACTTCCGGGACGAGGGCACAGTGATGGTTTGAGGTGATGGCAAGTCTCTTGCCGGATAACGGACTTGTTTTGGGATCATTTGCGTGATGGGTGAGAAGAGAACATCGCCGATGTGTTCGACAACGCGCGGTCTAGTCGTAGGATACTTTTGAGCCTTGGCCGAATCAACCCAGGTCTTAAAAGACGCCTTGAACAGCTTATGTCTCAGTTCGTCATATTTGGTCCTTGACTTTTTGTATGAGTCCAAAGTCGCTGCTTCATCTCTGGTTAGGGATCTGCGATGACAGACAGGTTAGTCCATAGGCGCCATATATTTCCAAAATAGAGTATTTCTTACCATATGTCTTGGAGTAGCTCGAGAATCATAGTCTTGGGCTCCTCTTGAGCGCCAGCTGCATTGTCACAGCTTGAGAAGGATTGACTTGTCGTTTTAACCCGCTGATGGCTAAGACTGGTGGTGCGGAGAGGAATATATGATGAGTGCCTCCAAAAGAGACATAAGAGCTATCATCACCACCACCGAAACTTTCACCAACTTTGTGTATATTCTCCCAAAGGACCTGCAGCCTAGAGAAGCGGGGACACCAAGAAGGAATTTCGGGAGATTTAATGGGAGAAGGGTTCATGGCATGCAAGAGAAGACTCTCGATACCTGTAGCATCCAAGGAATACCTAGCAGCATCAACCGACACGTGCGCGAGATCTCTATCGTAATCGACCTTGACAAACCTCTCACACTTATCTCTATCCGATACAACACCCAAGTGACCAAATACGATATATCGAAGATCAGTGGCTCCGATTCCTCTCCTACAGGACAGAATCGTGGATAGTGGTGCCTCAAACGCACCGTATCGTCTGCTGTTCATGTCCTCCAAGGGCGTTAGGTTTCGAGGCTGGCCTTGCTGGACGATATTATCAGACAGAGTGTCAAGTAGAATGGCCGCAACGACATTTTGGTCTCGACAATGTTTCAGACATAGTGCCATCGAATTCTTAGGTCATCGCACTGAGCACAAACATTTGTGGAAAGCACAAGATCCTGGAAAACCCAGACTCTGCGGAACCATGGCTTTGATAGTAGAGTCCGTCGCATACAGTCAACCTCATCCGCTGCTAATGAAAAGCTGCCTGAGGGCCGGCGTGCTTCCATGCATCATCGTCTGGCTTTGAACCTTGACATCTTTGATCAGCTTCTCAAATCCCTGAGGCGATTTTCCCATATGAATTACAGTATGATGCGCAGTGGAGTATATCCTGCCCATCAGAGCGACTTACACACCTTATTCAGCATTGTTTGACTGATCAATGCACATCGCATCTGCCCAAATCCGAAAGACTTGACTCCTATCGCGCATGTCCCTTAGAGTAGTGCCCAAGCCGGCAGTGATCTCCATGGCTCTACCATCTAGGTGTATCACGCCCTTGTCGCCCCAGACGTAGGACAGAGCAGTGTATGGTTCGATTAGGTCATATCGCAATCTGAGAGTGTAGCAAGATGTAACGATCCCTTGAGATCTGGGCGGTGATCGTGACTAGGCTTCAGCTGAAGGAGGCGGAAAGAATCTAGGTGCTCAAGAGGTTTGTACTGAAATATGCTCGAAGGTATTATGGACAATTATTGGGAAAGTTGAGTAGCCCTACCAAAGTAACAAGAAGCTTTCAATGACGAGTTCGCGGAATTGTAAAAGCTGCAGATGCCGTCAGCCTCTTTCAGCCTAACAAGTTTAAGCCTAATCAGCGAGCCATGTCCGACCCTTACCTGGACTGGATGTATAATTGAACGTCAGCTATCAAGACTCGAGTGCATTCTTTTGTCCAAGCTATTAAGCATAAACGCGCGACTTTTACCTCTTGAAAGCTTTTGCTTAGGTATAAACCTGCCGATAGCCAAGTATTGCCATTGCTCTCATTTCGACAAACTCATTAATCTACGTAGACAGGAGATCCGTTTGGATAGTGCTTCCGATAAATGACTTTCCCAAGTATGTCCACCTACCATCATGATTTATGGCATGGCCTAATGTTGATATCGACCATCCCATAACCACCTAACAGCCAACCCGTAGTTTTTATCCATACATCGCAACTAGGCAACCTTTTGTCAAGAGGCGAAGGAACCCTTACGAGCCCAAGCCAACTTTCATCAAACATATTATACGATTCATTACTGTAGCGTTCCAAGAAAAATTCACGGAGAAATATTCCTCTCTCACGGTGATCCATCTGTTTGATCTGCCTTACTATCGCAGAATTGTCCTCGTGAATTTTGTCTGGTATCTCAGTTGCAGTTAATTGGTGATTGCAGTTCTCTCTTTCGCTTATAGCGCAAGCTTGCCCTTCACCGAGTAGAACTGCCCAGAAGTATTGGCTGCATGGCGTTACCTGGGCGAGGCCAGTCAAATGGCGAGAATTGTGGGATGTCCATTGTAGTCCGGTCGCAAGCACAAATGAGACGACGTGTTGAGGGTCAATTTGTAGCTCAAAATCAGTGACCCAAGTAAGTGTCCCATCGTCGTGGAACGCAGAACTCGCATGACATCTAAACGAGGGTATAAATTCTCTAGTGCTCCGGCCATTGACCGATTTGAGAACCTTCAATACGTCTTCATGCCAATGGATCTTGCATACAGGACTTTGGTGATGACCCATCATACGAGTTTCCTGGATTGAAATGGACTTTCTGATGGAGATAGTCTTTCGCTCCAAGTCACCCAGCGCCTCTTCATTCTCCCGACGAAGAAAGTCAGAGTCGAAATCATCATATAACTCATCATAGGAGCCGTCGTCATAAACCAAGACCGTTTTCGGCGGCAACTTGATTAGCTCGTAGGGCCTCAATCGAAAGTAAGTATTACTTCTGCCAGAGCTCTTCAAAAGAATTCCCAGAGAATTGTTCTCATCATCAGGGTCCCTTATACCCAGGTCGAGTATACAATCCACGCCTTGCCTGGTGTCTGCTGGATGATCTTCCTGTCTAAGGACTCGACCGTCCATCTGGACATATTTGCTGGTGACTTCCATACCAGATTCGAAACGCTTGTCCTTTATTTCAATGTGCAGCCAGTGAGCAAACTCGGCCGGTGAATTGGCAAAGCATCCTCGAAGTACACCAATACCATACGAAGAGGAGTCTTGTTTCCAAGCGAAAAGGCTAAGATCATCATAGTTCTTTGCAATCTCTTCCTGGAGCCGAAAAAAAGACTTTGAACCTTCTCCGTACAAAAGAGGCATATTGATATCGAAAATCCCCAAAAGGCAATAGGCAATATCTTCAACCCGGGTCGTTTCTCTCCTCGCTGCCCAAGACATTCTTTGTGCAACCGGGATGGTGGCGATATCGCCCGTGTATTCCAATACTGAACTCGGGATGCCTGTCAACCTTTCCAGGATCTTGATGAACCGCGAGCCTGATACTGGAACCTTTGACCCGATTAGATTCCAATTTTGGTCGTAGAACCTAACCTGGCCGGGGGCAATCAACTCTTGAAGAGTCCAACCTCTAGTGAACCATCGACAAGTCATGAGCTTATGTTCGAGTTTAGAAAAAGCCAAAGCTGCAAGTGACTTAGGCATGAGCGAGTAAACCGGCGAGCGCGGGAAGACTAAGTCGGAGAGGTAAACGTAGCATATCGAAGACTGCTTATACCACGCAAACATGGAGTTGATAGCCTCACTAAGCTCAGCGCTGCTTCTTTTATCGATGCAACAGGTATCAACCCAGGTGTGAGAGATGTTGGTTCGACGGGATGCTTTGCAAGTCATTTCGATCTTTTTCCATCCTGCCTTGCTTCGTGCGTGAGGGAGGCTCTCCATGTCTTGAAAAAGAACTTCGTCTCCTTCCCATGTGTGAGACAGAATGGAGTAGATACGTGGCGGATTAACAAAGTTCTCCAATTTGTAGGTTTTGGTATTAATGAGCCACATGATTATCAGGTTGCCAAGAAAATAGAAGGTTATCGCCTCATAGAGATATGCACGGTAAGTCGGTGGAAGTTGGAAAATCTTGATAAAACAAGATTTAGGCGCAGGTTATTGGAGACATAAAAGTAGAAGCTCTTTATTACAGAAGAAGATTCGGGAGGGGGCTTTAGTAATATTATTACTCTTTCAGCTGCCATACCCTTGTAGACCCTTTAGCCGCCTCTGCAGAGACCTCGACCAATGAGTGTCTATCGGGAAGCGCTGACTTCACATTACAGCTAGAATGCCTTAGATAACCTTGTATCCCAGCCTGTTCCGCCCGACTACGGCGAGTCATGGGGTTGTTCCCATCATGCAGTGCGGCTGAGCAATGTTGGTGGGAAACATCGAATCGGAGGCCAGCTTTGACTGCACTAATGCAGCCAAAGTCGCACTATCAGTAAATTTACAATACACATTTACAGGCGCAAGCGAAACACGCAGTGGGATTTTCGCGCGCCTCAGGCAGCCAAGCCTCTCAGGCTGACTGCGAGGCAAAATGAAGAACTTCCACTCATCACACCCACCAAGCCAGAGCTTCGTCTTTAAGCTACTCTAGCCAAACTGCTTTTGATATTGTTACTCTGATTCCACTCCCATAACCACGACATCCTTAATAACATAGTCCTCTGTACCGGCCATGGACAAAGCGCAATTCTCTCCGTCGCTGACGGGCTCACAGAGTGTTAGGACTTGGACAAACTTGAGCACAAACGGGTATGGAGAAGAGCTTGGGACGCATGGCATGAGTCCGCTGAGTACCCCTGGCTACATTGACAGGCTATACGATATGGCTGCCCAGGCGAATCGTCCAGTGATACTGTACGTCGAGGTCAACTTTCTTTCCCTTGTTGTAGCATTAGGAGGCGTCTAACGAATGCTCTCCGTCTTGTAGCAATATTGTCTTGGGCACACATCAATATGACCACGACTTTGAAACCCAGCTGCTGGGTTGCTTCCCCAACTTTCCCATCCACCTTTTAGCGGATATTTACGAATCAAGTACATGGGGACGAGGCACGGTTATTCTCCCAAACACCACCGACGAGAGATGTGAGTACTTGAGCTACAGGGCCGTTTTAAGTGGATTTAGTATTGAGGCTGACGGATGTGTCTATCGTCATTATAGCCGTGGCCTTTCTTGCCAATTATCCACAAGTTCAAGGAGCAAGCCGCAGCCAGAGAGGGCCTAAGGATGATATTACTCCCGCACGGGTTAACTTCCTTCCCATTCTCTGCTGGTGTTCATCTGTAGAGCGACAAGTAGCAGGAAGTCAACAAGATACTCAAAAGATTGCTATTGTCGTGACGATCAGCTTCCACGAATGTGTACCAGAGAAGATGGGCGAGTTCTGGTCCATCGGGCGACGGCAAGATCGCCTCGCCAAGTTCGAACAATGGGCGTTCCTTGATCTTGCTGCTACCTTCTCAGGGTGGCCAACCATCTGGACTAATGCGCGGCGCGAACTCGCCCAGAGGCATGCGTCTATGTACTCGAGCGCCAATGCCGTCGCTAACCTTGGCACGACACGCATCATTCATCAAGACATGGCCAATGTCATCGCCCTCCGGGAAGATCTGCGCCTGTTCATTGCAGCTTATGCAAAATACAGCCAAATCCTGCGGAGAATGTTCCCGAATAGCAAGATGGCACGCATCAACAAAATGCGGAGCCTGGCGGGGAGAAGGCGGAACGAAGGACAGCCAATGGATGATGCCGAGTTGAAGGAGAGTACTGAGCTACTCGAGCTGCTCGCAGAGCTGGAGAATCGACTGCAAGACTCTCAACAGAATCTAGAACATCAGCTCGAGACTTCTGAGGTCATCCTCCGTCAACTGGAGAACCTCCTCAGTCTGGTAGGCCTACATGAACAGATCTCACTTTGTAACATACGGCTGACATCAAAACTAACTTAAAACAGGCTTTCAACACTCAAGCAATAGCTCAAGGCCAAGCAACGGCGATGCTAAATGTCCTAGCCACTATCTTCCTTCCGCTATCTTTCGTGGCAGTAAGTGAAGTCAACCCGATATGTCAGCAACTTTCTAATCAATCTTAGAGCGTCTTCGGTATGACAAAGTTTGAGATTTCAGCAGTGTGGTACCCGCCAGCAGCCGCTATCGTCCTCTTACTTGTTGGCGGGGCGATATTTCTCCTTCGATGGCTGGGTGTGGATATGAACATGATTCGACTCCCCGTGAAGCCGGTGTCGGCACTCATATCGAAGCAACAAAATCCCACGTTTCGACTTCTAAATGCTGGGCCTGAAGCAGATAATCCTGGTATAAGTGCTGAAACGAAAGAGCAGCCTGTCCTAGATCCCAAAGGAGTACGCAGCCAAGAATCAGTCAAGTCGGCCCTCGGTAGCTTAGACGATGTAACTTCGCTGTCGTCGGGGGCTCGACAGCAGTCAGAGACACTCAGCAAACTAAGAAATACTCGAGCAGGCGAGAACCGAGAAAAGAATCACTCTGATACCGTCAAGGAGCCTGGCAAACCAGATGAGAATGCCCTGAAAGATACCCAGGACTCTACTGCTAGTAAGCCAGATACGGCGGACGACGTAACCTCTACGACGGTTTCATCCTACCCGCTCGCCCCCAAAGCCGCCGGACGCAAGCCCCCCATGACAAAAGCTCAGACTGAGCTACTTGAAACAGAGTTCCAGAAAACCCCGAAGCCAAGTCATCAAAGAAAGAGTGAAATCGCGGATCTTCTGCAGGTAGACAAGCCGAGGATAAATGTGAGTCTGTAGCTGCCCGCCTTGTATCGGAAGCTGACTCTTGCAAAGAACTGGTTCCAGAACAGAAGAGTTAAGGAGAGGCAAATTCAGAGGACTAGGATGTTGGAGGCACAGCCTGTTGTAGAATGGTCTAACGAAGGTATAGTACATGGCGGACAAATTGCACACGGCGAAAAACCTCCAAGAGTTTCAACATTTGGGGGTATACCCTCTGGGGAGGACGGAAAGGTTGTGCAGCAGTTCCGCACTCCGCAAGACTACAGGGTTACTGGTGGTGGCGTTCCACAGTTGGCAGCAAGTGCCGCACTCCAGATTCCACAGTGAGTCCAAGCTCTCCTATCGCAAATTATCCGGCAGATATCCTTTGCTACGGCAGCTATGGTACCGATAATTCAGCAAGCTGATGTGAGATGCGATATAGATTCTACAGTTTCCAAGCTCAGGGACCAACAATCAGCCCATCGGCGAACGAGATTCTTCTGCCGGCGAGACCTTCAACGCATGCTCTACAAGACTACCAGATGCAACTGATGCTTCTCGAGCAAAAGAATAAAAAACGCTTGATGATGGCTCGCTCAGAGCAGGATACATCCGTTGCAGAAGGGCCAAGCGATGCCGCGGGCAAAAGCAACTTCTCAAATGTCGACACCGGCCCTGAACCCCAAACAGAGCAGAGAGTGCATGAGCCAGCATCTTGTCAGCCAGCTAATCAATTAGCTGGTGCTGGCATAGTACCTGCAGTAGTCAGGGATGTGTAAGTCCGGGAAAGAAAACAGAGGTGTTGGCCTAGGGCGGCAGGAAGAAGTGAGGCTTGGAAGATCGAAGAGCACTGCCTGTCATGAAAAGTGCGTCATAAGACTTTCCATTAGCTGCTTTGTTATATCGCTGCAACTTGTGTAGCTGCTATAACCTCAGAGTCTTTGTGTAAATTGATAATTTCTTGAACCGTTATATATAGATTTCATTTCCCCACTGAATCAGATCAGCAACTGGATGCGGTAGTACCAGCCTACCAGGGCTGTATCTATAATTATTAGCATCTCATCAACTATATACGGACACCGATGAGCCGGTGTCCTCTTCTATCATCCCGATTCTAATTTCGCAAGTTTAGAAGCCCAAGGCTATATAGAGAATAGTTTCCACGAGCTAACTTTCCCAGGGTCTGTTACAAGTATACAAATGCATAATGTCCAATTTCCATCAATACGAGCCTTGACACCCAATCCTTGTGACGGAAATGACAACCCGACTTTAGGGTCCGTATTTCTAAGTTTTGTCGTTTGATGTTTTCTCATTCGCGAGTGTAAATGATCAGTTTTAACTTTGGTGACTGGGTCCGTCTTGATACAACTCTGGGAAAGGCGGTAAGCTCTGGGCAGAGAGCAGTATTTATACCTCAGCGTACACAGCAGCCAAGTCTCAACACAAAAGAAATCATACATTTTAATTCACCAGTCCTTGACACCTCATCATGCGGCTATTCGGTATCTTCATCATGGCGACAGCCTTTGTTTCTGTCTCGGCTCAGGATCGTAAGCCACGATCTGCCATTTGCGTAAGTACACACAGCACTGCCTCTGGAGTTTCTTTAGCTTACAGGATATACAAGTCTCCTATTTCGATGTGCGCCAGTATGCCTGCTGCTGGTCAAGTATGCGGCACACAGGCAACTGCTTCTAATTGTAACTCAGTGGCTGACCAGGGCTCTGATTCTGGCACTGTTACCGTAAGTCTGATAAGTTTTGAGTGTCAGACATCAGTTAACATCTCAAAAGTGCCAATATTGCAAATAGAGAATATAATACATATATACATTAGTCAGGCTAATAGTTACATAATACACGCCATCTATTAAAACACCATACATTAAATACTGACTTAAATTATTAATTAATAGTTAAAGCTTGTAATATCTTAATAAGATATATTAAGCTAGTATATTAAGAAATATTAATTAACTTTAGGCTTCTAAAGGTAATATATATATAGCCTTTATAAAAATAAGTCTTTTAATTAAAATTAAAATAATATACTTTTATAATAATTTAATTAATAACTTTATTAATAGTTAATAAAATATAAAAAGCTATTTTAATTTTAATTTTTTATTATTAAAAATAAAAGAAATTCTTATATAAAAAAAACTATAAATTATAAACTATAAACTATAAAAATGCCTTTTATTTTAAATAGTAAAATTACTTTTTAGTTATTAATTAATAGCCTTTAACTATAATATAACTATAAGAATAACTAGCCCTTTATAAACTTATAGCCTTTAGACTATAAATTACTTTAAATACTTATTAAAGACCTATTTAATAAAGTTAATAAATATTTTATTTCTTTTAAAATTAAAAATAATAAAAAGGGTAACTTTATTAAAATTAAATTAATAAGCTTTAGCTATTATTATTTTAGCTTTTAGTTTAATTAAAATTTTAAAAAACTTGAATTCTTTAATAATTAAATAAAAAAGCTAAATAAGCTTACTTAAAAGGTTAAAAATAAAATAAAGAATTTTAATAATAAAATCTTCTTAATAAGCTTAAAAAGCAGTAAATATTAGCTATAAAGCTTTATTAAGTATATAATAGTATAGAGAAATAAATAAATCTAGCTTTTAGGATAAATAAATAGACTTTAATATAAAAGCTTAATCTCTTAAATATAGCTATTAATAAAGTTATATATAGTATAAATAAATACAGTTAAAATTACATTAAGTTCCCCTAAAGAGGGTAACTTAAATTATTAAATTATTTTATTTTATTTCTTTAAGGCCTAAAATATTCCCTTAATTAATTAATTTAATAAATAAAGTTAATTCTATTACTATCTATAGAAGTTTTACCAAGCTTTATGGTATATATATAATAAAAGCCTATTAATGATATTCTTCTAGGTAACCCTATTCTTACGTATTCACCCCATATAAGGAAAAGATATTTGGAATAAATCTTCCACTCACCAGGTAAGTGTTATTGTGATTAGAGGGTGTAATGCAGTCAGCTGGCGAGCGTGTAATGGGAGGGCGCATGCCAGCGGGTATGCGACTAAACTGCCACTAGAGCACTACTTATTAAAACACTTGGCCCTGTACAGCTCTGCTATATTTTGGGTTACTGTAAGGCCATGTGCACCGTTAAAACATCCGCGATAGCTCTCCAAGACTTAACACGGGCGGAGGTGTCTCGCCATACACATAACAACGATGCCTGGACAATCATCAATGGAGATGTCTGGGACGTTACCGGCTTCGCTGAAACGCATCCCGGTGGTGAAGATGTCATCGAAGAGCACCACGGTAAAGATGCTTCTGAAGTTTACAACTCCGTCCACGGCCCAAAGCTGGCAATAAGCTATTTCGGAGCCCCCAAACTAATGGGAAGAGTTCCAGAATTGGCACCAGCTCAGGTTCAGCAGTCTTGGGAAAACCCCAAGCTCATCAGAAACCCCCCACCACTGGACTCCATCATCAACCTGCAAGACTTTGAAGATGCTGCAAGATCTTGCCTCAACGAACGATCATGGGTTTACGTTTCCGGTGCTTCCAATGACTGCTACACAGCGTCCAAGAACGCCGAGATATATCAGTCAGTCTTTCTGCGGCCTCGAGTCTGTAGACCTATCAGCCAGGTCGATACAAGCACAACAATACTGGGCTACCGTTTTGACGTCCCCATCTTCAACGCTCCCGCATCCTTGGCTATGCTGACGCACCCGTCGGCCGAGGTTGGGTTGGCAAAGGGACTATCAGCGTCGGGGAGTACTATTATAATGCCTACTCTTGCTTCATATTCGCTAAGAGAAGTCGTTGAGACTCTGCCCCAGAACTATCCCTTCTTTTATCAACTGTATATTCCGCGGGATCCTTCAGCATTGGCAAGGCTCTTGGATGAGATTCGTCGTGCTTCACCAAAGGCTGTAATGATAACTGTGGATCTGCCGGTCTTTAGTAAACGAGAGGCCAATGAGCGTTACGAGATGAGGATGGCGAAAGAAAAGGGCCAGTCAAATGACAAAAAACAGAGCAGGCAATCCCGCGCCGCAAGTACAGCAATCAGCCCAGACGTTACATGGATCCAGATCCAAACTATTAAGGAAACCCTTGGGATACCCATCTTCATCAAGGGGATCCAGTGTGCTGAAGATGCCATGAAGGCTTTTGAAACCGGCTGTGAAGGAATTTACATCTCGAATCATGGCGGGCGTGGTGTTGACACATCGCAGCCAGCACTTCTGACTCTGGCAGAGATCAACCTCAAGTGCCCACAGCTCTTATCCCAGATGATTGTTTTCATCGACGGGGGTATTCGTCGAGGGACAGATGTCTTCAAAGCCATCTGTCTCGGTGCTCATGGAGTTTGTGTTGGCCGACCTTTCTTCTATGCTCTGATGTACGGAGAAGAAGGTGTGAGGCATCTGATGAACAGTAAGCAAAACAAATGCAGTCGGGAGTAAAAGGAGCTAACAAGTTCTCACCAGTCTTGAAAGATGAGCTGGAAAATGCCATGCAGCTGTGTGGAATTCAACAGCTGAGTGAGGCTCATCCGGGATTGCTGAATACCAAGGCCCTCGTGAACATGGTTGATACGGGCGAGTTACTGAAGAAGGGTAGCAAACTGTAAGCTGATCAAGTGTAATAATTTCGGTACAAGTAGTTGAAATTGATCATGAAAATAAAGCAATGCGAAGACTTGTGCATGACTGTAATCTGCATTCGCAATAGCCATATCCAAGTGAACTGTATGCATGTCGACATCCTCGAGAGGATACGCACTCTAAGCCCCCTGCACATCAAAGAATAAAAGAAAGGTCAGTTAGCTTCTTAAGCTCCGGGAATATTGCTTCTACTATTAATGAGCAAGGCAAGTGCTGTAAGCATCAGCAGTCAGATCTATGCGGTCAAAAGAGCACTCTAATAATTAATGTATGCGTCGAATAAGCTATAAATACCATCATATAAAGCAACAATCAAACAATACCACTTGCCAGGTTCAGAGACCAAAAGCACAAGCCTCCCATGCAACCAAAGCAAAATGAATATATAATTGCTGCCATGCCTCAAGCCGCATTGAAGCACAAGAAATCCTCAAAACCAAAAGGGCATTTTATTCCTTAAGAACTTTTCCTAGTGCACTCTCAAAAAAGGCAGTCGAGGGACTGTCAACGTGAGATAGTAATAATCTTGCTGCAACAGATTCAGCGAATGCAGGTCAAAGAGCGTCGTAAATACGGACAACGAAGTAGTATTGCAGTGACTCTAGAGTCCCTTGGGAGGTTTGTGCCGCTTGGGCAGTGGTGAATGCATTGTTGAGAAACTTGGTCACTAGGTCACAGTTCTGTGTCCAGAGCTGGTCGACGAGAGTTCTTGTGGGCAAGTAAGTATTCGAGATGGCCGACTAAAACACAACTACCGGGAATACTGACCCGTCTTGGACTTGAGGATTATGGCGAGGACACTCGTTTGGAGTGAGAATTGGCTCAGTGGTGGCTGGGGCATGTGGCAGTGCTGCAGCTGAAATCGCCAGAGCGGGGAGGAGGAGAAGCATCCGAGACCAGGTGAGCGACATGATGAAGAATAATTCGAGAGACAAAGATAAATTCACCTACTTTCTTCACGGGCAAGAAAATTAAAAAGAGCCATAATGACACTGGAAGGTCCTTATATAGGTAGACAGGTAGTAGGGGATTCCTTCTTGGTTCTCGGATATTACTGTTCCATTTGTGAGATGATTATGTCTCAAAAGGCTGCGGGTGTGTTACACGACATTTCAGCTCCAGATTAACATGTGCTGACGCGTTAATTGCCGTGCCGCCCTTTTCCAGTTTCTCAGTCCTAGAATAAGTGTCTAATCACAAAACCTTTTTCTTCCGAGTTTTCTCGTTCTAGTTTCAAACATAGCTAAATCTGCACGCAGCAGGCTCGAATGAAAGCGGCTACGAATGATGATTGATACCGGGAGTTCTTGACACAATTTAAGAGGCCTAGAAGCACATTTTATTGTTAATGGAACATGCAATCGAAATAGGCAGGTCGACTTTCAGCTCATTAGTCAATACCAAGACTTTGCCGCCCTTGGCAGAGTCATGGCCCCCCAACCATTGGCGAATGAATTGACGTTCATCAGACCACCGAGAACAGCTGAAAACTTCTTTCATTTCACGTGCGGAATCTACCTCAATATTCAAAGCTACGCTGGTAGCCTTTGCAAAGCTGGAACCAGTTTATCAAGAGGAGAGATTGAATCGGTTAAGTTTTGAGAGTGTTATTTTGAGATGATAGACCTGACAGCCGATGCTTACATCACGCGCCTTACTCATGGTCGGTATAATACCTAAGTCGTGAGATAAATGTGTTATTTGTAATTGGGGCTTGTGACCTGATAGTTTAAATCGGCGGAGAGAACTTAGTAACTGGTCTGTTTGGCATGACAGCAACCTGCCTTCGCAGGAACGATGTCCAAGTGAGCTGCATACATGTTGATACCGGCGAGAAGAGACTGCCTTAAAAACTGCAGAGGAATCCGCTATAAGAGCGACCGCGATAGCACCAAGAGTAAGGTTGATTGGTTTTGGCCCCAAGCGTGCTTTTCTTTTACTCCTTGGGCGTTGCGAGGATGGGAATACTAATACAGAGGTAATTATCAAGACTGCTCCTCCGCTACAAACAAATGTGACGTAATGTCTTGTATGATCGTTCTCCGCAGTCATGCTCGCCAAGTTGCTTTCTCAATCAAATGATCATCTTTATTGAGCAAGCATCGACGATTCTCAAAGTATGTGAACAAAAGCGTCGATCTTCCCCCGGAGTACTCGAAGCATCAGCCAACGCGGACCGTAAAGTCGCCTTTCTCTATGATATGATCAGCCAAGAAGACCTCTATAATATCGCAGAGAAGAATGTTCCCTTCACCATCCGCTCAGTCCTTGTAACCGACCTTTCCAAGAAGATTCGGCTTACGATGATGTATCCTACTTCAACTAGTCTTAACTCAGCTAAGGTACTGCGAGTTATTGATTTAGCTTTAGGCTGAAAATAAGAAGTATGTTGTTACACCAATTGAATAGCGTGTTGTTAAGGATGTTATTATTCTGCCTTCTGTTTTGATGGAAGATGCGAAAAAGAGGTTTGGTCATGTTAAGGAGGTTAAGTCTTACTTGAGATTTACCAAGACCTATGATCATATGTTATTAGTATTTTCATAATTGATGAATAGAGTCATAAGATTTATGAAATTCATGGTGCTGTTATGAAAACACAGTTTGTGGGGATGCATCTTCAACTACGACCGTATAACGTTTACAACGATGCACAAAATTCCAATAATGCTTTCACCTCGTTGCACATGATTCATGATTAAAATGATCTACGTTGAACAGAGACTGCTTGTTTGTCTCACCTGGTGGCTGGCCTCGTTCTTCAGTGCGGGGGAAATGTCCCGGCAGATGTCCATTGCGTCATGGACCTGGCTACATACGATCTTGGTATTCGATTCTTTTCTCTTTTCTCTTGGGTAGACTGAACAAGACATGGAACAACCCGCATCTTTGGACGTCGTTTGTGTTATTCTTATTATTACTTCGCTATGGAGAACCAGACCGATACCCTCACATTACATGTTGATCGACGTGTCACACGCTCCATGGTCAGAACCGATGTGAGTGACACGAAACCCATCAAAACTGAGAAACGTAAGACAACATCACGAAAACTACCCTCTGGAGTCGTACTCTCGGCATCTCGAATCCCTCCAATCTCCAGGGAGCGTTTCGGTCTGATCCAAGAAACCGTCGGAACAGATCTGTACCAACTCCTCGTTGCAGCCGTTCTCTGGAACAGGACTCGAGGATCCCAGGCCCGCCCAGTTTTCCAAGAGCTCATATCTCAGTACCCAACGCCGAGTCACCTCGCAGAAGCAAGGTTCTCCGATCTCGCAGATCTCATCCGTCCAATCGGACTTTACAACTCCCGTGCCGCTCGGTTCATCGCCTTTGCCAAGACATGGCTTGACAAACCACCCCATAAATCAAGGCGGTACAGAAAGCTGCATTACCCGCTGCAGGGCGATGGTTTAGGCATTGGCAAGGATGAAGTCTTGGATGAAGATGATGTGAGACAGGGCTGGGAGGTGGCGCATTTGCCGTCCCTTGGTCCGTACGCGATTGATAGCTATCGGATCTTCCACCGAGACATGCTGAGGGGTTTAGCCGATGATTGGGATGGGTTGAATGCAGTGCGGGGGTTTGAGCCTGAGTGGAAGAGGGTTGTGCCACTTGACAAAGAGCTGAGGGCTTATTTGCGGTGGATGTGGCTGAAGGAGGGCTGGATATGGGATCCTGAAACTGGCAAAAAGATTAAAGCTTCTGGAGAAAGGATGGAAAGAGAGCGTAATCGGTCAAGAAGTTTGTCCCCTGAGGGATTTCGAGTACGAAAGCAATGAGCCCCTCAAGTCTTGTCTTTCGATAGCCTAAAAGGATCGGGCCTTGATTAGTGGCTGATTATGTCTCAGACACGCTTCAGCTTCAATCCCTGAAGATGGCTATCTTGAATCTGAACCACGGGCCTCCTTACATTAGCTTTCTTCTCTCGCCTCACCGAGCTATTCAGCTGAGCAAAAGTCCCCGACCCGCATAGAGTTGTGTCATAGATTCAAGATATCCCTGCATAAGCGCTGATATCTTACGACTGCAATGCCGAACGGAGCGCTTTGCATAGCGGCAGGGTAGGTGAGACACGGGATACACAGTCCTCTTACTTGTCCGATGGCCCGAAGAGACAATGTACCGGGTATCGGTGTTTCTGCTGCGTGTAACGGGACCTTCCAAATCATGACACATGATTGTATGGAGACGTTGATTGGTCCTAGCCGTCTTCCAGTCAAAGGATGAGATCAATATGTTTCTTAGACTTGATTTGAATGTTCCAAAATCGGCCTTTAGCCAATTATTATCAGAATTCGAGAATCAAGGCAGACCCCACATTAAACCTTTGGGATCTGTGTCTCGGATAACCTTAGAACTATGGGATACGAGCTCTTTAAAACATACACAGATCACCTGAAGTGGGTTCCCGGGGAGGCGGAGGAAAAAGGCTCCCGAGCAGAGATAGATCAAAAAATGGTTGGGTAAGACAGAGGTTTTGGTTCAAGTCAAAAACCATACACCTAGTACTTACATCTCTGTCACTTGCAACTCGGGGCTAGATGTCTTGTTTGCAATTGAGATTTGCGGCTGAGAGCTCTTACTAACGCAGAGAACTTCGACTATTGGGAGTAGGTCGCAGTGAAAATAACACCATAGTGGGCTTTTGACACCAATGCAGTGAAACAGGGCATGAGTAGTCCAGACAGAAAGACTTCAGGTGGTCCGATGCACGCCGCTTCATCGAACAGCGGACAATTGTTACCTTGGAACCGCTTGCAGTGGGGCTTCCATGGAGTATTTGCAAGCCGAACGGCAGTTATACACGTTAAGTATGTTGAATGAGTGCATAAAGCTCATGTTTCAGAACAGATTGTTGAACCGATCACCATCAATATCAATTTCTCCTTCGCTAGAACAAATCGTCAACCATACAACATGAGTATTGGATGAGATAGGTATATATTCCAAGGCATTGCTCAGGTAGCTACTTACTGCACTCCTTGGAGTCGAGCTTTCTGATCCTACAAGGATCGGTTTGAGAAGTACTCAGATCTAAGGTATTTCTTTCCAAACGGCTCAGGCAATATCTTGAAACAATGTTCTACTCCCTAACAAGATGAGATACGTAGGCACCTACTTAGAGGTCTTATTTCGGCAAAACACCACGTACATCCCGCTGCGACTGTCCGACAACCTAAGAGCTAAGGGCCATCGGTAGGTTGTACGCAAGTGAGACCGGATCGTCAATCGCTCGTATTTATGTCTTACAACAGGGATCAAGCGGCTGCCCTCCCGTGCCGCCTTTAGTGAATCGCCTTCCATCCTCCTTGCATAATGATCGACGCAGCGGAAACCTTTCCTATGACAGAACTTGTAAGACATGCGGACCATCGGTGAGTAAATCAAGGAAGGTTCAGGCATGGCTGGTTATCGATGAGGGGTAACATGTAGCACAGCATATGTTCATGGACTCAATAAGTAGGATGATGGTTGAGCTTTGGGTGGAAGGAAAATCTATAAAGGTCCAGCTTCTTCCCGTCTGTTCTATCATCTCACCAACGTCAACAGCTTCACTTTACACTACACAACTACATCACTTCACTTCACTTTACTTTCAAACCATCAACATGAAGTTCTCCATCGCCTCCACTCTCCTCCTTGCCAACGGCATCGCTGCCATGCCTTGGTCTTCCCTCAGCGCCAAGCAGTCCAACGGCGAGGAGATCACGTACGTCCCATCTAAGTCCATCATACTCAGTCGCACAACTCAATACTAACCCTGTACCCACAGCCTCCGCATCCAGGTCTCCCAGCCCTCTTCCAACCACGCCGTCACCCCCAACCACAAGGGCGTCGTCAACGTCCACAACTACGAGGTCTGCCTCAAGGTCTGCTGGCCTGAGGAGCCAACATGCCCCGAGGGCTGGGTAAGTGATCCTAATGCTTACGCTTCATTGATTATTGCTAACTATTTGACCAGAACTCCAAGAAATTTGTATGCTACCTATCAGTGATGGTAACGAGCTTATTACTAACAGTCTTTAGGGAGACTCTGACTACCCTTGCTGGACTTGCTGCAAGAAGACTGGTGATGATGATCTCTAAATGTCACACTAGTCAAAGACCTGGAAATCGGGGTTACCAACATAGCATCAAGGCAAGGAGGACATTAAGCCAGCATAGTATAAATGGACACTCGGTACAATATATCATAGCTTAAGACGGGTGCTTTATGAATGTGATTTGTGTATGATGAATTGGTTGTACAACCGCTTGATGGTTCTCCACTCATTTCCGTCACCCAGGATCTGTAGCTTGCCGAGAACCACTGACTAGTACTATATAGCACAAGCTTCGGCTGAATAGTCCATCAGACGAATCTGGGACGTATCGAAGTTAGGCAAGTCTTGGCTCTGCATTCAAGCTTTCTCAAAACCTCCGATTCTGCAGCTTGGTCAACTGGGTATAGAGGCGGCGACTGCCGTGATCGGCTTCAATGTTGGCCCCACGTCATCCCCATCTCATTGTCAGCACAGACAATGGGTCGTCGGTCTCGGCCAAATCTGTTTTCTGGAGTTCTTCTAGCTCCCCCGATACCCCTACCCTTGAACTCCACTCGATCGCGTGACAATGCCCAGATTCATCCAAATCCGCAGCGAAATCGGGGTCTTGATCTACGTTAGTCCTCACTTATGTTTCGCTAAGTACATCAACGGCATAATAGAGTGGTCAACAGCCATTGATCTTCATATTGTCTTGATATCTTCATTATCCGTATGTTGTAGAGACATCGATTTCGTTCTTGAACCCCGTCTCATAAAGCACGCCCAGTTGACAGCCCATATGCGATTTTCCTATACTGAGCGATCATGGTATCTTGTCGCTCTGAGAGCCTCTCCAGTACCATATCAGCATACTCATTATTTTCCGCCTGAATCTGCAGCGCGGCTTGTTCAAAACCTTTCGGATATACACCGGCGCAACCCCAGTCTATTACCCAAACCTTCATATTTTTATCGAGTACCAGATTTCTCAGCGCCAAATCTTGGTGGGTCAGAACGATATCCTTGAACTCAAATCTTGGCGTTTCGGGTTTTAGTTGCTTAACCATGATGCCGACGTCGATTTTGTGATTGCACCAGTCCTCGAGTTCGCCAAGCGTGTTGAAAGGCCCCGCGCCGTAGTCTGTGAACCATGGGCCTTGGAATTTGGCATCCTGGGACCTCTCAATAGGCCCTACCGGCATATGATTGAGGATCGTAGATTGCATCTTGTCAATAACATCCGCGACCTGCTGGACCACTGTTGCTTTGGCAGTCGTATCCAGGGACTGCCAGCTTTTGTCCATCATGGATCCTTTTATGTAGTCCATGACAATGAAGTGGGCTTCTACCAAGGGTGTTTCGGGCATGTCTGGATCTTCTGGGATCTCAGCGGTGAAAGCATGATGAACCTTGGGAATTGGAAGGCCCAGGGTTTCTAGAGCAAATTTCATGTTTTCTGCTTCGCTCTTTGCCACGCCTGGGCCGCCTTTGATGACGAGATGCTTCGAGATTCGTGGTATTATGACATCTCCATAATCGTGAAGTCGAGGCGCCGTCAAGAAAGCTGCTAAAAGTTCCTCGTCCGAAACTGAGACAATGTCCCGCTCATCAAGCGGGAATGTATTCTCATCTTCAATTGATCTAGGCTGTTTATAGTGAGTCAGTATACTACAACGATCATGCGTTGCATTGAGACATATTCTGAACTTACGTCTTGGTATGGTTGAGGGAAGGATGGTCTGTCGCCAGGCGCGGGACCCTTCGGCGGAGGATTGTCGTTTTGTGGCTCTATTCCAGGATTTTTCGACAATGAGCAGCCCATCTCTGCAAGAATAATGGTGTGCCGACGACAGAATCACTCGCATCGGTCAATATGTAGCAGAGAACGGTTATTCACGAACCCTACTACCTGCCAATAATGTTGTTGTTTGTTCCAAGTGAGCCGAAACTGCTTGGCAGTGGGGTTCTTCTGCCGGGTCAACCTCGGGTAACATTAACTTTACTGAACAAGCCAGGATCCTTAGGCACCATATGATTGTAATTGACACTGAACCAACAGTTTTGTAGTTGGGCCAATCTTATTAATAGAAATAATGCTACAAGCGGCTACAAGCAATCACATTTAACCGCCGCGTTTTGCAAGTTATGTTACAGGCGAATCGCGCGCTGATGTCAGAAATTCTTATGATTCGCCTGTTTCCCTTGGTAAAAAGTTGTTGGCCCTTGAGACCAGCCAAGACGGCTCTTCAAAACCCTGATACTGGCTGTTCTGTGGCTATCCATGGAAGCTCCTTTTCTATTATCCGTGCTCGCTGCCTAAAGTTTAACTTTATCCCCAGCAGGTGGCTGTGCAAACATGACTTTTATTGGGCGTTGCCATTTGGCGATTATGGTCGGTGACCCTCACAGTGAAGAACTGTTGGTCATATATCGCATAATGTGCTAGGAAGTCTTGAGGTACGCGCGCGCCTATCAGTTCAAGGTATTGAAAAACATACCGAAGAATCAATGACGGAAAGGATGATAAAAGGATGAAGAACACCTGTGTCATTGAACAAGATTCTTTATGATATCAACGACCTGAGCATTCTTATCCAATCAGACTTTTTATCATATACTTTCAAACAGTTAACCAATCCCCCAACTTCAAAATGGGTTGCGGTCCAAGTTCTCCCTCCAAGAGCGAAGGCAGGCCTTCTCATACGAACTTCGAAATGCACAACCTGAATCCTCTGAGTTACACGCCCGAGACAGCAGAGAACGAAATCCGCAGTTCCGTCGTCGCAACAGTTCACTTTGTGGCTCATACTGTCGTCGAAGGCGGCGGAAATCATTGGGACATTTTCCTACAAACTGGACCGAGAAAATCAACTCGCTTAGAAATCGTGCCTGGCGCGTATCCTGGTCGCGTAGGCTTCCTCGGCCGTCTCGATATCATCCGTCATCCCTATGGCATCACACGTCACTCGAACAAGACGGTGAGCATACCTGCGCAGCATGGCCACACTGTAGGCCAATTCTTGGATGCAATCGTCGGTGCGGATAATCACCGCTATGAGTTTACCCAGTCGGGGAGGGGCTGCGGTGGCTGGGTTCGAGACCAATTTTATCTTTTTGTACAATGCGGATTGATTCCTCCTGGATGGGAGGCCGAATTTGAGGCTGCAATTAATGTTTTTTGGGTGCAAAATGAGTCTCGTGGACCTTGGCCGTTGACCTATGGCACTTATCTGAGAAGTAGAAATACTGGTCGCAAGGGGAAGGGGAAGCAGAAGAAAAGCAAGAAATAGCGATGTCTTGGAGTTAATTTGCAAACTTTAGGATAAATGCCCAAAGCTTTAGACTTTATATTCAGATATTAACTAAACTCAGGATAACATATTCTTAGTATAGTATATCACTTTGAGGTCGGTAAACAAATCTATGAATCTGTTCCAAGTGATGGTAATTTTTATGGCTTAACCTATAGTATAGGTATGATTCGGCATTTGTAATAACTCTTATTCTTCACAAGCTGCGCCAAGTCCGGAGCGCGATCGGCGCCCTACACTCTAACCCCTGTTTTTTGCTAGCAGGGTACCTACCTACAGGGGTTTAACCTTATTTTACTAAAATATCTCTTTATTTTCTTATTTTAAATTATAAATATTAAGTAAGTAGTATTTTAAATATAAATAGGTATTTTTATATATATTTTTTTAAGGAAAAATATAGCTATTTTAGATATATTTATAATATATCCTGGCCTTTAAGGTGGGGCTGTCACGCGCTAACAAAAACACAGGGGCTGAACTGTATATCCACTTCGCCCTGACTCATCCTGCATTCGGTTTAGACTCGACGCTAGAAATCTCTTGTCGTTCCAGAAGTCGGCTAGAAACTCCGGCAGTCGAATTCCTCCAAAACAAACTTGCAGTAGCTTGGCGGCGAAGGAGGCTGCAAACTTCAGCTGAACGAAGCGCGCGGCTACGATGAGGCTCTTTCGATTCTATAACGACATCTATCGTGAGTTTTTGGTACCGAGTCCAGCTGTGTTCTCCGGTCTGGGGAAACCCTTTCCTTACGCGGAGATTAGAAAGTCTGGAGCGGTGGATTTCTTTGTGAGAAAAGACCACTCTTTGTGGGACCATAACGTAAAAGTTAGCAAATGCATTGAAGCAATACAGATCTGGCCATTGCTTGTTTTTTCCCAGACTCAGCCGATCTCGCCCAATGAAGGATCGACTAATTTTAACCGCGATCACTGTAACCGTCCCACTGCTCATTACAGTCTCTACACTCTCTGTAGCCCGAATTCGGTGCGCGACGCCATCGGGCCAGGCCGAAGAACCTCCAATGTTAGTGGGCCGACTTGACTCGGGAGTTAAACTAACATGAAGACATTTTTTCACTCGCACCGTTGTCGGCCATTTCTCGCCCCAGAGTGGAATTTATTTAAATAACACTGCTGTTCCAATTATCGTCGCGTCAATTGGTCTTACACTCTTGAGTCTCTTCTTTTTTTCAACACTTGCGCCACTAACTTAACGGGCGACTATCACCATGAGCCATACAGAATCTAAAAGCGCTGCGGCGCCTGAGGATCAAGAGAAGGGTGTTGCCAATGCGCCTCCGGCTTTTGTGCCTGAACCGAGAAACGATGATGCTGTCTTGGGTGATGAGGAGGCGGAGATCATTGACTACAAGACATTAACGTGGTGGTATGTTCAATCCCAATCCCAACTTCATCTCTCTCAATACTGATTCCTCCCAGGCAAGGCGGCATTGTCCTCATCGCAGAGACCGTATCCCTCGGCATCCTATCCCTCCCCTCCGTCCTCGCCACCGTGGGCCTCGTCCCCGGAATTGTCCTCATTCTCGTAATGGGTTTCCTCTCCACCTACTCCGGCCTCGTCCTCGCTGAATTCCGCGCGCAATATCCCTTCGTCCAAAACTTTGGCGACGCAGTCGAAGTCATTGGAAAGTCCATCGGCATGGGTCGCGTTTTCCAGGAGGTTTTTGGTTGGGCGCAGGTTATTTTCCAGGTCTTTGTCATGGGAAGCCATCTTCTTACTTGGACTATCTGCCTGAACACTCTGACGAACAGTTCTACGTGTACTATTGTCTGGGCTGTTGTGGGCTTGGCGGTTTTCTGGGTTCTTAACCTGCCGCGTACATTGAAGTACACGAGTTATATGTCCATGGCTTCGTGCATGTCTATTACTCTCGCTGTACTCATTACAGTTGGAGATGTTGCGCGTGAGCGACCTATTGGCTCTGGAAGCATTGAGGTTGCTCGTGAGCTCGGCTTCACTGGCGCTTTCTTGGCCGTCACCAACATTGCCATCTCCTTCTCCAGCCACTCTTGCTTCTTCACTGTCATCTCTGAGTTCAAGAAGCCCGAGGATTGGCCCAAGGCTCTGGCTTTCCTCCAGATCGTCGACACCACTCTCTACCTCCTCGCCGCCATCGTCATCTACGTTTTTGTCGGACCTGATGTTCCTTCGCCTGCGCTTTCTGCCGCTGGTTCTGCTACCATGCGAAAGGTCATCTGGGGTATCGCCATCCCTACTATCGTCATTGCCGGTGTTATTTACGGCCATGTCGCTTCAGCCTATATCTTCCAGCGAATCTTCCGAAACACCAAGCACATGGTCCGCCGAACAAAGCTGTCTACCATGGTCTGGTTCGGTGTCACATTCGGTATCTGGGCACTTTCAATGGTTATTGCTGAGTCCATTCCTGTCTTCAACAACCTCCTTGGTCTCATCTGCGCCCTCTTTGCCTCGTGGTTCTCTTATGGACTGCCAGGTATCTTCTGGCTCTGGATGCACTACGGAAACTGGTTCAAGGATGGAAAGCAGACTTGCCGATTTGTGGCCAATGTTATCCTCTTCCTTACTGGCTTCCTTATCTGCGTCCTTGGACTTTGGGCTTCCATTGAGGCCATCGCTGAGGGAGGAAGCAAAACTCCTTGGTCTTGCGCCAGCAATGCGGCGGAATAGATCGCTTTCCGTTTAGAATAATTATGATAGACATAATACGAATAATACCCATTTTTTCTTCAACCTTGTTCGTATGCAAAATCTCTGTTCATAGACTTAACTCTCCTAGTGCTATCTGATGCTATGACCTCTTCACAAACCACCACTTACGCCTTGATGGAGCCCTCGGAGCTCGGAGCCACAACAGTTGTTCGCTGGCGAAGGTTTCCAGCTTCGTCATGTTCTTCGTCCCATCGAGGAAGATCAGCATAGGGAACTCTAACCAGTCGGTGGGTGTTGGCTCCATTGTCGTCGACATTAGTGATCTCGGTGCGAATAGCATATCCCTTCCATTTGGGCAACAGGAACATCCAAACAACATAGTAAAGGGCACAAACAAGGACACTACAGATGGCTGTTAGTAAGCTGGGAGATACTGAAGTTCCAGACTGCTACTCACATTGCAATACCGACGACACAGTATGTCGCATACCAGAAGCTGACATCACCAGCATATGGGCCGCCCTTGGGAGGGTACCAAGGCATGACGAGGATGAAGACCTGGACCAGGAGGTAGAAGATTACAGGAGCATGCCAAGCTCTGAAGTCAGAGCGACCAATACCGGCCTTTGACCGACGACGGCGGAGCACATAGAGACCAAAAACCATGGCAAACCTGAACATGGCATCGGGGTACGTGCCCAAACTAACAACTATGAAACAGATCAGCATCAGAGAGCATCAAGAGGGACCAGGCTGCTTACCGAAAGTGAAAGCATCGCCAGCTGAAGGCGCAACAATCATGATGAAAGTCAACACCCACTTGAGGATGTAAGGACCAATTGGAGTACCAAAAGGCTTAGTCGAGACCCAGAAGTTGGTATAAGGCAGAACGCCCTGTCGACCAATCTCACGGAGCATACGAGCAGAACCAATCAGCACAGCAAGAAGGTTACCAAAGGCACTCAGCAGTACAAGAAAGTTGAGGACATTGGCAGCAGACTTGCTATCGCCAAAGAGCTTGGTGAAGAAGACTGATGCGGCAATCTCACTAGCCTCGGCGAACTCCTCCTTGGGAACGACAGCGAAGTATGCGATATTGCACAGCATATACAACACGGCGACGACGGTGAGCGAGACTGTACCGTTTCTCTTAAGCGTGGGAATGGGGTTTTGGATCTCGTTGACGACGTTGAAGGCGTTCCAGTATCCGGCGTATGAGAAGACGATACTGACGAGGGCACTGGCTAGATCGTTTCCGTTGGGGGTCGCACCGGCGAAGGCGTCGCGGAAGTTATGGCCGGGGTCGGGGATGCGCTTGACGTTGCCGCCGAGGACGACCAGACCTGCGATACTGATGCTGTATGATGTGTTAGGGGTAAAAGGCTTGTGGGGATGGGAGGGCTTACAAGACGAGGGTGAGGATCTTCAAGGCGCCGATGAAGTTGACCAGCCAAAGGGAGTACTTGTTATGAGCGATGACAAAGATGACAGCAAGGGTATAAGCTGCAATAGCGACACCTCGCATCTGCCATTCGGAGGGGGTATCGCCGGTCATTCGCCAAAGGTACTTGGACAGAACTATACATGATCAGAACACGAGATATAAAAGGTAAAAGAAGGAAATTGACATACCGACGGCATTGCTACTGCTGAAAGACAGAATGACCGACTGGACAGCAAAGGTGACGGGGAAGAAGTGCTTAGGCCGAGGATACGCCTGCTCAAGATACACAACCTCTGAACCACTGCGATTAGGAAAGTAACTCGCTAATTCCAGGTAAACACTGAAACCAGACGCAGCCATGATGAAGCCGATGAACCAGATGATCAGCGCCAGACCGACAGACCCAGCACGGTTAAGGATACTCGAAGCTGCGCATCGTCAGTTGCTTATCACCCCTCTTCGTATTGTAAGATACGTACGCGTAGAGAAGATACCAGTTCCAATCATCATGTTGACATTGAGGAAGATAACCGTAAGCCAACCGACGTTGTATCCAAGTGGCGAGTGCGATTCAACAGGTGCACCGACAGCTTCTTGATACGAAGGTTTAGAGCCATTGCCGCCTTTGACGCGTGTGTACGCGAGATCGCCCTCGTGAATGACTGAAGGCTCAGAGTCGCTAGCCTCAGGGTCCGCCGACACGGTAGCCGTGGTTTTCTGGCTTTCAAAAAAGTTTGAGAAGCCCATTGCGCCGGATTCGCGATTGACAAGAGGGATAACCAGCAGAATGCGATCACTCGCGAAAATTGACCGATATAAAGATGTTGGTTTGCCGATGAGGGGCAAGTAAAACGTGCGACGAGAGATTGAGTTATATAAACATGGATCGTCTGTGCGACCGTGGTGCAGGATGACACAATTCTTGGGGATCTTGACATGACTGCACCAAGACTCGGGCTCCCCGTTGGAAATCCCACCCTGTATATCCGAATAGTCGCATGCTTAAAAGAACATCCACTTAAGAGGTAGGATCTCCGTGCGGGATGAGCCTTGTTTGCGGACTTGGGTAACTGTTGGTGGCGAGGATGGGTTGGTCTGGATGGGGGTTGTATAACGTTGCAGTGCATTGTGTCACTTCGGCAGCAGGGGAGGGAACTTGGTAGGCATTTTCTTGAATTCTGAAGTGCGAATTTGTTAATCTAGATAAGGGAGCTGTACAGGACGCGTACGCTAAATGCCATACAACGGCCAGCCATCCTGCCGTGTATCGAGGTTGATGTCCAACCCAGCGATTATTACGGCCTCACCAACAAATCCTCCAGCATCTCCATCAAGACCTTCGATTCTCCTCCACAAATTCGCCGAACTCCCCAAGTCCATCCCCCCAGCTTAAAACAAACACTTTTAAACTACCGGCGCCTCCCCGACTCAACCCTCCAATTCAGGAAACACATCGTCTGTTCAGACCAATGAAACCCCTCATAATTACTGTTTCGCAATAACGGGGATGTGATTGTCTCATACCCAAAACAAGTGGGATACCCGACAATATCTGATAACGACATCGCCTGTCGTGATAGCGAATCTATAATTGTTGCTCGATTGGGTTTAGTCTCGGAAAGGATCGATAGGCCGCGGCTGCGGGAGACGAACCGGGCCCGCTGAAGCAAGCAGGGAGGTTTTGTCCGCGGGGTCTTATTGGTAGGGAGCTTGTACTGTTTGGCTCATTCTCCAAGGCCAAGCTTTTGTGCTATTGATTTGGATGCTGACTTAGTGGGGGTTATGGTGTGCAGCGGGACCTTCGCCTACAATGCCCAGAATGGCGAAAAGCATGCCGATTCCTTAGTTCATCCGCTATATGATTCTCATACCTAATGTCAATACCCTTGTATCAATAGACTGAGAGAGATAGTTTTCCTTTTCTGCTTTGGCAGTAGTCCGTCGCTCACTAAATTGTATCACAGTGAGGGTTATGGGCTCGATGGCGTGGAGTGGGATCTACGACCATATGGCCCAGAATGGCGAAAACAGCGTTGCCTCATCTGGGTAAGTGGACGGTGAACTGAAGGTTCATAAGACCTCAGGATGACAAGTCAAACTTGTGGGAATATGCATACCTGTCTGCCGAAAAAGCTAATTTTCTTTTGATACTTATATGCCATCTTCGAAAAGCCTCTTAAGAACAAGCGCACCGTTACTACAATAACCTTCCCAGCCAAACACATAACCCCCTGGCCCGCACAAAGAGGTAAGGATCAATACACAGCTTCTGGGAGGCTTGTAGTTTGCAACTAACTGCTCCGCATTCAAAATGCAGCATCTAATACACTGCTTGCCTTGCAGCCTATGGTGTAATGCCACTAGCCTACCTCTCATAGGATCAGCAGTTCTAGGAAGATAGGTCTGCGAAAGAGCTACCCAGATAGATAAGCTTTGTGTGAACAATACGCGTGTCATGGGAGGGAGTAGCGTCGGTAAATCAGTCAAAGGAAGCAGCCCATCTCCTTCAACAAGGATGGATTCAAAGCCGTTGAGAGAACCGCATGACTTTCCCTCGAAGTTCGCAGAAGTCACTGCGCTGTTTAACTTATGCCAAATATCAGAAACGCCCAATGAGAAATGTCGACCGGGAAATGCTGCGGTTGAAATTCTGTAGCTGGCATGAAGACTAGTGTTTTCCCTCAATATCTCTTCGATGAGGAGCTCGGCGTTGAGTCCGGGCGTTGAACTATCAGCGAGGTCGTCATGATTTGTGACAGTGGACATGGAGACTGCGTCATACCCTGCCTTGTCCGGGGTATTCGCCATCTCGAATCCCTGATCACCTACCATATCGTACATGAAGTTATTCCACTCGATCCTACCAGGAACAGCTGTTACAACACAAGCTCTCTAGGGATCAGATGTGATCTCTGTCAATGTATTGAGAACGAAACATAAACCGCTGTGTGAGACGGCAACGACGCTACCACTGCCTGAAACAACATCGTGCTGTCGTCCAGCCAAAAGAGTCTGGGCCACCCTGAGAACACCTCAGGCGGCCAGGATCTTAGTAAGCCGTGATCCACCGGGTCGTAATCTGACAATTTTGAGGTGATGAGAATATTTCTCTGAGTCCAGTAAAGGTTCTCCAGACCAGAGCGTGTTGGCCGCAGGTCAAGCTCTTCATGCATACACATAGTTGACATAGCTCTGACCAGCGTACAAGTAGTTTGTATCAGTGCAAGTAAACAGAAAGCTGTATCCTCTTTCTCATCACCCTCATCTGGGCGACATGTTTTACATGAGCATAGCTGACGTAAAGAAGTGAAAGACAGAGAAAATAACTGGGCGGCGTCCAGATATCCTTTGTTTAAAGCCGCCTCCATTGTATGGTGCAAGACCGGATTCTGCCCGAGTTCTGGGAGAAGGCGACGAGCTAGCAGATAGAATCCCCTCCCATAGCTGGATTTAGCAGTCGATAGCGATAAAGATTGATGAACCATGGCATAGTAATTCAGAGTTGTATTCTTCTAAATTTAATATGAATAAATGCCATATGTCTTGACATAGCGATGCCTTCATACAATCAGAGGCTCAGAGCTCTCCAGATTCAACCTAGCGTCGGTTGGTTACCGTTTCGGGAATGTATCGGCGATGATTTGCCAACCCCGCCCTCAACGTCAGATGTCGGCGATTCCTACTCTTCTTTTCTTTACTGGAGACAGAAGGACACTAGTTGAGCCGCATCGACATGCCGGTACCTAAAAACCCCTGTACAGAATGCAAGAGTAAGAAACAAGGACACTAGATTGCCACATGACTAACGCACATTGCCCATTTTAGGCAAACACCTCAAATGTCTGTCAGCTCCATTCCAGTAGTACTCAGAAAGTATGAAGAACTCAACGCGAGTCTAACATGAGGTCCCAGGCGCCGGTGATGAGACAGTATGCACACGATGTCTCAAAAAAGGACTAGAGTGTGTTCGTCTGGGAAGGAATCGGCAGTTCAGAGATGGCTCGTCGGCAAAGTACGACGCCAAGTTCTCAGGGTCGCAGAATTGGGTCAACAGTAGTGCCAAAGAGTGTAAGTGCCCGATATACGAGAATACCAGCAGAAGTAGCTAATTGGTGAACAGTTCGTCTTCAAACAAGTTCGCGGCGAGCCACACAGAGAATCGCTTTAGCCGGTGAAGGTTCAGCATCATCAACAAACATCGCAAGCCGCCCGGCATTAAACAACGACGAAACATCTGGCAGGACCCTTGACTTTGCACTAGGAGATTCAACATACTACAACTCGGCAGTTTTAACAGGTCTGTCCCCTTCCCGTGACGGACACTCGCAACCTTCAGCCCTGCCAGCCTTTCAAACTCAACCGTCCCAGAACCCACCGGCACTATCTCAACGCGGTCCTTCTTGGGGCGGCCTACTGCATGCGTTAGAACCACCTCATCAACGAGACTTGCCCTTGGAAGGTGTCCAAGAAGCGTGTCTCTTACGATATTTCATAGAAGAGTTGTCCCATTGGGTGAGTTCGGTATCACCGAGTCGGAATGCCGATACTGACCGTTCAGTTTGATCTGGTTGATCCGCAGCGAAGATACCAACTGGTTGTTCCGGAACGAGCCAGGCGATATCCCCCCTTACTAAATGCCATATTAGCAATGTCCGCACGGCATTTATGCCGCGTTGAGAAATACAAGACACCCCGAGGAATCGTATATCGCGGCCAGCCATTACCAAATCTCAGTTCACACTCCGCAGTTGAGTATATGCTTAAGTGTATCCCCGTCCTCAAAGACTTTCACACTACGCAGGATGGAGAGACTAGAGAACTCATCGTGACAACGGCTGTGATTCTGCGTCACTTTGAGGAGTTAGACGATGAAGATGAAGATCCTGCTCTTGATACTCACCCAGACGAGGGTGTAAACTTCCTCGCGATTCTGAACGCTGTTCTACGAAGTCTAACCTCGGATGATCTTATTAACCGTCGAGAACTTCTTATTGCATCTTACTGGGTTGCTTTGCGACAAGAAGTCTACTATGCTCTTCGGAAAGGATATCCAGCGCAGATGGTTGAACCACCTGCTGAGTGGTCAGATATATCGCCAGCGAATAGAATCGTCTTCCATACGAGTCAGGTCACAAAATGGTTGTTTGACGACAAGTCCGAGAGTGGATGGCGTGAGTGCTCTCTTGCTTCTACAGGTTCCACGTGCTAACAACTTGATGCGCAGACAAACTCAAAGAACAAGAGGAATATCTTGATCAATACGTAACCGGCCGCTTTGAACCCATTCTTCATCGACCACCAGACCGCGTCTTGGGAGAAGTATTTCCTACAATGTGGTATGCTTCACCGATCGCCTTAACAGGTATGCAACACATGATGATAGCGAAGATGATCTTAATCGCAGAGTCACCTCTCCTCTCGTAAGTGTTGCAGCACCTGCTCCCATGCATTCACTAATCCTCCCAGACAAGCTGAGGATGTTCGTACTGCATATCGCAAAGCCGAAGGCGAGGTGCGAAACCTAGTCCTTCAAGTCTGCGGCACTGCCGTCCAACATCCCGATACCCAACCAGGTCTCGTAAATGCCATCCTAGCTATACAAATGTATGGGAGCTACTTCACCGATCCATGGGAACAAGAAGCACTTAAGAAGACGGTTCAGTTGTTTAAGGATTGCCAGGCTTGGCCGCTACCCAAAGCTTTGAGGGAGCGATATTATAAGCCATAGAGAGTTTTAGATGAAGTCTCATGTGCTCAATTGAAGAAGCCTTATTGTATTTGCTGATCTTCTGCTACATGTTTTATTGTATTGATAAACCCTTCCTACTATGTTAGAATGATTTTGTTATGTACTACGGTACAACTCGATGTTCCTGAATCTTGATTAGTTGAGCTAACCTTTCTTCATACATATATGTTACTTAAAAGAAAGCAATAAATCCCATTAACTATAATGACTGACTTTAATTCTTCAATACTAAGTCTCTCCAAATTTCCGACCATGAACTAGCCCCCGAATCTAGCACTTGAAATTGTCCTATAAAATGTTCTATTGCAACACGATAGTCTTCTTCTCGAGATCCTTCTGCCAGATACAATCGTGGGGATTAGAAATTGGTGCCCGGGTCATCCATCTTCTGCTTTTGTCTTTATACATAGTTAGCTTTGCTGGTGCTTTTCTAGCTTTATTACTAGACTCGAACCCGCCCCGTATGTTAATCATTCCAACTCGTTCGTACAGATCACCCTTTTCCCTCAACACCAGTATGATAAGGTTGTGTTTCTGCGATCTGACCCCAAGCTCCAGCACCATGATTGGAAGCTTGAGTTGGGAAATGCCCGTCCATGCTTCGTTATCCAAGTATAGGAACGAGTAGCACGTAATATCGGTTGTTAACGGAAGTATAGCCCAAGGGCCATCCTGCACCACTGTTTGACTGAGCATCATGTTTGGAAGAGTTGTCTCAGAACCCCATTTAATGAATTCGAACGACATCATTGTCATCATCCCTTCCAGTTGAATGACGGGTTTCATGGCTTGTGACGGGTTTGTGTTGTACGCCGTCCTGTAATCATCGAGCGAGATTGAACATCCATCTTCTCTGAGCAATCGAAGGTCATGGTCCGGAGTATCATAGCTGGTCATCGTGATTTCGCCTTTCCAACCAGTCCAAGACCAGCTGGGGAAATTAGCCTTTCTAGCTCCAGGCTTGACATGGTACCAAGCATTAATCAGCCAACGCCAGCCCTTCTTTTTACGAATAAGCGGGTTTCCTAGGAAGTGGAAATATCCCTCTTCTCTGTGACAGGCGTTCAGTACCCCTAAAAAGGCATCTAGAGTTTCTCTGTCATTACTAAAGTTTCTCTTACTGAACTCCATTAAATGCTTCCCAATGTCTTTGAGAGGTAAGAAAAGAGGTTCAGTATCCTTGAGGACGGGCTGTTTTTTCGTATTGGGGATATCAAGTCTGTGCAAGACATCCATGGGAATAGCAAATGATTCGAGACAAGTCATATTATTGCACTGAAACATGACTTGCTCATTGGTGAAAAAGATCCGCCTGTGTGATAGAAGTCCTTCCTGATATGTCCAGCCTCGAGAACCCCATGTACTGGACTGAATCTTTTCTTCGGCAGGTGTACCGATGTAGGTGAGCTTTACGCCATCAACTTGTACGCATCGCTGTACTTGGATGGATGTGCGAGGGAAAGTTATGCCGGCCAAACCGGAAGTGCAGTCTGTTCCAGCAGCATCGATAATCGTGAAAATTGCTCGGGAGTATATCGCATCCATCTTTTGTATCTGTTCTTGCTTGTTGGGGTCTTCGGGGTTTTGATTAATACACTACAAATTATTAGCTACCCTCATTCTATGTTCATCCAACCTACAAGTCGATCAACCCATAAATATCTGCAGCCGAGCCTAGAAGCTACCTTGATGCTGTCCTTGACGACTTGGGGAAATTTATTTTCTATATTGCCCCAGACGTATGACAACGCAGCATATTCGCAATCGTCCGGCGCGGATATAACTTTTGGTTCCTCGCAGTCGATGACTTTAAACTTTGGCGGCAGAATGAATTTGTCTGGTTTGCAGCGCTGCAGGTGATTTTTGTTACAGTATTCGATCCAGTCTGAGATCTGCTGAAAATCGATTGTCTCGTGGTTGAAGGGCCGGAGTTCACGGATAGGAGATGCTTCGGGTGATGGTTCAACTGCTATAACGTGGCCCATATGCCTTCGCCTATCAGGCTGTGGTTTATTCATTTCCGAGTCAATATATAGTATGCTCGTGTCTGGTCTTAAAGGGCTTTCGCAGGCTTCGCGATTTGTGAAAAAATTACTCAAAGGCTCTGTCCGTAAGGAGCATGTTGAAGTGTCTAAGGCCGGCGGTTTCAGTAGAGAAAACAGCTGACAAATCTCACAGGCAGACGACTGAAGCTGTTCGTGCGACTCATTGACTGCGACATTGGAGCCATTAATTTGCTGGACATTGCCTGATTTCTGGGTTATCGATGACCATTTTATGGCCGAGCATCGTGCACAGAGATGATTTGACATTGATTTTGCCCTTGGCCGAATACTTAGCTGCTTATTTGCTGTCACGCAAGGATGGCCTGTCTTATTCAATACTGAGAATTAACGGCGTCGGAGCTTAAGGACTGCCATGAATGTGTAACTTAGAATAGGCCTTGGAAAAGAAATATTACGGAAGAAGTTACAGAAGGTAGAACTGAAATTGCGGCCTGATAAAAGGAGGGGAAGATAAAGCTGAGCCAATGACATATGGTGGTCAGAATGCAGTGATGCCTAATAAGAAAACATCTATAACATGCTTGATAAGCATGTGGCCCAGGCAAATATCTGCCTTGAAAATTCCTACTCAGGAGTGTAAACGAGAAACTCGCTGTATTTCCATTTTGGCTCGAAGAAAAGAACACGAAACCTACGGGGGCTAAACTGCTTTCGTGACAGGGGAGTAGGGAATTCAACGTCAGTGAGGTCTACAAAACTGCACCTGATAAGGTAAGGTTGAGGGATAATAGTAGATAATTTGGGCACAGTGGCCTGTTGTTTGGGCGTTGGCAAAGGGGGGTTGAAGTTACGTCAGAGCGACTCAGCTGTTGGCCAACCCGCTTCCAGCCACAGCCACTAACCGGAATAACAGTCACCCAACACCCCGCATCGCTGCTTCGCATTCAATCTCTTTCAACATCTTACGTATCGCTTTGCTTCTATATCTCGCTTGGTGTCCCAGCTCAACCAGTTATTACCATGTCTAGTGGGAACAGAGGTGGTGGAGATCGTGGAAGCAGGGGAAGAGGCGGAGGACGAGGTGGCCGGGGCAATTATGGATCTTGGGGGGGCCGCGGCAGTTTTCGAGGCGATACAGGCAGTAGTAGGGGACAAGCTGGAGGTGGAAGAGGAGGATATGGAAGGCCGACTGGCGGTGGTCAGCAGACTATCCAGATCTTTCCGTAAGAACCATATGGACCAAAGTCAAGATCGTACCCAATGCTAATTGTGTCGATGCTACAGCAACTCCCAAGGCCTAAACTCCCAGGTTGCAAAAGTCGAAGACACATTACACCCAGCGACAAAAAACAAGCTCGATCTTAATAGCCTAAAGCTAACCGAAGGCTTTCCCAGCCGTCCAGGATATGGCACTAGGGGCACCAGGGTTGAACTTACGGCCAACTACGTCGAATTATTGCCGCCGTCGAACTTGACCTTGCATCGATACGATATCCAGATCAGCCCTGCAGCCGTCGGTAGGAAACATTTCCGGATTGTGCAGCTACTACTTCAAGCGCCGGAATTTGCAGCTCAACAGGGCGACATTGCCACGGACTTCAGGTCTACTCTTGTCTCCAAAACCAAGTTTTCGCAGGACGAGGTCCTCGTTGAGGTCCCATATCGCTCAGAAGGTGAAGAGGAACCGACTGCTAGGGCTACCGTATACAAAGTTCGCGTCCAATATACGAAAACTTTAGACGTCGGCGAGTTGGTCAACTACTTGAACTCAACAAGCCTCAGCGAGTCATTGGTAGATAAGCAGGAGTTGACGCAGGCTCTGAATATCTTTCTGAACCACTATGCCAAATCCGCAAAGAATCTCGTCGCAATTGGATCGACAAAGAGCTTTTCTCTCAGCAGTGAAGCAGCCAGAGGAGACATCGGCTCTGGCTTGGAAATCATTCGAGGCTTCTTTTCGAGCGTGCGCGTAGCCACTTGCCGCATTCTTGTCAACATCAACGTGAGCCATGGAGCATTTTACCAGGCTGTTCCTTTGCCGGTGCTCATGGCAAACTACGGACCTCACAGCACCGTCATGTTGGAAAGGTTTATCAAATTGGTTCGCATACAGACAACTCATCTTCCCGAGAAGCGTAACAAAGCGAATAAAGTTATCCCCCGCGTCAAGACTATCTTCGGGCTTGCTAGGAAGGACGATGGGCATGCCTTGGCCCACCCACCGCGTGTCAGACAGCACGGGGCTGGTGCCAAAGATGTGGAGTTCTGGCTCGATGGTGAAGCCAGCTCTACTGGTGCACCTAAGCCGGTAGCCAAAGGAGGCGCGAAAGGGAAGGGCAAAGGGAAGGGTAAGGCTCGGGGAGAGAGCTCAGCAGCTTCTACCTCTGGGAGGTATATCACTGTGTTTGATTTTTTCAGAATGAGTTATTCTCACTCTTCATGACTCCAAATAGCATCACTGACTGTGACGCAGCATACAATCTAGTTCTACAAAATCCCCAACTTCCGTTGGTTAACTGTGGCAACAGAGGCAATCCGATGTATCTCCCAGCAGAGGTCTGCATTGTCCTCCCGGGTCAGCCCTCCAAGTCGAAGCTCAACGCCAACCAAGCGCAACAGATGATTCGCCACGCTGTTCGAAAACCATGGGAAAATGCGAGCTCCATTTACAGTGAGGGTGTGCAGACTGTTGGTCTAGATGAGAACACCAACATACTTTTGGTGCGTTTTCGCTTCAATTTTGTATATTACTTACTAACGGCGTTAAGCGTTCTTTCGGCCTTAAGATCACACCGGGACTCATCAAAGTTCCAGGTCGCATCCTTTTTGGTCCAAAGGTTATCTACAAGAACAACAAGGCCGCTGATCTCCGCTTCGGTAGTTGGAACATGCTGGATATTCGATTTAACATTGGCGCGTCACTTGCTAAATGGTCATACTTGGTGATCTCTATTCCTGGGATGCACGACTCGTTCGACCAGCAAAGCTCGCGGGCCATTATGAATGAGTTCCATACCGCTCTACAGAAAATTGGCGTCAACGCAGCTCCGCCGTTTCCAGGTCAACGCCTCCAACTTCAACATCAAGACGATCCAGCGCTCGACTCAACTTTACAACGTGCTGCTCGAGCCTTAGATCTGCTTTTCATCATCCTGCCCGGAGCAAACATGCCAATATACAAGCGCATCAAGACGATCGCCGACAGGAGCTATGGTATCCACACTATCTGCTCGGTGGGTTCCAAACTAGCAAAAGACCGCGGTCGCGACCAATACATGAACAATGTCGCTTTGAAGTTCAATCTCAAGCTTGGCGGCATCAATCAAAGGGTGGAGAACCAGAATCTCGGCATCATCGACCAGGACAAGACAATGGTTGTCGGCATCGACGTCACGCATCCCTCGCCTGGCTCGTCTTCCAACGCGCCTTCTGTCTCTGCAATGGTGTCTTCCATTGACAAGTTCCTAGGTCAATGGCCTGCAACTTTGCGCATACAGCGCGCGAGACAAGAGAACGTGGACGATCTCACAGAGATGCTTAAATCTCGTCTTGGCCTCTGGAAAACAAAGGGCAAACACGCCGTTTTGCCAGAGAATATTCTCATATACCGCGATGGAGTCTCCGAAGGCCAATATGACATGGTTCTCTCGCAAGAGCTTCCTCAACTCCGCCGCGCATGCGAGCAGATGTACCCAGCAGCTGATACCAAAAAAGGCCTTCCGCGCTTCACTGTTATAGTCTGCGGTAAGCGGCACAAGACGAGATTCTATCCCACCACCGAGAAAGACTGCGATAGGTCTGGCAATACTAAACCTGGTACCGTCGTCGACCGCGGAGTGACTGAAGCGCGGAACTGGGATTTCTTCCTGCAGGCCCACGCTGCACTGCAAGGAACCGCACGCCCATGTCACTATTACATCGTACATGATGAGATATTCCGGCAGATTTATGCGAAGTCGATTCCGCCTCCGTTTCAGAGCATCGCCGATGTCGTGGAGGATCTCACACACAATATGTGCTACCTTTTCGGCCGCGCCACCAAGGCTGTTAGTCTATGCCCTCCGGCGTACTATGCTGATATCGCGTGCGAGCGCGCGCGGTGCTACTTGGCTAGTCTTTTTGACACGCCGTCGCCAAGTGCAGCCCCGTCCGTAACCGCAACTTCGGCAGCTGGAGGGACCGGGCAGCTAAGTCCTGATGATGTACAAATCCATCAAAAGCTGAGAGATACAATGTTCTATATCTAGTTTAAATATCGAGAATGCAAAAACGGTCGTTTTTTCTTTATTTAATAGCACACCATGTATGTGCCTCTATACAACAGGCCTGGTAGCTTCAATATTCATAATATGTTCATAAAATTCTTTTATAGCCTACCTATATTTAGTAAAATTATGAAGATAAAACCCCCTTAGCGTTGAATGGATTTGTATTAAATCACACTACTAATTATCTTTACTTATTCTGCCTATATGCAAATTCAGTTGTGGAGTTTTAGATGTCTGTTTTGATGTTGTAATGATGTATTACTCCGACATCTACGTTGAGGCCAAAGAACTGAATACGGCAATCCTTAGCGCAGTCGCCGGGTCCTGCTAAATACAGCTAGCTTCAATGGCTTGTCTGCCTAATCAGGCAGCTACTCCCGTACTTTTTTCTGATACAGTAGCCGCGGCGTAAAAACTTCGGCGACATCTGCTCAGATAGGTAAGCATCTGTTGGCATCTCAATATAATCAAGTCTATCAAGGCGAGATATTCGGAGATAGTTCGCAAGATGAGTATGAACTGTTACATAACAGGTATGAAGAAGAGAGTCAGAGAGGTATAAACAGGCCGCTTCCTTCCTCCATTTCTTCAATATCCTTTTCCTCCCCCAACCCAACCTCACAGAAGACTCCTCCAGTTGACCCCTTCACTTGTCATATCTTACAACATGTCTCATACCTTGAACATCGCCGTTGTTGGCCTTGGCCGCATGGTAAGTATTTATTCCTTTAGTTAAATCTAGTCAAATCAAATTTACTAACTAGAACCAGGGCAAGCGACACGTCCATACTCTCCTGTATAGGGTACCTCGTGCTCGAGTTGTCGCAGTATGCAGCTCCATGGAACACGAAGTCAGGTGGGCGAAGGAGAACGAAGAGTATAAAGAATTCGACATGGGGGTGTATGATAGCTATGATGAGATGCTCAACCATCCTGGACTTCAAGCTGTTTGGGTTTCTACCAGTACCGATGTGCACTCCAGTCAGTCTCTTGCCGCTATCGATAAGGGACTGCACGTCCTTTGTGAGAAGCCCTTGAGCACCGACATGGCCGAGGTATGTGCTCCCTTGATTCCTTTTACTGACACTTTGTTAACCATGGAGATAGGCTCAGACTGTCGTTGATGCAGCAAAGAAGAACCCTCACCTCAAGGTCATGGCCGGGTTCTCTCGTCGCTTTGACGCTTCTTACCGCGACGCAGCTACCAAAATTTACAACGACAAGGCCATCGGGGAGCCATTCATGGTTCGCTCCAATACCTGCGATCTTCTCGACGAAACTGGCTTCTTCGTTCGCTACGCCTCTCGCAACGGCGGTATTTTCGTCGACTGCGCCATTCACGACATTGATTTATCTCTTTGGTACCTCGGCAACCCCATCCCCAAAGCATGCTGGGCAACCGGCACTCTCCAACACCACCCCGAGCTCAAAGATCTCAACGATGTCGACAATGCAGTCGGCGTTGTCGAATTCTGGGGCGGCAAGATCGCTTACTTCTACTGTTCCCGAACCCAAGCCCACGGCCACGATGTCTGCACTGAAATCACTGGAAAGACTGGCAAGATCTCAGTTAATGTTGTTCCCAAGGCTAACAATGTCGTTATTGCGGATAAGCTTGGTATTCGTCATGAGGTGCAGCCTGAGTATTGGCAGCGATTCGAGGATGCGTTTGCGCTGGAGGCTAATGAGTTTACTGATGCGGTGTTGAAGAATAAGCCGGTTCCTTTGCCTATTGAGGGAGGAATTCAGGTCATGAATATTGGCAGGGCGCTTCAGCATGCGCTGTTGAGCGGAAACTTGGTCACGTTTGACAAGGAGGGCAATTGGGAGTAGCAGGACTAAGGATAAATTCATCATCGCCCGACCTCGAGTTACTGGATATTCTGATGGTTGATAGTGCAATAAAAGTCTTTCACCCATGATGTGATGTGAAATGCATGATAAGCTACTGCGCCGGAGCATGTGATTTGATGCTATTCCCAGCCACTTTTATGCACAGCAATGCACCTGGTCGCATGATGCATTCTCACCCAGCCAATCAAAAAGTGGATTTCTCTCCACCCACAAGCATGAATTACCCACCCGAAAATTAAACGCGCTTCTTATCTCTCTCAACCTCAAATCTTCATTTCACCTCACCTCACTTTCACCCTCAAAACCACTCACTCACCATGGGCATCTTCCGCTTGGCCAGAAAAACAGTCTTTACCGGCCTGTTGGGCACTTCCACGGCCGCCGCGTACCTCGCCTCTCAGAACCCCGTCATCTCCCCGCTCCCCGCCAACGACCCCATCTGGTCCTCTCGACTCTTTAGGAGGGCCAATCCGAACGGTAACCCTGCTACCCAGGATGTCGTCATCAAGCGCATTCCCTTTGACAAGATTCGTCCGGAACTGTTGCAGAATAACAACGAATTGACGCTTGAGTTCTGTCGTGGAGTTTGGAGCGGTTGGGGTAAGTAACCTTTTCCCAGGATGAGTTTTGAGTTATCGCTCACCGATTTAGGCTTCGCTATCCAGCGTCGATACCTAGATTTCAAGTGGCGAGGTCCCGAGACTGAACAGCAGCTCTGGGATAATGAACAGCTCTCTACTAGCAACTACGATAGAGGCACTGCCATCACCGATCATTTCGAAGTAGTCGAGAAGACTCCTACTTCCATCACCGTGCGCTGCGGCGACTCACCGCGCAACCAGCCCTTGCGCCCCTCCGACGGTCTCTTCCAGATCAGCGCGACTATCGACAAGGTGCACGAGGAAGTTGAGTTGCGTCTCAAGAGCGTCTTGTTCTCCAGTGAGGGCAAGATTGCCGGGAACAAGGGACCCATGCCGGGATGGATGACGGAGCTGCATCAGTGGTACGCCCGAATCTGGGCTGAGACTGGGTCTTGGAGACTTCTTAAGTGATGTGAGGATTACGAGTTATGATATACCATGTAGATCGTGCGCGGTTTACTGAGCTGCTGCTGCACTGACGGAATGATGAACATGTCTGAAATGCATGATTTTATGCGTTCCTCTTTTCCTTCAAACTCTTTGGGGATCAGGTAAGCCGGTGATCTGGATCGATGCACTGAGACCTTGTAGATATCTAATAGATTATCTGAAGATAAATGCTTCTCCAGAAAGGTGCATCATCACGACATCCATTCAGACTTTTCGTCATACGATGAGCCCCGCTCACTTCACTGTGCTAGTTTTCGTAACTCAGGGCGCGGCGATGTTCACCAAGATAGCATATTAGTAACGATTTAAATGTACAAGGCTTCATCAGCAGGTCAGCATTCTAGGAAGGCTTGCGAGAGGGACTTGTCAGACTTGTAAACGTACCAGGATAATAAGCGCGCACTGTCGTTTGCCACCACTTTCGAACCTATTAGCATGTGCCAATAAAGTCGCGCACTGTCTTAGTCATCAAGAGGCGGTTGAGTTTTTGCGACTCTGCGCCTTGCTCGAGAATCTTCGCTGACATATCAAGCTGATTAAACTTCGACTCCCATCCATTTAATCCTACAATCCTGCACAAAAGGTCATCATTGACTCTACTCTCCGCTTCATCACCTCCAAAAATCATCACAAGCAACACTGCCAAAATGCCTCTCATCGACGCCAACACCCCACCTTCCTCCACCGACACTCACTACGTCGTTTACTTCGCCTCAGGCGAGCCCTCGTGGTGTCCCGACTGCCGCGATGCCCTCCCCGCGCTAAACGCTGTCTTTGGCGGGGCTTCTGATCCTACCGCTTACATCGTCCGCGTGGGTTCGCGTGAAGAGTGGAGGGCTACTCCTAAGAACAAGTATCGCCTTCCGCCTTACAACATCGACGGCGTTCCTACTGTCGTCAAGGTCAAGAATGTAAGTTGCAGTATTGGATTTGTCTTTGGGTGTAAATTAACGGGCCTCTTAGGGCAAGGAGGTTGGACGATTGGGCGATAAGGAGAGTCAGGTTGAGTCTTCTCTCCGCAAGCTTGTGAATCAGTGAGCATATGGCGTTTTTGAGGATGGACGACTCCTAGACGAAAAATTGAGGATCATTCCTAGCCCAAGACTTGTCCTTGTCGTGGAGTACTGAGAAAGCTTACTCATTATCTCTGAGGCTCATGTTTTGGAGGCGTAACGACGTCCAGCTCTACATAAATCGAAGGGGAAAAATAGAAGTGGATAAATGATAGACTTCTCCAAGGCGCTCTCAATTTGATATAAAAAAAAGTTGACGTCATTCCTATCGTATATTATACCTCTAAGTAGGCATGTTCTACCCAAATAGCCGCTTGCTTTACCGGGTTTATAATCTTTGTCAAAATACTCTGGGATCTGTTCACCGCCCAACTGTTGGTTCGAAATCTAAATTTCAACAGAATAGCATCTTCCTGTCGAAGAAGGCCAGAGGGCTAGTCGAATAACTGATAACTCGAGGGCTATGGAGCTGAAACTTGATTTGCAGCTGTGTTGCTTAGACGTGACGGTGTCATCGAAATCAGTCAATCAATCCAAGCAGCCTCAGTTAGCAAGTAACACTTCGAAAGTTCTTGGGTTGATCGTTGCACTGCAGAGCGAATCAGTTCATGAGGTTCTTAAAATCCGATACCGGATCATAATGAATCACATACGGATTAGGTGATCAGCCATGATACTTCCACAATCAGATCGTGCGAGTGACTCAACACCTCAACTCTTGATAAATACCGCCAACTTACCAGCTTCATCTAAATAAGCAACAAAAAACAGAAATAGCAACCTGGTACAATGGCAAACGCCGGACTCCAAGCCAAGCTTCGTGCGCTTCCTGTTCTAGAAGGAGCATCGCATCCAAAAGCAGAATTCGCTTCATTCCCCGAAACCCCTCACCAAGCATTCGAGACATGGCTCGACGAGGCTATCTCCGCCAACGTCCCCGAACCTCACGCCGTAACTCTCTCAACAGTCGATGAGCAAGGCTACCCCGATGCCCGTGTCCTGATCCTCAAGAAGATCATCGCGGCTGGCACTTCGCCATCAAAGCCACCAGCCCCAAAGGTCGTCAGATCTCATCTAACAATAACGTCGCACTTACATTCTACTGGCCCAAAATCGGAAGACAGATCCGTCTACGCGGTAAAGCTAATGCTCTGTCTCGAAGTGAATGTGAGCAGGATTGGACGGCTCGATCGGCTATGGCCAAGATCACTGCCAAGGTGTCGAGGCAGAGCGAACCACTTAATGACCCGCATGAGCTGGAAGCCAAGATGGCGGAAGCCGTGAAAAGTCATGAGATTGAGGGACAAGAGCCAAGTTCTGAGGGATGGGTGGTTTATGCGGTGGCGCCGCAGACAGTTGAGTTCTGGCAGGCTTCTAGTGATCGACTGCATCAGCGATTGAAGTACACTCTGGATCCCGCCCAGAGCACCTGGAGCAAAGCAGCTCTTTGGCCATAAACAACAATACATCAGTCTCTATCATGGAGGTTTTATGTATACCTGCATATACGCCGGGTATAACACGATTCGCTCTCCCTTGCTCTTAGCGGGCTTACGCGTCCTCGATATCGCCCAGAGTCTAGACCCAAGCCTCGCCAAACTACTTATATAAAATCACATACAACTTCGGATCTTGACGTGCCGTTCATGAAACCATCAAAGATTTAAAAGACGCAAATGCGAAAAAGGGAGGTCGGTAGTTTAGTTCATCGGGGCTGTGCAGCAGTGCGGCAGTGCCTGATCGCCAATTGTTAATCACGGCATTGCCCGCTGGGCTGTGTTTTTGTAATTTGGCAATATAACACCGTTCAAAATTCCATGAGAAAATTTCTCCCAGGGATAGCAAATCCGCTGCGGATCAGTTAGGAAGATACATGACTCTACATCAGGCAATTTCTTGTCAGTGCCGCCAAGTTCCATGTTACACAGCAATGACCGCATTTCACATAGTTCCCCTTGTGATTCGGAACTCGGCTCTTGTATGCAGGTACCTTGATAGTGACTTGGCGCTTGGCTATGAGATATTTGCTGTCCTGCCCGGTTCTAGAGGTCTTGTCGCCAAGGGTATTCGGCATGTTTTATACGAGAGGTTATTAGATGGATACTCTCGGCATGAGTCACCCCCACAAGCAATAACACATGCTTTTGTTTCTTGGCCGTGTTAGTTTGGAAAAGATTTTCGTTTATCATTTCTTAGCTAGTGTGCTATTTCTTAGGCTCTTATCAGGAGAAGGTTTACAAGTTCATGATTTGTATATATCGCTGATCCCCCCGACTTCTGCAAAAGCTTTCTTTACTCTACTTTAGTTACAGTACACCAAATCAATCTGTTCAATTCGATGAACGACTCTTTTGTTGCAGTTTACCTACCTTTCGCAAATCTGGAGAACTCGCTGGAACTTCTCCTCTTCAGAGGAATCGCCAAGTCTGAAGCAGCAGACTTTGATCCACCTTAGGTTTTGTACGAACCCAATCCTATCCATTCCAACGAGATGGATTAAACTGACAATTCAGATTGGGTGCAGAATCTCAAAAACATATGATCCGCCGACACCATGGCCCGCCGCGACACCAACATCCTCGGCCGTCTTGGCCTACGCAACGGCAAATCCCGCGCGCGAACCGCGACCTGGCAGCTAAACCCAGACCGGGCAACCAAGAGCACGCCAGAAGATATTCTTCGGTGGATTGCTTCCATGACTCCCGATACTGCGCTTGCACATTTGGTCTCCAGCAGCGATGGCATTTCTGAGGCTGAAGCTACTGCGCGACGACGCATTCATGGACAGAATGTTGTTTCGTCGAGGAAGCCTCAGTCTTGGTTTATGCTGTTGCTGAGTGTCATTCCGAATCCTTTTAATATCTTGTTGATGTTCTTGGCGATCCTTAATGTTGCGATGCCGGATCCTAGCTGGGTGAGTTTACTGCTTTGCTGGAGATAAAAGTATGGGAAGGGGGGCTAACGACGTGATAGGAAGGGTTTGCTGTTCTCATGGTCATGATCGTTATTTCAGTCGCTGTGCGTTTCTGGCAGGAATTCCAAAGCGGCGTTGCCATCTTTCGTCTTCAATCCGCCATCATTCCCAAGATTCGAGTCCGTCGACCAGCAACATACACCGACGAGCTTCAACTCTCCTGGACAGAGGGCACGGTTCTCGAGACTGACCTCGTCCCCGGTGATATCGTCATTCTGGTACCTGGTGCAATTGTCCCAGCTGATTGCCTCATCCTCGAGTCTTCGTACTTGCGGATCAGTCAGTCTGCTTGGACGGGCGAGAGTGAACCTGTGGGTAAGGATGCGGGACCTCATGATGCGAAGGAAGCTTTCTCCATCTTTGACTTTAGCAATGTTGCGCTTATGGGGACGAATATTGTGAGCGGCCATGGTGTTGGACTTGTTGTTCGGACGGGCGATGGTAAGTTTCGTAAATTTGTTCCCGCGATTTGAGCTAATAGTTCCAGACGCGATGATTGCGACTATGGTCAAGGAGGTTGAGAAGAAGAGGCAGCCTAATGCCTTCCAGAAGGGCATTCTTAACGTTACGTGGATGCTCATTGGCTTCATGATCGTCATGGTCCCTATCGTAAGTACTCCCGAATCGATTCGCCTACTCCAACTGACCAACTTTCAGGTTCTGTGCATTTCCGGCAAGGTAACAGGAGACTGGAAGAACGCGGCGCTTTTCAGCATCAGTGTCGCAGTCGGACTCGTCCCTGAGATGCTTCCCGCTATCGTCAACGCCAATCTCGCGCGCGCCGCCCACCAGCTTTCCAAGAAGCAAGCCATTGTCAAGCGTCTCGACTCGGTTCAGAATCTCGGCGCTATGACTGTTCTTTGCAGCGACAAGGTATGGATGCTAGTTCTATGACTTGATTGAATACTGACGATGAGGTAGACTGGAACTTTGACCAAGGATCAACTCTCCGTGCACAAGTACTCCAATGCCGAAGGCGAAGATATCCTCAACATCATGGAACTCGCAAAGGTCGACTCGCAGATCCAAGGAAACAGTGGCAATAACATGGACAGGGCTATTATCAACTATCACCTTCCCAATGGCGATGAAGTCGGCGTAGCCCACTACGAACAAGTCCGCGTCATTCCATTCGACTTTGAACGCCGTCGCTCAGGCTGTATCGTCCGCGGCATCACAGGCCAGTACCTCCTCATCGTCAAAGGCGCATTCGACGAAGTCCTCACACGCTGTTCATCGATGCGCTCAGCCGGTAAGAGCGAGTATCTCAGCACTGAGATGCAATCTCGATGGAGAAAACTCGCCATGCAGAAGAACATGGAAGGATATCGCGTTCTTCTCGTTGCGTCCCGCATTCTTGGAAAGTCTCACGTCAATGAGCTCGATCTTCTTGAGACAAACATGACCCTCGAGGGAATGATTAGTTTCTCCGATCCTCCCAAGGACGACGCCAAAGACGCCATCGCAAGCCTCACCGAGCTAGGTGTCCAAGTCAAGGTCTTGACCGGCGACTCTCTCCCTGTGGCTCTCAATATCTGCTGCTCTCTTGAACTCCTCCAGCACTCTGAGACAATGGACGACGACGCCGAAGCCATCTCCGGTCCTGAACTCGCCCTGCTCGAAGACTCCGATGAATTCGACCTCGCCGTCGAACGATGCAGTGTCTTCGCCAAAGTAACGCCCAAGCAGAAGAGCTTGATCGTACTAGCTCTTCAGAAAGCCGGTAACTGCGTTGGTATGCTCGGCGACGGGATCAACGATTGTGGCGCGCTTCGAGATGCAGATGTTGGAATCTCTGTTGACTCTGGGGCCGGAGTCGCGAAAGATTGTGCGGATCTAATCTTGACGGAGAAGGGATTATCGATCATTGTGAGGAGTGTGATTCTAGGCAGAATTACGCATGGGAATACTATCAAGTATATCAAGATGGTCGCTTCGTCCAACTTTGGTAATGTTTTTAGTATTCTGGCGGCTAGTGCATGGCTGCCTTTTACGCCAGTGAGTAGCTTACCATGAATCTTGCAGGGAGTATGCTAACTTGGCCATAGATGACTAGTATTCAGCTTCTCGCTCAGAATCTTCTGTATGATATCAGTCAGATCGCCATTCCTTGGGATCGCGTTGATGAAGAGTATCTGACTCAACCACGACGATGGAACGCAAGGGGTAGGTTTCCTTGTCTCTCCCTGTGGACGTATCTAACAAGCATAGACATCCTCAAGTTCATCATCGTTCTCGGTCCCACAAGCTCAGTCATCGACATGTGCACTTTTTCTCTCAACTGGTTCTTTTATGGTATCCGAACGACCGACGATAACGTCAAGCTGGCACAAACACACTGGTTCCTCCAAGGGTAAGCTATGCCCAGCCCTTCACATTTACACCACTAACACTCTGATAGTCTTCTCACCCAGACAATGATCGTGCATCTGCTCCGTACAGCGAAAATTCCCTTTATCCAGAGTCGCGCAGCACCGATCCTTGTGTTCTCTACTGCATCGATTATGGCTATTGGTTTCATCCTACCCTGGATCCCGGCGTTCAGACCCGCGTTCAGCTTTGCTCAGCCAGCACCAACTTTTGTGGGATTCTTGGCCGCTGAGTTATTGCTTTACGCTGTAGAGGTACAAGCTGTCAAGATGATTTACATGAAGATCTTTGGTACATGGCTGTGATCTCAGGTGGGAATAGTATGGAACTTGGGTTGGCTGGTTCACATTTAGAGTGAAGCAATGGAGGGTTAGGGTTTTTTATCGGTTTGCCCGGTTTTCCCTATCTTGTAATAATTCTTTATTTATTTGGTAGCTTAATACTATATTTTCCTATTTCTTGAACTGCATAGTACATATGACGTACAGCATGAATGCATGATCGATGCGGTTCATTATGCGGCGAGCTCAGCTTCCGAGATCATTTGCCGACCAGTTCCGCGGAACAGGAGCCAATCGGATGCCTTGAATTGCCGAGAGTTGAGAAGCAGATCAAATGACGACGAGGAAAAATCACTGAAAAACGACTGCCGGATCGTCCATTGCGGCGAGAACTGGGAGGAAAATAAATTGAATTGCATCAACATATAGAAATTATATTCGTCTGCAATTATTGAATAGATCTCACAAGTCACATCTATCGAGGTATGGCTACATTCTGACCAATGACATGCAAGGAAGGCTCCAATTGACCAATCATAGGCCATACAATTGAAATGCCGAGGAACAAACCGCCCTATTCCTAATGAAGAAAGGCTTCCTCGGAGCTCATCAACACTCGCATCTGGGGTAAATCCGGGGCATCCTACTATCCGCTCTAGTAATTATATCTTGATACAAATACTCACCTCCTACTCCTCAAGCATCCCTACCTCATCCTCCAGTATCCCTTCCGGTCAAATCTCAGAATCATGGCTCTCACAGAACTCTTGATCTCTCCCTGGGCACCTGTCGCCCTCGCCGTGGCTCTCGTAGCATGGTACATTCTCCCATG